AGATATAGAAGGCCACCCCCCAGGGGAGGCACCTCTTGAGTGGGGTGGCTGTGGCTGTAAATGAGGCATATCAACTGGGGAAAGATATTTAACGCCTGAGAGACTTCGATTCGCAGGAATACCAAAGCAGATATCCAGTCCAAAGCCAATCCTTTGTTCATTAGCAAATTGATATATGTTTGTGTCAGATCGCATTCTCCCCAGACTCTCTGGCAGCTGCCAATGCCTGGTAGATTGTCAGATTTTTCCTAGGCTACCTTGAAACTTCTCACTGGCTTTGCCGTATCAATTTCTCAGTTCTCAATCCTTTCTGGCCAAATGCCCAAGCCCCAGCCCCAGCCCCAGCCCAAGCCGTAGAAGAGCTGCTACATTAATCATCCTCACTCGGCAACCACCGCAACAACACCAGCCAAGAGCCAGTCACACACACAAACTGATACGTGTGGCAAGGACCAGGACTAGGACTGCTCTGCCTGTCATAAGTTATTAACAAAACGACCCTTTAGCCCACATATGCCAAAGCAATTCGTAGAGTGCCATCACAGGTTTACCCACTCACACAGACACAGGCAAACAGTGACTGCAAGCCAAGACAATATTTTGGTAGCACACTCGAACGACAGAGCGCCCGGAGAGGCAGCACTCGGAAAGAGACAGAAGATTGTAAAGCCCGAGCGTCAGTTACATTTTGTAGACTTTGTGGGGGACGGGACGGGACTTCAAGTTGGTTGCATTTTGTTACATTTTGGCCGCTTTGTGGAGAGGAGAGGAGAGGAACGGACAGAAGCCGAGTGTTTGGCTGCCCCAAAATTATGACCACTCGGACGCAATTTACTGGCAGTGTGCCAAGGCCGCTGACGTCGCTGTTGTGGCTGACAGCTCATTGGAATTTTCATTAGTGTTACAAGTGCGCCGCCATTGAGACGGGCCGGTCAGAGTCGCCAAGCGACCAGCAGCAGCGGTGGCGGCGACCTTTCGAAAAATCCACAAATATATACGCACACATGCGGGGGGCGGGGTCGCGCCCACAATCCAAATATGAGTATGTGTGTGTGTTTGCGAGTGGGTTGGTTCTCTGAAATATACAAACAAGCCTCAAGATTAATGTGCTGCGGGCAGTGCAAAAGTTTTCGAATGCTCGGCATTGCATACTTTCAGGGGCGTCGCCAAACAGGATTCATGTGTCCTGAAAGGAGCCCTAAAGAGGCTGGACTTTGATGGCGAAATTCTCTGTAAAACAAACCCTCTTTAGGGTGGGTCCCTGAGTACCGCCGAAAGAGTTGGCTGGCTCCCACTTCTGGGGACAGTCAACTTTCGAGTGGCGTTAATGTGTGAAACTATTTTACTTTCAGGGGCGCCGATAAACAGGTCTCATATGTCCTCAAAGGGCTAGACTTTGATGAAGAATTTTCTTTTTAATGGTGGCTCTCGAGTGCCGATGACTGACGCTAATGGGTAAAACTATATATTCGTGAATTTCGAATAGGAATATTCCTCTTTAATGGAGCTAAAAAGTTACAGGATATAGAATGGGTTTTACTCCTTTGGCCAACATTCAGGCTTTCGAGGCGCGCTAATGTGTAAAACTACTTAAGTGCCACCTCTTTCTCTCTCTCTGCTCTCTCCCTCTCTCTGGACCAGACAATGTTGCAGATTGCCGCTTGCCATTCCTGTTTTTGCTGTGGTAATTGCACTTTCGCTGGTTTATTACCCACACAGTCATAAAATGTAATGCACATCATGTACAAGTACTTAAATATGGCGGAGGCTCCGCTGACGCGTATGCCTAAATTTTGACTGCCAGCCATTACCATACATGTATGTATGTACATATGTTTAAATATAGCCACAACCCATGCCCTTAAGTTCCCCCTAATGAGGCACTCCCGCCCCCGCCCCCAAATGCTGAATTATTCCACGTGACATTCCGTACTTGTTTATCTGGTATTTTTGGTCTCAGTGCAAACAAAAGTGAACGCGGAAATGTGTTGGTTTTGTGTGTCTTTTTATACCCTTTCGGGGGAGACGAGTATACTGATTATGATTCAGGACATCCGCCATTTACAGTCAAGTTGATAGAGGCATGTTTGTCCGTCTGTTTCTGTACAAAAAATAACCATTTTGAAAGCTGAAACCTTACATTAAGGTGTGATCAATAAGTATATCATATAGTAGCCACAGATCCGCAAGGGTATCCAACGCTTACCTTCCTTGCATTCCCCTGTATGTGTGTGTCCTGTCATCGTTTGTGTGTAAGAGAACAAAACAATAAAGAAATGCGGCAGAAATAAATTGCAATTGTTTTGCATTTGACGCACCGAAAATATCTTCTTTTGGGGCAGGGACAGGGGGACAGGGACAGGGGCAACAGGGCGGCTCGTTATTACTGGTTCTATCTTTTGGTGTGGCATGTGTGCGGGTACTTGGCTGGCCTTTATTGTGTGTGCCTCAACAATTCTACTGTGGCAAATGGATTTCCTTTTGTTCCATTGAACACATTGCTAGCACACAATCAAGCCACACACACACACACACACACACACCACAGATATTAAACACACATACACTCACATGGATAGACATTCGATTCACAAACTATTTCAATTAGAAAGCAGTGGCTGAGGCGGAGTCCCGACTTTCACAACACAACACAGCGATTCCACCTGTCTACATCTTCTTGGTGGGTGGTTGAGGTGGGGATTGGTGTTTCTATAAAAGGAATCGCACATGAACCGCAGCCAATACACTCGGAAAAACCAAGATATATTTCCACACAAATGTTGACTGAATAATTTTACATTTCGCATTGGAATATTTTCAAGTATGGCAATTCCCAAGTACTGTTCTCTTGAACTGAGAACTATCATCAACATTATCTAGGGATCGATGAAAAACGTACGTCTTTTCCCGCTGTGTGCTCTTCGGAGGCATGTGTGTGTTCGTGTGTGGAGCGGTTCTCCTTTGCTCGGCGTTGAAATATTTATATGCAAATAAATAGTTTAGCGAGCTATCAGCTCTCCCCCTGCTCCTGGCTGTTTGTGTGAGTGTGAGTGTGTGTGTGTGCTATTGTCATTATGCGTAGTGTATAGCAAGAGGGCGGTACACAATAGTGGGCGTGCCATAAACAATATCCAGAGAAGAAAGGATACGTACGAGAATTGTATTATTACTCGCTAATGGTGCGTGGCATTTAATTGCTAATCCATTGGCCTGGCCCACAGAGGTCCTGCCAGATAAGGATGAGGCAGCCAATGGAATTCCAGTTAGGTAAATTGATTTAATTGAGTGGAATTTGTCTTAATTATTAAATCAATAAGAACACGAAACGTTTGTCGAATTTGCCGCAGAAGAAGTTGCCTAATTAACCCGAGACTCTTGTGTCAATTCCATGGAATATTCTGCCATTTTATGTGGCATTGTGGCATGCCCTTGGCAAGGGGTGTGAGAGGAGCAGGCGTACTTTTGGTTTCAATCTTGTATAATTAAATCAAAGTTAAAAGCTTCCAAAAGGGCAAAGCTGTTAGTTAATATTAAATATTAAATATCATCAAAAGGGCAATCCAAACAATAGATAGTAAACCAACTATTCGGAAAAATGGCAAAAGCTTCTAATAAAATTAAGCAAACAGCAGAAAAAACGTTAAAAGAAATAAAAGAATTCTTTCCGAATAGAATTTGCATCAGGGAAAAAATGAATTCGGGGAAATATTTATGTGCCAGGACAAACACACACACACACACACACACACACACACACACCGAAAACACACAGACCCAAACATAGTGACGCTGTTGACTTTCATTACCTTGCGCAAATAGAGGGAAAGTCATTAAAAATTTTAATGAAGAAAGTTTTTTTCTTTTGTTTCTCGTTGTCATCATCATCCTCATCCTCATAGCCTCCATCTTTAGACGCGTCTTTAGGCGCCGCTTTAACTTTGTATTTAAATTTGGTTTTCCTAAAAGTTCTGCCCCACTTTATTGTGAGCAACAAACAGGTGAAGGCAGCCACAGCATCCGCCGCAGCAGCAGCAGCAAGTCCTGCGTCTGGCGCATGATTTATTAGAGCGATAAAGTGATTAAATTAAAATTGATTTATATGGCAAGAGCATGAAAGGGGCGCCACTGCAGGCGACAACTAGCAGACGTACCAGCAGACCTGGCCCCCCTTTTTACACCCTGATTATCGCTTGGATTTCTTATTTTTTATTTCCGCTGAGGGGAAGCAAGAGCAGAAGCAGAGCTTCCTTCCACCACCACAGTGGTGGCCAAAAGTAAAAACTTACTAATTTATGCAAAACAGGCGGTAACGAGAATGGCGCTGGACGGAGACAGGAACTGGAACTGGAGCGGTGACAGGAAGACAGAGGCGGAGGCAGGGTCTGGGGCTAGGTCTGAGGCTGAGGCTGCTTGAGGCATCGGTCTGAGAACTGGGGTTGGGTAGGAGTAGGGGACAACACGGCGTATGATTAACCTAAATATTCTCGTTGTCAGCGTCGTTCGGTCTTGATTTTTCCTTTTCCCCTGCTTTCCATTTAAATTACCAAACTAAAAAAATATTGCTTGGGGCTTAATTTATTTCCCGCTGTGCCGTCCAGTCCAGGCACCGCCCACCGAACAGAAAAAGGTCCTCGGCCGATCCTTGGGCGGGTCTCTGTGTCCATGTTTGTGTGTCGCTGGCTTGTTTGTGCTAGCCAAAAGGGCAACGCAACTAATTTGCTGGGGACAAACAACTGGCCAAATAAAGAGCCAAATAAATAAAAGGAAATTGTCAAACTTTCGGCCACCAAAACCCGGACCCAAGCCCAAACCAGCTTCGATCAGTGGCCAGAGGCTAATTCATCGCTTAAGCGAGTTTATTGAATGCATCTGTCCCACTGGGATTTCCAATTACATTTCCATTTAAATAAAACACAAGATTCACAGGGAAAATACTCTGAAGCTTGGCAAGGCCACTCCACTCCACAACAGGAGCAAGTCCTACTCCTTTTACCACTTACCGGGGGGTTGTCACTAGACAGGCTCCAGTTGTTCCGCTTCGGCTACGGCTCAGGCTCCGGCTCTACTTCCGTCCTCTATCGATGGCAATTTCTCGGACCGTTGCCTGAGACTCCTGTTCCTGTGGTTGATCCTGCTGCTGTTGGGACTTTTAGGTTTTATTTTTGCTATTTTCTCCTTCTTATTTATTGCTGTCGTCTGGGCTGCTGTTGTGGCTCTTGCACTGACGATGTGGTCCAAATTGAATTTCACTTTGAAAATATACGAGCATGATTAATCACTTAACGAAGGCGAAGGCTGGTGGGCTGGCCGGCTGGCTGGCTGGCTTGCGGAGCCCAGAACGGACCGGAGCAGGCCCATGCACGGACCGGAGCGCGAGAGAAGCGACCGCCTTCTGGTAACTCGATTAATGCATTCGAAGCAGCTGATTCGATTTGGCAGTTTCCCGAATATCATTAAAAATGCGAGAATAACAAAACTTAAATATTTCGTATTAATCGTATTGAGTCACAAGCAAATATTGAAAATTTTTCAGAAATATTGTATATTAATTTTGAAAAAAACTGATAGCACTTTTTCTGCCAAATATATACGATTCGTTTACACTGCTGTTGCCCATTCAGTTCGGTGCCGAAATTCATTCACAAAATTGGATATTTTTTTTTGGGAATTGCGAACCAAAGACCAACGCGACCAGAACACCACTGAAAGCCGCGTCTCAGCGTCAAGCTTTGATGAAGCACACGGAGGCAGGCAGCCAGAAGTCGAAACGAAGGCTCACAGTGGACCGAAAGCGACAGCGACGACTGTGGCTGCGGCAGTGGCAATGGCTACCAGGAGCGTCCTCGAGCGTGCTCGGCTTCGTGCTTCGGTAGGGACTGAATGGCGAAACGAACCAGTCGCTGGCCTGAAGGAACCGCCGACGGAGGCGCGCCAAACACACGAGGACGATGATGGCAGCTCTGCCTGCAAGAAGCTACCATTGACAGACCGTTCGGCAGCAGCACCACACGCCCACACTCTCGCAGGCCCTCACACATACACGGACATTTGTTGCAGATTTGTGTAGCACACTTTTAGGCGGCACGTTCGGTTCTCTGAAGGAGAAGCCCGGCAAACGCACAGCTGTTGAGTTGGCGCCAAAATTCTTGGCCACCTCCGCGCAGGCGTCAGACTGTTATATGCCTCGCATCATCCGACCGGTAGGACAGTTTTCGACAGGAGCGTCTCAGTGTGCAGCATGGGCCTTTTTTGTAAGTGGAAATCATTGCTTTCTCCTGTAATTCTGCAATTTCTCTGCAATTCTTTCACTAAAATAGTTGAAATATGTAAGGACACCTGTCGTGCTTCCCCACTCTATATGAAATATTGCAGCCCTAATCTGCTCGGAAACCCCTGCCGTATTTACTCCTACGCAGACAAGCGCCTGTCTGCCTGCCTGCCTGTCTGCCTGCCTGCTCTCCCACTGTCGGCATTAATCGCAAAATTCCCTGTCAAAAATGTGACACACAAAATACTTGTCTAGCAGTTACCTAACGTTGGGTATTTAAAAAGTTGTTGGAAAAACTTTCAAATTAAAAGCGCCGTGCTTAAATTATTCCAGCTCCTACCATTCAATGTCCTGGCTGGCTGGGTGGAGGGCTGCCTGGCTGGCTGGGAGCCTTTGGTACTTGATTCCTGGAACAGTGCAATCTCTTTGCAGTGCAAAACTCATTTCGCCATTCCGTTTATGGCATTCTGCATGTGTAAATACCATACTTATTATTTTCCTCACGTTCCCAGACACAGAGTGACTGATGACTGATGGAGCACCAAACTAACGAATTCCGTCGAAGTAATTACAATTTTGCAGAGGGTAAAAAAAGGCGCCCTTGAGAGAATTGAAGTGTCCTGATAGTGTACTCTAAGCGGGAGACTTAATTTAATTTTTCCTAGTTCTTGATGCATTTCCTCAACCGAACCGAACCGAACCGAAAATGGGGGAAAATGCAAATGGAAAACCGACTGAAATGGGATTTAAAATGCATGACATCAATTATAAGAAGTTTTCTTAATTTTCATCCTGTCATAACTCACATTGGGCTTCACACAAGCACAACTTTTCTCCTGTTCTTTTTTTCTGTATTTTGCTGCTCCTTTTCAAGTCGAACAAGGGCAAAGGCGAAAACTTGCCATGCCACACACTCACACACACAAAAACACACAGAGAGAGAGAGCACATTTGTTTATTCCTCGATTGCGTACAAACATTTGCATTTGCATAGACAAGTTAAAAGCATCGCCTCCTTTCCCCAGGACCCCCGCACATCAGTTCCCAGAATCAGGAGCAGAGTAGAGCCAACTTCCTGCTGCCTGACTGCCTCCGAGTCAATGCAGCTGCCGTTGCAAATATGTGGAAAAACTGCTGCTGCTCTCCTGCTGCTGCTGCTGCTCCACTCCTTGTTGCATGCGAAATTGCAGATTTCATATGCAAATTTTGCACTTCCACAGAAAATTATTCAAATTACTTGCTAGCGACAAGCATTGTGGATGGCGCACACTCTCTATAAAAAGAGAGGAACAAAACGGAACACCTTTCACCTTGCTCCGGAACAGAAGTCAACAGCCTTGGCCGCTTGTCAGCCTCATCAATGGGATTGACAAATCTTTGCTCAGCTCCCAGGCAAAGTCAAATGGAAATGGGGAATGGAAAAACCACCACCACCATCAATCAGGGAAATGGGCGAATGGCGGTTCGGGTTCATGGCTTGTAATCCTTTAATATTATTAAATAATTAACACGCATTACTTGGCTTGTTTATGGCAGCTTTGGCAACGGCAACGGCATCGGCATCGGCGTCATCTCCTTCTGCCGCTCAGGCGGGCGGAAGTGATGGAGCTCAAAGCCCTGCTAGGCAGTGCTTTCATTCTATTCAGCTCTTCTCTGCGGGGCAGAGGATTTAGCCATCAAAAGATAAACGCAATTATGGAGCAGTTAGGAACACGGCTACGAGCCATGTACAGTGTACAGTGTACACCATGGCGCAAATGAAGACAATGCCGCGATGGTGCGAAACATGCAAATTAACAGGCAAACTTTTCCTCACCGACGCCGACGCCGAAGACGAAGGAGTTAAAGTTCATTTTAAACTAAATTTGCATATTTAAATGGCATTATGCCCAGACACTTGACAGTCTAACTGGCAGTTGGCAACATTCAGCATTCGCACCCAGCCCAGGAATCAGGCTCTTGCCCCAGCTCCTGCTCCTGCTCCTGCTGCGGCTCAGACTCTTGCTCCTGCTCCTGCTGTCTCCGCGTCACTCTACAGTGACGGTGACGGTGACAGTCGGTGCCTTGTCACGTTTCTGTTGCCTCATAAAAGTGAGATTGAATTTTGAACGGGCAGGCAACAAACTCACTCTGGGCTTCGAGTGCGGCTCTGATTCGGGATTGCCTCTGCTCTGCCTTGCTTCTGCCTGGGTGATGCGGCGATGCGGAGATGCTGTGATGCTGTCTGTGCTTAATAGGCCACATGAACTTGAACCCCATCGTGGGATGAGTATGGGTATGTGTATGATGTGTATGATGATGATGATTATGGTGATGTTGATGATGATGATGATGGAGAGGACAATCCAAACGAAATTGTTGCACACGCGCGTGTGACACAAAGTTAAAGGAAAAGTGAAACTGAAAGTTTTCGATGTCGTCCCTCGTACATAGAGAAAGTGAGCGGGACTCCACTCCCCCTCTCACAAGCGGAAGTCATTAACGTCTGAACCCTGAGTCGGTTCGGTGTGGTGTGTGCGAGGAGGAAATTTCATTTATAACTACTCATCACAAGATTTTTTTAGAGTGTGCCAAGGAAACGATGCATAATGAAGAGCGATGGGTGATTCACGTCCCTGCCTGAGGAGCTGTAAAATGGGGAATGGAATCGAATCGAGTCGCGACTGGGTTCATTGAACAAGGGTTCGTTTTAAGGCAGTCATGTGCCAGGAATCGAATGGAGTCTCGAAAGAGTCTTGGCTGAAACGTGACTGGAGAGGGAATACCAGAATGTGACAGAAAGCAGATGGATTCAGGCTTCAGAGTGGTTTTATTAGCACCCATCAATGGAACTGAATCAGAACTTAACTGCCTCTGATTCGTGGCATTGATATACCATAATTAGCCAGAAATTGCGAAATTGATACTGCTCGCCCCATATGCGGTTAGGTGTCCGCTCCGAACGGACGCACGTGTCCGGCAAACTTTGAAATCAAAGGCAGAACAAAGGGGAGGACCACTAAATCAATTGACGTTTAACGACCAGCCGAGGGGCGCGAGCAGCGTTTGATTGACACGACGCTAATTGGAGACCAATCTGGTTGTCCATAATGCCGGGATTAGTAGCCCGAAACCAGGCCATGTGTGCGGCCCCTAGAGTCTGGACGGGTGGCATCAGGAGCGGAATCAAGGACCAGCCTAGGCCCATCCGACTTACTTAAAACGGAGATCTTCTGGAGCAGTTCATGTCTGTTCCAAGCGGCATTAGCTGCTGTATCTTTTATGTGGAATCAAATAACGATTCGGGCCACCGCAAACTTGTAGCAGGCCAAAAGTTTGTTGGCCAAATAAATCACGCTGCCAAGCCAAGAGACAAGCCAAGAACAACTCAATCGAGGAAGAAGAAGAAGGCATTCGACAGCGACATGAACATGGAATACACGCAATGATAAATCGAAAATATTTTTAGTTGTTTGCACAGAAAGCATTTGGGGGGAGCGACAAGCCAAGACAGACAGAGCAGAATGTCGTGCACCCACCGTCGCGCCCGGATTGACCAGCACTCAATAAAAAGTAACGCAGACTCCTCCGGCCACTCGTTGCTCCTCCTCGAGAAGGCCAGTTTAATGAATGAACAAACAGTCGGGCAAACGGAGGATTACGCTGACATTGGACATTGGACCCAGAGACTGTCCTCCTGACCTTCTCGGCCAGCGCCGCTTCAATCGAGTTGGGTAAACAAGTTGTGCGTCCTTGTCCACTTTTAGTTGCTCGAACAGAAGGAGTCTCATTCCTCATCCCAGTCGGCACTCAAGTGTTAATTGTGTGCGTGATTTAAGCTTTAGTTGGAAGAGTCGGCAGAGGGAGTGGGAGAGGGGAGGCCGTTTGAATAATTGCTTTTTGATTGAGTTCAATGCTGCAAAGGCTTTCCTCTGCGCTTAACTTTAATTTGAATTCCCAATCTCTCGGCATTCGTCGAGCACGGCGCATCCTTCATAAACTCGCAGCAATAACAGCTGTATACAATATTTCGTTCTGTCATGTTTTATCCCCTGGAACTGCCACGGCCACGCAAAGCTCTCTATGGGGAGTATGGAAAGAAACTTGGACAGATCAGGGCGCAGCACGAGCCACAGGGTTCGGCGGGTAAACTATGGCGTCTCCTTCTTCCATATCTCAAGGAGTACACGGCGACCTCCTCGGTGCATGGCATACGATATCTGGCCGATCCGAAGCTGAAATACTTTGAGAGGTATGCTTTTAAGAATGCTTGGACTCCCTTCTTTAAAAATAAAGACAATTTCCCTTTGAGCACAGGATAATTTGGCTGCTGATTCTGGTGGCCACCAGCATAGGTGCCAGCATTGTGTACGTAGATCTCAGTGAGCTCTACCAGTCGATGCGTATTCAGACCACCATCAAGAACACCATGTATCCGATATTCGCGGCGCCCTTTCCCGCTGTTGGGATCTGTCCGCGCAACCGCATAAATTGGATAAAGTTGGAGAACGAGGCTCCGTATCACTTCCTGGGTCCCAACATCTCTGCCGCAGAAAAGGAGCTCTTCGTTCGCTTCTTTACGTCTGCCGCCGACTCGCACTTGACTCGCTTGACAGAGATGTCGAGCTTTTTCAACAATGCCCCGCTAGCTGCTAACTTGACCCTGCTGGACGTCTTAGATGTGGCAACAGTCATTGAATATGTCCTGCTGAAGTGCAGTGATTTCTTTTCCGCCTGCCTCTGGCGGGGCAACCCGCAGAACTGTTGTGAGATTTTTGAGTTGCAGTTCACAGAGTCGGGCTCCTGTTGGGTTTTCAATTCACTGATCAGTCCAGCAAGGCGACAGAAAGAGGTAAGTGGGTGGGCAAGGTCCGATTCGAAACTCATTTGTGGTTCCCTCCACAGAAGGATAACAAGTACTATCCCCGTCGCACACCACAGTATGGTGAGGGCTCTGGCTTGGATGTTTTCCTGCGACTCAGGAACTCCTCTCTTATTCGGCCCAACAAACGGGGCGTATACGTGATGATCAAGCAACCGCAGCAGTGGAGCGATGTCGTGCGCCATGTCCCACACGGGGCGCAAACCCAGATCAGCATGGTGCCCCGCATCACAACCACGGATCAGCGAACCCGAGCCTTGACGCCCAGAGCCAGACGCTGCATCTTTCCGGATGAGGTTACCCATCCTCAGTACAAGAATCTGCCGGGTTTTGAGTACTGGGTGGGAAACTGTCGCAGCAAGTGTCACCAGGAACATGTCATCAATCTGTGCAAGTGCTCGCCATCTGTTTTCTTTCCGGTAACCGATAAGGGTGAGTAGACGGCCGTCCTTTGCGAATGCAAATATTAATAAAAAAGTAATCCATCTATTAGATAACTTTACTGTCTGCAGGCCATCGGACTTTAAGTGTCTCCACGATAACAGACGTAAGTGCATACTAATCCCAATTAAACGAATGCATATATCATTTCTTATTTCCCCATACATTTTATAGTCACTTTTAGCGTGGAGCGCCATCCCCAGGAGGATGAGTACGTGGACAATCTGTACAAGGAGAGCATGATCTGTAACTGCTTCATAAGTTGCACTCAGCTAATCTTCGATCGAGTATTTAGTAGCAGCACCTTAGAGTAAGTAAATCCCCAACCCTATATAGCTCTCCCATCTCCATTTTCCATCTCTCCCAGTAATAACGACACCCACACAGAGTTGGGTACCATTCGCCTGGACATTTTCTATCAGTCGGGATGGTTCATCCAGTACCACACCAATATGCGTTTTACCTTTGTGGAATTGCTGGGTGTGTAGAATCTCTCATACCTGTCGTCCAATCTTTTCATTGTATAACAATTTTCAGCTAGTTTCGGTGGCATAATTGGCCTCTTCCTGGGCGCCTCACTGCTCAGTGCCTTTGAGCTGGTATACTTCTTCACCATTGGCCTCTATTTATATTTGCATGGGGAGAGGAAACTGTCCTTCCAGCCACGCCCACTCCAACCAGCAGTAATTACTATACCCTTTGGACAGAGAAAGATTACTCCAGCTAAGTATATACGTTGACGGGACTATAGGTATAATATGAGCATCTATGTGAGTATAAATCAACAATAAATAACATTCACCAGGCATTTCTCTGGTGGTGGAGCGGATGCCTAATTTTGTTTGTGGTCTGGTCCTTTTGGGATGGGTGCACCTGATGGTCAGCTAAATGAGTGACTTCGTTTTTCAAATAGCTCTTAAAGGTGCCCCATTTTATCTTCATTTTCCGATGGAGTACGCCATAGTAGGAGTTGTCGTAGAGATGCATGCCAAAGCCGACTGTTAGATAGTAAATCAACTCGAATGCACTGACCATAGAGGCGCCCAAGCACAGGCCAAAGATGCCACCCAAGTTAGCTGTCAAATAAATACAGATGAAGGAGAGATATCATGCTTTAAGATTCATAAATCAAACCTATCAAATCAATCGTGGTAAATTCCAGACTGGTGCGGTACAGCGGCGTCGTCTCCACTTGGTAGTGCACATCCACTCTGAAGAGTTTCTGCTGCGGATCCTTTGGACTGAAATCATTCTTTATATAAGTCACTAAGTCCACTAAGAAATGATCTAAAGATCTTACATCCTCTTGGCAGAGAGAGGCAGCGTCGTTGTGGCCGTGTAGTAATCGAGCAGATAGCAGTTCACCAGACAGGAGCATGTCATGCCTGGTTTGGTGGCACTAAACAGAGCATCCTCCTCCCGACGCTTATCGTAGCTGAAAATATCTGCAACAAGGGATATTGTTATCGAAGGATCCCGCCCCGCTTTGTGTGGTCCTCACCATTATGCCTCGCGATGCACCGGAGGCTGGTCGCTGTGCATTCCTTGACTGAAAAACAAGAACAATGGCACCTCTGGAAGCACTCTCTAAGCCCCAACTTACCTTTTTGATTGTGAAGAAAGAAAATGGGCAGGGAGCAGTTGCACAGCTGAATCAAGTACGACTCATGGCACCGATTCAGGCAGTTGGTAAGCTGGAAGGGCTTGCCATACTTCTTGGCCGAGTCCGCGGGATCCAGCTCGAGCTGCTCGTCCACAAAAAGGCAATTGCGACGTTCTGGGGGAATGCTCCGGGTGGTCTCATCGGTCCACGTCAGGTCGGGACGAACCGTCACATAGGTCTCGGTATTTTGGGTCATGGAATAGACCACATTCGACATTTGGTCTGGCTTTTTGATCATTATCTAAAACATGGAGAGGGTACTTTTATGGGATACCAAAGGCAGCAACTCCATCAAGCATCATACATAGACTTTATCGGTGGCCAAGGAATTCGGTCGCTTGAAGCTCTCATTTAGAAGCAGATCAAAGTTGAGACCCGTGCCCTGGCCAGCCTTTGCATTGTGACGGGGATAGAATTTGGAGCCCTCGCGTTTCTTGATCTCCTTCGAGCGCGGCGAGAAATCCGAGTTGAAGACCAGACAGAACCCAAACTCGGTCTTCTCCATCACAAAGTACTCGCAGCAGTCGAAGGTTGTGCTGCGCCACTGGCACGAGTTGGGCACCATGATATCCTGGCAGCTTAGGGTCAGGAACATGGCCAACGTTGTGATGTTGATGAAGTTCACTGCCTCGAGATTGTCGTCATCCAGCTCGGACAAACCCACCGAAAAGCTGCCAAAGCGCAGCGTCTCCAGTCGAGCAACCAAAGTGGTGAAGGACTCCACAAGTTCCAAGCTCGCATTGGCAGGCAGGAACTCCGACTTGGCCGCCTGCAGCTGGCTCCAATTGATGCGATTGTCAGTGCAAATACCAACGGCTGGAAATTCGACGAGAAAGACGGGGTACTGGGGATCGTGGACGACAGTTTGCAGCTTCTGCGACACAAAGCGTTCCGATAGCATCAGATAAAAGAACCATGACAGGGCAATGCTGACGGAGAGCAGCAAGCACCAGATAAGTCTGCAAAGGGAAAGATGATTCATCAGTGGATTGAAGTCCATGCTCACTGGATGGAGACCTTTCCAGGTTGTGTAGCTGCGGATCGTAGAGATAGCGGACGCAATGAATGGTTGATTTTTCGCAGTAGCTCCGAAAGTAGACGCGCAACAACTCCATAAAGCACTTAGTATCTTGCTTTTGCGGCGTATCCGATTTGTCACCCTTCGCCATGCCGGGACGTGTGTCGTGGAATCACTGAGCTCTGCTCCGGATGCCGGGGAACCCTTTTATGGAATGGCTGCAAATTGCAGTGGGAAACTTTTGTCGGACAGGTATCCATTACGGCTCACATCGGTTGTAATTGAGTAGTTATGTTTTCGGCAAAAGATAAGCCCAGCCCGGTGACAAAAGTGCGTGTCGTCGTCGCACTCATTGATTAGCGGGCTCGCCTCCCAATTAACCGTGACTTTCCCAAACAGTCAGTCCTTCGGTTGAGCGAAATGGGTGAAGTTGAGTGGCAGCCTGAACCGCAACTCGGTAATGATGATGTTGATGAGAAGGGGCCGCGCAAGCAGATTAAGTCCAAAAAAAACGACAAGAAGAGGAACAATAAGTAGCTTTCCATCAGGCGGTAGGTCGACATCACTCTTTCGTGCCACTCCCCCCACTTTAACCCCCATTACAGCTGTGCCCGTATACCGCTGATGATGGTTTTTGCCATAGCCACTGTCTATGTCTGCATCCTGTAATATTCGACGCTCGTCGTGCCTTCTTGTGTTTTAATTATCCACGGCTAACTTCCAAAATTACAGCCTAAAACTAGGCCGTACAAAAATTCGAGTTGAAGATCTTGTGAGCTTTGATAAAGCTTATCAAGACCTGTTTTACGACTAGCAGGCTTATATTAGGGACTATTAGCGTTAGGTTTTATAGGAATTTCAATGAAGAACTATGGATTGCTTAAATAAAGTTAGTTTGGAAATGAACCAAGGCTAAATATCTTATATCGGAACCATGCAACCTCATCTGACGGAGAGGTGACCCACCGCAGTCTTTGTTGGAGGGATCCTTGATCAGGGGTGACATAGACAGCCCTGATCTGTTGAGCCGCATAAACTTCACGATTCCTATTAGACTGACTAGAAATTTTTATACCGTTGTTCCTTCCACTTTGTAGATCGAATTATTCCTTGCATGAACCGTTTAGGGTCTTAAGCTAGGATTATAATTCCCTCTACCATATTATATCCACCACTAATTCTCTTCCTCTTATTAAATTACCTTTCTATTAATTAGTAATTGTAGTGGTATTTGTATTTTGATTGCATGCTTAGTATCTTAGTAAGTTTAGTGATAATTTTCCTCGAATGTTAGTCTAATAGCTATCTTTCTTGCATGTTCGCGTTCGGTTCGGCTACGCACCGTGCGTCATGCAGCAGCGCCCCTCGGTCTGTTGGGCGGGAGGAGGGCTGCGTTTTGCCTGGGATCCGCGCGTAACAGCCTTCTGCTGGTTTCACACGGGCCACTTGACGGTGCAGTAACTGTAACGGTAACAGTTACGTCCAAGATCCTGACTGTTAATAGGTGGCCCTGAAGGATCATGGTAGGTTGGGCGTTCTCGCCAATGGGCGATACCGCAGCCGACAAAGATCTGACCGGTGATCTTCTTCGTTTACGTATCCATGCTGATCTGTCCCTTTGACCCCCTGTATCCCTTTTCCTAGTATCCTTTCCCTACTCGTACGTGATTTATTTTGTATATACATTCTTATCTCGACCATTTGCCAGAGCTCTAAATGGGTAGTAAAATGTCCTCCATGCCCACACCCCGCCGACCAGAGACAAAAGCCGAAGCCAGCGCGTACTTCCTACTCCCGTTTAGTTATCATCAGCTCCTATAACCTGTACGTTGTATGCTACAATCCTCTCCTCGCTTAGATGTGGCAACAGTCATTGAGTATGTCCTGCTGAAGTGCAGTGATTTCTTTTCCGCCTGCCTCTGGCGGGGCAACCCGCAGAACTGTTGTGAGATTTTTGAGTTGCAGTTCACAGAGTCGGGCTCCTGTTGGGTTTTCAATTCACTGATCAGTCCAGCAAGGCGACAGAAAGAGGTAAGTGGGTGGGCAAGGTCCGATTCGAAACTCATTTGTGGTTCCCTCCACAGAAGGATAACAAGTACTATCCCCGTCGCACACCACAGTATGGTGAGGGCTCTGGCTTGGATGTTTTCCTGCGACTCAGGAACTCCTCTCTTATTCGGCCCAACAAACGGGGCGTATACGTGATGATCAAGCAACCGCAGCAGTGGAGCGATGTCGTGCGCCATGTCCCACACGGGGCGCAAACCCAGATCAGCATGGTGCCCCGCATCACTACCACGGATCAGCGAACCCGAGCCTTGACGCCCAGAGCCAGACGCTGCATCTTTCCGGATGAGGTTACCCATCCTCAGTACAAGAATCTGCCGGGCTTTGAGTACTGGGTGGGAAACTGTCGCAGCAAGTGTCACCAGGAACATGTCATCAATCTGTGCAAGTGCTCGCCATCTGTTTTCTTTCCGGTAACCGATAAGGGTGAGTAGACGGCCGTCCTTTGCGAATGCAAATATTAATAAAAAAGTAATCCATCTATTAGATAACTTTACTGTCTGCAGGCCATCGGACTTTAAGTGTCTCCAAGATAACAGACGTAAGTGCATACTAATCCCAATTAAACGAATGCATATATCCTTTCCTATTTCCCCATACATTTTATAGTCACTTTTAGCGTGGAGCGCCATCCCCAGGAGGATGAGTACGTGGACAATCTGTACAAGGAGAGCATGATCTGTAACTGCTTCATAAGTTGCACTCAGCTAATCTTCGATCGAGTATTTAGTATCAGCACCTTAGAGTAAGTAAATCCCCAACCCTATATAGCTCTCCCATCTCCATTTTCCATCTCTCCCAGTAATAACGACACCCACACAGAGTTGGGTACCATTCGCCTGGACATTTTCTATCAGTCGGGATGGTTCATCCAGTACCACACCAATATGCGTTTTACCTTTGTGGAATTGCTGGGTGTGTAGAATCCCTCATACCTGTCGTCCAATCTTTTCATTGTATAACAATTTTCAGCTAGTTTCGGTGGCATAATTGGCCTCTTCCTGGGCGCCTCACTGCTCAGTGCCTTTGAGCTGGTATACTTCTTCACCATTGGCCTCTATTTATATTTGCATGGGGAGAGGAAACTGTCCTTCCAGCCACGCCCACTCCAACCAGCAGTAATTACTATACCCTTTGGACAGAGAAAGATTACTCCAGCTAAGTATATACGTTGACGGGACTATAGGTATAATATGAGCATCTATGTGAGTATAAATCAACAATAAATAACATTCACCAGGCATTTCTCTGGTGGTGGAGCGGATGCCTAATTTTGTTTGTGGTCTGGTCCTTTTGGGATGGGTGCACCTGATGGTCAGCTAAATGAGTGACTTCGTTTTTCAAATAGCTCTTAAAGGTGCCCCATTTTATCTTCATTTTCCGATGGAGTACGCCATAGTAGGAGTTGTCGTAGAGATGCATGCCAAAGCCGACTGTTAGATAGTAAATCAACTCGAATGCACTGACCATAGAGGCGCCCAAGCACAGGCCAAAGATGCCACCCAAGTTAGCTGTCAAATAAATACAGATGAAGGAGAGATATCATGCTTTAAGATTCATAAATCAAACCTATCAAATCAATCGTGGTAAATTCCAGACTGGTGCGGTACAGCGGCGTCGTCTCCACTTGGTAGTGCACATCCACTCTGAAGAGTTTCTGCTGCGGATCCTTTGGACTGAAATCATTCTTTATATAAGTCACTAAGTCCACTAAGAAATGATCTAAAGATCTTACATCCTCTTGGCAGAGAGAGGCAGCGTCGTTGTGGCCGTGTAGTAATCGAGCAGATAGCAGTTCACCAGACAGGAGCATGTCATGCCTGGTTTGGTGGCACTAAACAGAGCATCCTCCTCCCGACGCTTATCGTAGCTGAAAATATCTGCAACAAGGGATATTGTTATCGAAGGATCCCGCCCCGCTTTGTGTGGTCCTCACCATTATGCCTCGCGATGCACCGGAGGCTGGTCGCTGTGCATTCCTTGACTGAAAAACAAGAACAATGGCACCTCTGGAAGCACTCTCTAAGCCCCAACTTACCTTTTTGATTGTGAAGAAAGAAAATGGGCAGGGAGCAGTTGCACAGCTGAATCAAGTACGACTCATGGCACCGATTCAGGCAGTTGGTAAGCTGGAAGGGCTTGCCATACTTCTTGGCCGAGTCCGCGGGATCCAGCTCGAGCTGCTCGTCCACAAAAAGGCAATTGCGACGTTCTGGGGGAATGCTCCGGGTGGTCTCATCGGTCCACGTCAGGTCGGGACGAACCGTCACATAGGTCTCGGTATTTTGGGTCATGGAATAGACCACATTCGACATTTGGTCTGGCTTTTTGATCATTATCTAAAACATGGAGAGGGTACTTTTATGGGATACCAAAGGCAGCAACTCCATCAAGCATCATACATAGACTTTATCGGTGGCCAAGGAATTCGGTCGCTTGAAGCTCTCATTTAGAAGCAGATCAAAGTTGAGACCCGTGCTCTGGCCGGCCTTCGCATTGTGACGGGGATAGAATTGGGAGCCCTCGCGTTTCTTGATCTCCTTCGAGCGCGGCGACAAATCCGAGTTGAAGACCAGACAGAACCCAAACTCGGTTTTCTCCATCACAAAGTACTCGCAGCAGTCGAAGGTTGTGCTGCGCCACTGACACGAGTTGAGCACCATGATATCCTGGCAACTTAGGGTCAGGAACATGGCCAACGTTGTGATGTTGATGAAGTTCACTGCCTCGAGATTGTCGTCATCCAGCTCGGACAGACCCACCGAAAAGCTGCCAAAGCGCAGCGTCTCCAGTCGAGCAACCAAAGTGGTGAAGGACTCCACAAGTTCCAAGCTCGCATTGGCAGGCAGGAACTCCGACTTGGCCGCCTGCAGCTGGCTCCAATTGATGCGATTGTCAGTGCAAATACCAACGGCTGGAAATTCGACGAGAAAGACGGGGTACTGGGGATCGTGGACGACAGTTTGCAGCTTCTGCGACACAAAGCGTTCCGATAGCATCAGATAAAAGAACCATGACAGGGCAATGCTGACGGAGAGCAGCAAGCACCAGATAAGTCTGCAAAGGGAAAGATGATTCATCAGTGGATTGCAGTCCGTGCTCACTGGATGGAGACCTTTCCAGGTTGTGTAGCTGCGGATCGTAGAGATAGCGGACGCAATGAATGGTTGATTTTTCGCAGTAGCTCCGAAAGTAGACGCGCAACAACTCCATAAAGCACTTAGTATCTTGCTTTTGCGGCGTATCCGATTTGTCACCCTTCGCCATGCCGGGACGTGTGTCGTGGAATCACTGAGCTCTGCTCCGGATGCCGGGGAACCCTTTTATGGAATGGCTGCAAATTGCAGTGGGAAACTTTTGTCGGACAGGTATCCATTACGGCTCACATCGGTTGTAATTGAGTAGTTATGTTTTCGGCAAAAGATAAGCCCAGCCCGGTGACAAAAGTGCGTGTCGTCGTCGCACTCATTGATTAGCGGGCTCGCCTCCCAATTAACCGTGACTTTCCCAAACAGTCAGTCCTTCGGTTGAGCGAAATGGGTGAAGTTGAGTGGCAGCCTGAACCGCAACTCGGTAATGATGATGATGATGTTGATGAGAAGGGGTCGGGCAAGCAGATTAAGTCCAAAAAAAACGACAAGAAGAGGAACAATAAGTGGCTTTCCGTCAGGCGGTAGGTCGACATCACTCTTTCGTGCCACTCCCCCCACTTTAACCCCCATTACAGCTGTGCCCGTATACCGCTGAAGATGGTTTTTGCCATAGCCACTGTCTATGTCTGCATCCTCTCCTCGGAGCGGTACTTCTACTACTGGGTTCAAACCACCATCGAACGCACCGACGTCCATGTATCGGAGATCAATTTTCCCGCAGTGACCATCATCCCCATGTCTGTCACCAATCTCAATGCGTCAAATGAGGCGCAGCGCCACACCAGAGTCTTCAATATGGCCCGGGCCGTTCTTTGGCAAACCCCAGATGCAGTCCAACTCGACAAACATAGCTTCGAAGAGTTTCCCGAATACGCAGATGTAGATCCCACAGCTTTGGACATGGACACAGTGTATGATTCCTTCCAGGACGCTTGCAAGTATTTCTTCGCGGAATGCTCGTGGCGCCGTAAGCCCATGAACTGCTGCAGCCTCTTTCGGTCAGTCTCCACCTTTAAAGGGTTTGCGTACGTCTTCAACTCAGTGCGATGCGAATTTCCGGACGAAACTTGGCCGTGGTCTGCGTCTGCCTCGGGATCCCTCAGCGGCCTTAATGTGAAGATACATCGTAATCAAAATTTCTTTAATATAAATATGCTGGGGGTGAGTTGGCAATCAATTATTTTAGTAATACAATAATATATAATACGTATAATTCAGGTGATTGTGCATGAACCCACTCAGCAACTGGGCCACAGTATTGCCTATTCCACTGAGGATCGTATTGTCATACCCGTAGAGCCACTGCGCTTCACAGCCGAGGCAGACGTCAAGGCCCGGCCAGTCCAAATGCGCCGCTGTCTGTTCGAGGTGATGGCGAATACCTTTCTGAGCAATGGGGCAACCATTACAAGCTTTATCGTTGCAGAGTGAGATTGTACGTCTGGGCCAGTCGCGATCCGAGTGTATTTACAAGTGCCATGTGCAGTACATCTTGAAAAAATGCAACTGCACCGTGAATCTGCCCCGTCCGGTGACTACAAGGATGGAAAATATCACAGAATCAAGCTACTATAATGGAACAAAACTTTGTGGGGTGAAGCACTTGCCCTGCTTCAATGACAACAGACGTGAGTTTTGCGATAGGATGCCATATCATACCATGAGTTAATCTGATTGCCAACCGACAGTTTCGCTGTTCTCCATGAGCAACATCATCGAGGAGTCCAGAGATAACATCTTTACGACCGTCGACTGCGGCTGCTTCCCGCAGTGCGATCATACACAGTACCACTCCTCCACCTATACCGAACGATTGAGCAGCGTGGAGAACAACAATTCGGTAATCGAGATAGACGTATACTTTCAGGAGGAGACCCTCTTCTCGTATCGCTCCATGCTGCGCTTCACCCTCATCGATCTGATGGGTGAGTCTCACTCTCGCTTCGACAGGATCTCCAGTCTCACCCACTCTACTCCATTCAACCACAGTTTCCTATGGTGGCATAGCAGGTCTGATTATGGGAATCTCGGTCTTGGGCTGGGTTAATGCCATCCTGGACCACTTCGCCTGTTGTCGGCTGCCCAGCGACGGATAGCACTGCCCCTCCTCTCCCTTATTGAATCTGAAACAGCCACAGCTGCTTTCTCACGTTTCTTTACCTGTAATCGGAACAGCGATTCAGTGTTCAGACGAACATAAATAAATTCAGAAGAAAAAACGCATTAGGGGAATTGTTTAGAGTTTAACTACCTGACGAGGCAGTGGAAAACTACCTTGCCAGCTAGGGTATCGGTTTGTAGATTGTATTAGTACATATGTATGTACATACGCTATATACCAGGTATATATGAGTGAGTCAGTGCACATGTTCTGGGGTTGCATTTGAGCAAAATTCAATTAGTATACAACATAAAGAGAAATTCTTTCACAATGATTTTAAGGAACAAGGTAAGTATGCATACATATATGTACGAGAATATGTCAAAGTTTAAAGGCGACAGACTAAGCCACACGAGCCGATCTGTAGGTTATCAGATGTCATAAAAGAAATCTTTGTTGTCCACTTGATCGCATCACAAAAGAGATCATTGCTGGCAAAGTTCCTTCTGAAAGAGCATGAATAAATCGAATCGAGCAGCGTAATCTCCCTCCCTCTGTCGAGCATTTCCCGTCCGTTCCATTCCAGTATTCAGGTGCGGTACCAAGTCCATGACGCGCCTGGGGGTATAAATAGCAGCTGGTCTGGCCTGATCAGGCACAGTCTCCGCTTCATCGCCCAAGCCGCCACCACACACAATTTTCAAACAGCAAAATGAAAGTCTTAGTTGCCATCTGCGTGCTGATTAGTTTGGTAAGTGTTTGGTATAGATGAACTCAACCCAACCCAACCGTTGATAACCCTTCAAACCTGACCCAAAAATATGGAAAATAATTAACCAAACAATTTCTCTGGTGCCGGTCACAGGCCTCAGCCGAATATGTCTTGAAGAATCGCGATAATATGCTGGCCTATCGCGACGAGTGCGTCAAGGAACTGGGCGTGCCTGCCGATCTTGTGGAGCAGTACACGAAGTGGCAGTATCCCAACGATGCCAAGACCCAGTGCTACATTAAGTGCGTGTTCACCAAGTGGGGCCTGTTCGATGTCCAGACTGGCTTCAGTGTGGAGAACATCCACCAGCAGCTCGAGCTCGGACATGCCGACCACAACGAGGCGATGCATAGCAGCATCGCTGCTTGCGTGGACAAGAACGAGCAAGGATCCAATGCCTGCGAGTGGGCCTACCGCGGTGCCACCTGCCTCCTGAAGGAGCACCTGCAGAAGATCCAGAAGAGCCTGGCCCCCAAGGCCTAGAAATAGTTGATACCCATTACTGATAGCCATTAATTTAGTTAATAAACCCATTGAACGTACCACTTGACTTTCCACTTGGTCACACCCATCGTAGCTGCTAATGGAGGGTCGACGGGTGGGGTTTCTCCTGTGGCAGAACTTCACCAAATGTTGGCCATTCGAAATGTTGCTGTACACCAAGGAACTCGTGGCCCCGCGTCCAAAAGGCGGCCAAGGTCTGCTCCGTTTCAAGCAGAATTTGCTGAAGAAGAAGGTGCTGAATCGTCTGACTGATTCACTTGCCCACTCCACAATCCACGGAATGCAGAATGTGTTCACAGAGAGGCATTTCTGGGTGCGCTGCATGTGGCTGTGCATCGTAGTGGGGGCGGCCGTCACCTGCTTCAGCCTGTACTCCGTACTGATGCATCGCCACAGCGAACAGCTGCTGGTCAGCCTGATAGACACCACTCAGATGCCAGTATACCACATCGACTTCCCGGCGGTGGCGATCTGTCCGTGGAATCATGTCAACTGGTTACGTACTCCAGCTGCCGTCCTGCGATTCTTGCCCCGTCATCCTGATGCCGAGCTAATGGAAACATTCCGCCAGTTTCTCCTTGTCCTGGAGCAGACGACGTTTGTGAACTTCAACAAAGCGCATAACTTGTCCAAGCGCAATCTTACTGCGCTGGAATCGTTGAATGTGAGAACGGTGATAAACTATTTGTCCCATCGCTGCGACGAACTATTCGTCCCGGACTCCTGTGTCTTCGATGAGACGCCGTACGACTGCTGCAAGCTCTTTGTGTCGGAGCAAACCGAGAAGGGGCAGTGTCTGGTCTTCAACTCGCTCATCTCTGAACACTCGCGCAAGAAGCAGCTCACCAACAAGTTTTACCCGTACAAACTGAGCACTGCTGGCGAAGAGTCGGGTCTGAAGTTCACTATTAACCTGAATGAATCCTATCTTAGAGCTGGCACAAAACTCCCCTATGGAATGAGTGTGGGTGCAGAAACCACATCGAAGAAAGCTCCTTCATTGCATTTCATTTCATTTCTCACCAGCTCATGATCAAGGAGCCCCGTCAGTGGTCAAACAACATGGTTTATCACCTCCATCCGGAAACTGAGAACTTTGTGGCAGTGCATCCAATGGTCACCGAGACGTCTCCGAACACATACGAGATGAGTCCCGAGAAGCGACGGTGCTACTTTGATGTGAGTACTTCGATTTGACCTTTGTGGAAATGCTGATTTGTTTCCTCCGAGAAGAACGAGAAAAACCCTCATTACCAGGACACGACATTGGTCTACAATCGGGAAAACTGCATTGTTGTGTGCCTTCACCAGGTAGTGATAAAAGCCTGCAACTGCTCGACACCAGTTTTCCTACCACCCATAGGTAGGGTTCTGTTCATGTACTTCTTTCTCAGACTTCTCAGCTCTCATCCTGCAGTTACAGAGGGCATTCGTGAGTGCGGAATCTTGGACGCGAAATGCCTCAGTCTCAATGCCGATATCTTCAGCTATGTAAAGGTGGGCGACCAGGAGAAGTACATAAACGACTGGCGACGCGGTCACACATGTCATTGCCCCGACAATTGCAGCTCCCGAAAATACCAAATGACGGTCAACGTCCGGAAATTGGATTAGTAAGTAAGCCAAAACCAAATCAAAATCAAAATCTCACCAATTTCTGTGTCGTGGACAGCGATAAAAACCAGACCAACAGAGTAATTAAGGCACAGATATATTACGGCCAGCGAGTGATGACCAAAATCGTGACCAAACTCAAGTACACAAGTCTCGATTTGATGGCCCACTTTGGGGGTATCATAAGTCTTTATATTGGCGCCTCTGCAATAAGTTTCGTCGAGCTCTTCGTCGTGCTGGGAAAGCTGCTGTGGACACTTATCAGAGAGGGATACTCTAAGGCAAAAGAGTGGATTATTTAACTGATACTGATACGATTACATATATGTATTTACTCTGCTCCTTGGTAACAACTAAAAACATGAGAGTGGAAAATGTTAGTCGAGATGCACGTCACTCATTTCTGCTTTGTTTCTTGGTCAGTCGGATATCTTATATAAATGGTCGGATGAGGCACGGTGGCGGGCGTCTCGGGCAGTTGGTCCAGGTAGGAGCAGCCAATGGCCAGGGCACTGCCATCGGAGCTAAAGTTTAGAGTTGAAATGGAGGTGTCATATTCGTGGAACTGGCACAGACGCTTTTTGTTAAAGCCGTCCCAGATGTTAACAATGCAATCGGAGCCGCCAGTGGCAAATGTGTGATAAACGTTGTGGAAGCTGAGCGCATTCACCGGATAAATCTGTTCGATGTTGTTATCCCTGTTCCGATGGCATTTGAAGGCAAATTTACGACGCTGCACCTCGGGGTCGTGGTCCAAGTACTCGACTGCCACACGGCCCTCAATCGAGGACATCACGTAGCCCTCTTTGTTGGGGAAGAGGCGAATGCAACGCGTCTGGTACTTCAGCGAGGACTCGCGCTTCATTATATAGCTGTCCATTTTGCGCAGGTCCCAGATGAGCACCTTGCGGTCGGAGGTAGCCACCACAATCTTCTCGTCAATCACAGACATGGAATACACCTTGCCGTTGTTCTGTTCGAAGGTGCCAACGCAGCGCTTCTCGCGCATGTCCCAGAGTTTAACATTCTTGTCCCAGCTGCCCGTCAAGATGCCATTTACGTATTCGGCATGTTCCACACAACGCACCGCGTTCTCGTGGGCACCCACAATGGTCTCCGTCTGGGTGTTCACATCGAAGAGGCGCAGCTGGTTGTCCAGCGAGCCGCTCACCACGTGCACAATATCCTGTTGCATAAACAATTGCATTAGGGGGTGGGGAAGTTTGTCAACAATCACACAGTGTACAGACCATGAAGGCACAGTCAAGAATTGGCGCATCTTGCAGGAATTTCTGCCGCATCTGGTTTGCCGCCACATCGTAGAAGCGAAGCGTTCCGTCCCATGACGATGCCGCCATGTACTGGTTCGATTTGGGGCCGAATTTCACAGCCGATATCAAGTCCTCTGGCGGATTGTTCAATTTAAACTCTGGCGGTCGCATTTTGTTAATTTTTTTAAAAATTTACAATTTAATTATATTTCGAGTCAAAATTTGCAAGCCGGCGTCACTTTTTGGAATTGATCGATAAAAAATGCCGTCCGATAAATATCGAAATATATCAAAATTTACCGCAAATATACTGAGGCACTCATGTTATATTTTACATATTCCTCGTTTTTTATATTCCGTCCAATATTACAAACTATATAGACCATTTTGCCATGCCCATATCATTTTGTACGCTCGGTCAATCAATTATTTCCTTAACTGGCTTATTCTTAATACTTGCTTTTATTGCATTTTGCGTAAAAAAAGGTTTTAGCAAAAATGGTCAAACAAAAAAAGGTTTTAGCGAAAATACCAAACTTGTGCGCCAAATATAAATTGTTTGAAAGTGAGTTAGTGAAAAGGATTTAAATGCAATCTATTCAAGTAAATGATACACGAAAGTACGATTTGCGAGCTAAAATTCAAAAACCTGCTTATCGAAGTTTCTATACCCTTTCTTCTTAAATATATGTACCATTATATACCGATATTCCGTTCAATTTTGACCCCAAATAAATAAAAGATTTTTTAAAATCGCAAAAACTGCCAGACTGAAGGTTTGAAATATACCAAAATATACCGTGTTTTTTTTAAATATACCAAAAAATATACCCATGACAAAAACGAACTTAGCCCACTTAAGCCGCCGCTATTTAAACAGCTCAACGACGGATAAAATTACTAATTGTATATTCTTCTTGTAGATCATATATTGCAGATAATTGGGTAATTGGGCCGTAATGTGGTATCTGTGATCCATGAATACCCCTACTGTCACAGTCGATATTTTGCATTTTCGTAGTACCAACAACGGACACCGAATATATTCATATACTGGCGCTACTTAATGTAAAATGTGTATGTAGATACGCTGTATCGTACATCTTAAATTCAAAATGTAACGTGTTTTTGAAACAACAACTCGATCATCGAAGAATCATCAAACAAACTACAATTAATAGTATCTATATTAGTTGAAAAGTCAAGAAACATCTACTAACTCTACGAAGATCCGCTCCCTCCGCATCCAACTCCAACAATATATTTGGCTTAGACTAAACTACAGGGATGCGGAAGAGGCGCGCGTAAATGGCATTACTCTAGTATTTTGGAAGTACTAATTTTGGTGGTTGCGTTGTTTTTCACTGGGTTCCATCCTCAGTGGAGCATTCTGGGCTGCTATTACTTGATTTTCCTGCGATAGGACCGAAAGGACTGCGGCCCGTCGTCCGCAGTGCTCAGCGCGATGGCGAACTGGGCAGCGTAGTAGGTGATCATGATCTGCAGCCGGGGACAGGGCAGGGGCACGCCCACGAACATGGTGACGGCGATCAGGGCATCTGAAACGACGAACAGAACGGCTCCCACGGCGCAGAAAATGGCGAGGAAATTCTTGGCATCCACAGCCCGGGCCAGGGCGCGCCACAGCATGGTGGTGATCAGGTAACAGTAGATGGGGACTCCAATGATGAGTATCTCGTCCAGTTTCTGGTGCACAAAGTACACAACTGCGACGTAAAGGGGGGAAACATTAGAGATGAAAGGCTCGTCCAAAGCTTTGACCCCACTTACACAGCGACACGGCCACATAGAGAGCCAGTCCGATGGGCCACTTGAGTGGCTTCCAGCCAAAGGCGCAGATGTAGAACACATGGGCCACCCCAAAGCTGACCATTCCAAAGGGAAAGAGGTTGACATTGAGCAGGGCATCGCCACCGCAGGAGAAGACCAGACCAAGAAGTATCCAGAGCGATCGGCGGTAGCTATCAGGAGTAGCATACGATTAGTTTTTGTGGAAGAGGTTTAAGAACAGCACTGCAAGCACTTACTCCTTTTTAAGCGAGAACCCATTAGCCACCACATAAAACATCAAGGCCACAATGGGCAAACACTTGAGCACTGTGGTCCATAGCTCTCCTTGGGGATCCTGGCGCACCAGCGAGAAGTACAGTATCAGGGTGGCCACAAAGGGCGCCAGCCTCGGGCCATGCGTTTTGACCTGAGTATCAAGTGAAGAGAAGAATATGAAATAGCCATACGATTATCGCTAATCGAACCATGGTGGGTCCAAACTACGCACTCACACCCCACCCCACCCCGATTATACAATCGAACGTTTTCGATTCTGATTAGATTAACGCATTGGCGTTGGCTGCCAAACCCCAATCCCCTGATCAAACATTTATGGTTTTATGATGATTGTAATTTGCATACCATTAGCAGGTACTTAGGGAGGTTTCTGGGGGTTGGCGTAACTTTCGCTTTTGCTGCACGACAGAGCTTTTCCGCGGACAGAGCTGCAGTGCCGTTGAGAGGGCTCTCGGCGCTCTCAATCCAGAGCACGGGAGATGTGTGCAAGGTCAAGGACGAAAGCTTTACATTCACTTTACACTTTTCTGCGGTTAGATAAAGCATCCGTGCAGGCGCACAAACAAACAAAGAAAGGTGTACAGAAAATGAATCAAGCTTAAACAAAGGCGAGCAATGGTGTCAGATTTCTGTATTGCATGCAGAAATACGAGTAGAATCCGCACTGATTTCATTCGAAGTTACTTACAAATTTCCCAAAATCGTTCATTGTGATGATTAGGGAGTAAATTGCTATTGTTATTAGCGTCAATTTAATCAAGCTGCACTTTCACACGGTTAAAGCGGCCACCGACTTTGAATCGAAAATAAACAAAAACTTGACCAAGTCCCTCTCTCTATCTCTCTCTCTATCACAGACAGGCCTGCTGCCCCCCCGCCAAGCAATAGAACACGTTGCGCACTTTTGACCAACGTCAACAAACTGAACCGTAGCGTCCGTATAATGTTTTCAATTCGCTTCCACACAGTTTGATTGCTGGAGAGTAATAAAGAAAAAGTTTTCAGCTGGGAGCGCACACCGGTGCCAAGGGGGTGGGGGATGGTGGGTGGTTGGACAGTGGCTCCCTCCATGTGGTGTGCAGCATTCAGGCTGCCCCGCTTGCAAGTACAGATACACAAACGGCTGAGGGCAGAGATTGATTATTTCGTACCTTTGCTATTATCAACGCATGTGGAACGCAAGAGCGCAACCAAGCAGAGAGAGCGCAGAGAGAGAGAGAGACACTTTGCTCACGCAACAGGTTTGTTGTAGAATATGCCCCACGTTGGCCCCAAAAGCTTCGCCAGCATCATCTGAGAACATCCAAAAAGATAGACATGCGCACTCTTTCTGTCTTGGCCGCTCTCGCTCTCTTTCACTCTTCCTCTCTCTTACTCTTGCTCTGCCCCAGCGAAATTCAAAACAATGCAACAATCTCTGCACACTTTCACTGGCTTTTTGGAGCTTTCACTGAAGCTTGGGGAAACTTTTTCGCAAGCTTTCCGCCTGGCACCGTGTTCCGTTAGCCTCTTTATCGCCCAAAAGTTCATTCCGTTTCAAGTTGTGGCATTTTTCAGGCGTGCGAAAATTCCTCAGCTGTCCTTCGGATAAAATTCCAGCAATTTAGTCACATTAAAGTTGGCCAAAAAGAAGTAGTGCGGTGCGTGCTGCGTGACAAGTGCAAACGCGTGCTATTGAAAACCCACAATAGTGATTCTCAGGTAAGCGACAGCCTAAAAGTATGCCAAGTGCCAAAATCTGTGCAAGCAAGAAAAAGTTGGGTCAGCGCTGGGAAAATTGTGTATCCATTGTGTAAGGGGGCTGGTGGGCAGAATAATGGGAAGGGGTGTTGGTGTGCTTCCTGCTGGCAAATACACACTACACTCCAGTCAGGGAAGAGAGGGTGGGGTGGAGCTGAAAGCCTGACCAGTGACACACTTTGGAGAGCAGCAAGAGCAGGAGCAGCTCGTTATAAATTATGCAAAATAAAATTATGGTAATGTTGTTAGCGAGAAAGCGAGAGTGCGAGTGAGAGAGAGCCCTGCCAAGGCATGCACACACTTGACCTCCGAGGAAAAACTCACACACACATAAATGTATGCAATGACGAGACAGGGACATGGACGACGCTTGACTGCGAAACCACTCGAGCCGAGGAGACAAGACACGGGCAGCAGGGACATGCCTTTATGGGCCATTGGGTGGCTCACGTACCGAACGTAGACAACCGCCACCCAACCTTAGACAAGTGCACATTGAACTTGAGAGAAAATCCCTGGGGGGAATACACATACATACATATATAGTAGAGAGGCCTAGCCCAGAGATTCAATCAATGACAAAAAATATTGATGGAATTCGATATAAAATTCATTGCAAGCTACGAAATAGGGGCGATAATTGGTGCAAGCTGGTTGAAAGCTTTTAATTAAGCGCCCGTAATTGATTGATTCATCGATAATAATTGAATTGTTAATGTACCAATCCAATCCCTACTTATGTATGTATATGTAGTTCCAATCAGGCAGCAGAGGCAAACACGCAACATGGCGTGTCCTTTTTTTCGACGGGCGGACTCGCTGACACGTCAGCCCTCGGTCATCGCCGAGCCGGGCACCCATTGGGCCCTCGAGGAAGAGGAGCTGTCCCATGATGCACTCACTCTGACGCATCTGCAAATGGCCATACAGCTGCTAACGGCACCATCAAACGAGGATCTCAACACGGCCGTCACTTCACTGGTGGCCAAGTATCGCCAGAGCTGGCCAAACATCCACAAGCTGTGAGTAGAGCAGAGTTGAATCAGTTTCGAAATCGCTTCTAAAATCTGATAATATTGATACCCCTTAGAAAAATGGATCCGAGTACATTCAAGAGTTGCGCCAACTACGACTACTTGGCGGACATCCAGGAGCTGTTGCTGAAAATGGACGAGGCCAGTGCCAGCGAGATTCTGGTGCTGCTCGGGGAGGAGCTGATCACCTGCTGCTGCACGGGCATCATCGAGCGGGCCTTCCGTTGCCTGGGCACCGATCTGCAGGAATTTTTGGGCTCCCTGGACGGGGTCTACGATGTGCTGAAGTTGCAAGAGGTTCCCAAGATCTAACCTGATTCAAAATACCCTTTACTGAACCACTTGTTCCCTTTAGGAGGATGTGACCGACACTGGATTCGTGTGTGCCGGAGAGGGCGAGTTGATTTTCACTTCGGAGCGTCCGGTGATCGCCTGGCTACTACTCGGCTCTCTCAAGGCCCTCACCCGCATGCTCTACAAGGTGGATGTGAACATCAAAATCGAACCGGTGGAGGGTGATGCTCGTCGCTACCGCTATCTCTTCTCCTTGGTGAAGGACAGCTCGCAGACCCTGCAGATGGGTCGTCCCACGCCGATCCCGGAGACCGTGCAGCGCAGCAGCTCGAGCAATGCCTCGGATCTGCAGATGAACTCTTCCAGCTTCTGCAAGATGTTTCCCTGGCACTTCATCATGAACGAGCAGCTGGAGTTGGTGCAGCTCGGACGCGGCTTCAGCAAGCTCTACAAGCCGTATCTGGCGGACTTTGGCAATCTGGCCAGCACCTACTTCGACTTCAAGCGGCCCAAGGGCCTGACCATGAAGTTCCGGGACATTGTGCGGCGCACATACACCCCCTTCTTAATTGGGCTGAACAGTCCGCCCGGAGTGTCGGATTTCCCTGCCATAGGACTGGAGATCAAAGGCCAGATGGTGCACTGTCCGGAGTCGAACTCGCTGCTGTTCATCGGCTCCCCGTTCCTCGACGGCTTGGATGGTCTGACCTGCAACGGTTTGTTCATCTCCGATATACCGCTTCACGATGCCACTCGGGAGGTGATTCTGGTGGGAGAGCAGGCTCGGGCTCAGGACGGACTGCGCCGGCGCATGGACAAGCTGAAGAGTCGCATCGAAGAGGCCAATTCGGCGGTCACCAAGGAGCGGAAGAAGAACGTCAGCCTGCTGCACCTCATCTTTCCCGCTGAGATCGCCGAGAAGCTGTGGCTGGGCTCCTCCATCGATGCCAAAACCTATCCGGATGTGACCATCCTCTTCAGCGACATCGTGGGCTTCACCGGCATCTGTTCGCGGGCCACTCCCTTCATGGTGATCAGCATGCTGGAGGGCCTGTACAAGGACTTTGACGAGTTCTGCGACTTCTTCGACGTCTACAAGGTGGAGACGATTGGGGATGCTTACTGCGTGGCCAGTGGACTGCATCGCGCTTCCATCTACGATGCCCACAAAGTAGCCTGGATGGCTCTCAAGATGATCGATGCTTGCTCGAAGCACATCACCCACGATGGCGAACAAATCAAAATGCGAATTGGCCTGCACACGGGCACTGTGCTGGCCGGAGTGGTGGGCAGGAAGATGCCCAGATACTGTCTCTTTGGCCACAGCGTGACCATAGCCAACAAGTTCGAGTCCGGCAGCGAGGCCGTTAAGATCAACGTGAGCCCCACAACCAAGGAGTAAGTAGTGTCTCAATGGAACCACGAATCTACCTAATCAACATTCACCTTTTCTTCCAGTTGGCTGACCAAACACGAGGGCTTCGACTTTGACCTGCAGCCACGGGATCCCTCGTGTCTGCCCAAGGAGTTCCCCAATCCGAATGGCACCGAGACTTGCTACTTCCTCGAAGGATACCGCAACTCCGCACTGGAGAGCGGCCTGCCGCTGGTGGAGCACATCGATGCTGCCATGAAGACCATATCCGAGGGCGGCGATGCCTAGGCTACTCCGGGAGAATCACTTGCTCAGTAGCCATAGCTATTCAATGTAGTTCAGTGCACTTGTAGTCTAATCGTGTTACCCCCAGCCTCCGCCCCCCGCTTAGCCTCTTTCAAGAAATATACTTCCCGACTTCAACGAGTTGCGTTCCAGCACAAAATGTGAACACTTTTATTGGTCTCAGATCCTAAGCGCTGGCCTTGGCCGCCTCATGCTTGGCCTTGACGAAGGCCTTCACCTTGTCGCCGATCTTGCTGGCCATCAGACACTTGTGTCCACGGAAGGCCCACACATCCGCAGGGCTGCCCTCCTCGTTCTTGTCGATGCAGCCCTGGGCGATCTGCAGGGCCTCTTCCTCCGTGAGGTCCATCTTGAACTGCTTGGCAAGACGATCGGCATGGTAGCCCTCGTGGGTGCAGAAGATGTCCAGCTTCTGGGCGGAGCAGAGCAGATACTGGCGCACATCGGGCTCGTCGGGGAAGATCAGCTGCTTCAGCTGCGAGATCTGATCGCCGCTCAGGGGACTCTCCTTCAGGCACTCAATGCGTATGTTCTTGATTTCGTCGCCAGTCTTGGGCTTCCACTCCTCGTCGGCGTAGGCCTGTTTACGAGTGTTTTTTATTGATTTAATTATGATGATGGGATTATCAGTGATTCAATCGATATACACACCGCAGCACAGAGGGCCAGGGTAAGGATGAGATACTTCAGCATATTGTTTGTACGAGTATTGTTGCACACACGATCACGAATCAGTTGAAATTCTAGACTGAATCGCCGACGGCCCGGTTTCCTAGATTTATACCGACGCCACTCCACTGCTGATAGCTGGCTGCCTCTGTCTCTGCCACCAGCTGCTCTGTGTCAAGAGTTCAGCGATAAGCCGGCCCAGCGTCTAACACTATATTATTTAATTGCATTCCCTCACGATGATAAGCTCAATCCAGAGCTCACTTACCGAGCGGAATGAGCTGATGCCCAGACAGAGAATCGGCACAGACTTCTAGCAAAAGTCGTTCCTTGATTAACTTGTTTTTGTGGGGCACCAGCAACTCGGAGACGGATCGTTGCTCAAGTATGAACTTCCATGGGGATGGTAAAGTCGATTTGCATTTAAAATGATGTACACAACAGAAGGAAATTATCAAACTACAATATTCCAAAAAACAAGATATTTCCTCCGTCTTCGCGATGTTTCACTTCCGCTTTGTAGTGGAATCAACAAGCTCTGTTATCAAGAGTTGTAATTGAACCCTCACAGGTTGGCATAGAAAGATGCCAAGGGAAGCGTCAACTGATTAATCACCAGCAATCGTTCATAATCCTACACTCAGAAAAAATAAAATACTAAAATGTCTTAAGTCCTTAGGAAAATATTCTGAATTTCTTTAGGGAAATGACTGAAATATTTAAAAAATTATCAAATATTCTTGTAGTGTACATATGTACATAGATTCTCAACAAAAACACACTCTTCAACATGACATTGCACTTGAACGCTTATCAGCTTTGGGGGTCACAAAACAAGACGCAATGGACTCCAGCCCCCCCTGCCATGTGAGCCTGATAACAGCAGACAGATCCGATCCCGGCCAGCTTTCACCCAATGCGAGAGTAGGTCTGATCCAAGTGGGCAACTGTCAACCGTCAACCGTCAGCCGTCAATTCGTCGGCCATTATGCAAGCCAATGCAATCGTATTTAATTAAATCAAATAAAACTCACAGCTGGCGGTCGAGTCCAAAATTTAAAACCCAAGCGGCCCCCGGGCGTCTAAGAGTTGTCATTACCATAGGATGAGTATGAGCGTAAACCCGATGGTTCGCTGGGAACCACGCGCCCCGACCCGACGACCCTAGGCGGCATATGCGAGCATTCAACTAATAACAGTTGCCTCCACCCGACGCTGTCAAAGGGGCGTAGCACATTTCCAACTATGTACTATTATAATTCAACGAAGGTACGGCCCTTAACTGAGGGTTAGATAACAGGGCTGTCAGCAGAAGCAGGGGATTCCAGTCCGCCCGGCGAGGTAATAGTCGGGTAGGTCGCAATCGGAAACAGTGTTTATACCCAAACAATGGCTATGATTAGCATCGCATCGGGGCTCTCACTTTCGGTCTCCATTTCTTGCCGGAATCTCTGCTCTGCCATTATGTTTTTTTTTTTTTTTGTCAAGTTATTAGTAAAATTATACCCAATATACAGACAGTAGAGGCCCGAAAGAATGAACAATCGCAGATATCTTCATGGCGAAGCTTTGGGTCTATGAGGGTCTGTTGGTTGAAAGATATCCCTGCGTTACATGACTGGTTGAGCATATTGAATGCTTCACCATATCGAGAGTTCACTGTATAGTTCTTTAGTTAACACCCCAAGCGTGTCAATGGCCAAAGTCAGGGAGTGGCGCTGCTTCGAAACTGCGAATGTGTCGGAGTGTTGTGGCCAGCTCAAATTTCTTAGCTGGGAATCGAAATATGAACGAAATGGTGATGGAGATGGGATTGGGAAACTGCAGCTAACGATCCCATAATCGGGTGTCGGATGATTTGCTTCCGGAATTCGCAATATTGTATAAATTGTCCTATTTCTTGAGCCACTTTTTTGTGCCACGGCAATTGTTTGAAATTTGAGTTTCCGGCTGGAATTCGGAATGGGGAAGTTGGGCTCGGGATTGCAATGATATTTGGTTGGTGCCGAATTCCAAAGGAATCACTGTAGTACTTTTTGGCGTGTGTCATATGAGAGGATATATTGCACAAAGGCTGAGAATACATTTGTTTAGCAAATTCGATTAGGGACACGTGTGTGTAGGGTCCACGCGGAAACATCCTGCGGATATCATGATATCATGACTCCGTATAGTATCTGCCTATGACACAAGACAATTCTAGCAACTTGCGAGCTGAGATTTCGCTGCTGACAAAATGGCAGCCAGGCAAAAGCAAGCACACAAAGTTTCCGTGAACTTTTAACAAAATTTCACGTTTCCATGAGTTTCCGGTTTGTGTGTTTTTCTTTCTTTTTGCTTCTCTTGCTGTGTGATTTCCAAGAAAAAGCGAGAGACGCCCGCCCACCAACACCAGTGCCACCACCCACTGCCTACCAGGGAAAATGTAATTTCATGCCTCGCTGAACGAATCCGAATACATGAGAGTTCAAAGTTTCAGCTTGTATCCAGGGGCAGGGCGAGAGAGGGTCACACACAGGATGCTGGCAGGACTCGGGGACAGGACTTGAAAGCGCAGGAAGTTATTTAATGAGATTTTCTTCATGTCAAAGATAAGTCGAAGAAAATTCCATGGCCTGCGACTAAGAAAGCCATTGGTCTTGTAAAACAATATGCAAAACCAGCCAACAGCCAACAGCCGACAATCATCCACGCGAAGGAGGATGGAGGGTGTCTCTGGGTCTGTGTATCTGTATCTGCGAGTCTGATTGTCATTGTTGAGTGAGTCAACTGAAAAGGATAAGCGTAGACCGACAATTGTTGCACACACTTGAAATTAAATTAACTTTTTTCGACCCTCTCCCTGTCCACGCTGAGAGGTGGAGTGGCAAAGCCGCCGCCGACGCCGCCGATGGTTGCATTGTTCCAAGGTCTGCTGCCGCTGACAGTTCCAAAAGGAACTGGCGTTGGGGTTGGCTCTGGCTCTGGCTCCAGCTCTGGACATGGGAGAGAGAAAGACCTTGCCAGAACTAGAGACAATTCAGCGCCTTGTCGACTCTAGCCATGATTGCTCAAATATTGGCTTTGGTCGCCGCACAAAAACCAAAACCTAAACACAAGTTCAACTGTTCAATGCGCGGCAGCAACAACCACACAACAGCCGCAACAACAACACCAACAAAACCAACAACAGCAACAACCACAGACAGAAAACAAAAACATAAAGCAAACAAATCGCAATCGAAATGAATGAATGAGGCAATGACGCAAGGAAATCTCATTAGCCGCATGTCTTCAAGTTTCATTTTTTAATTTTGTACAATTTTTTCGTTGCGCTTGTTGTTTGTTTTTTGGGTTTTTTGAGTTTTTGTTTTTTGGATGGATCCGAACATACCACAGGAAAAGATCTTTCTTTGTATATTTTTTCGGTGGTCTTGATCAAATAATTTTGCGGCCAATGCATGTTAAATATTTGTCAACATTTTAAGGCACTTTTCTTTTGTTACCCCTCCATCTTTCGCTCTTAACGATTCAGAAGCAGTTGACCACTTGAGTCCGTCCGTCCACCCGTCCGTCCGTCGGAGTCATCAAAAGAGCACAGCGATATGTGGCACACACATGACCATCGCCAGCAGCAGCAACAGCGGCACCAGAAGCAGCAGCAAGAGTTAAGTAAAGTAGCAATGATCCCGAGGTGATTTCAACTTTCCTCCACTCTGGGCGGCCCTGTTGAAGATGGTCAGCCATCGGCTACTTATTACACACAAGCACACCCAGCGATCCAAGGGTTCAGATCCAAGATCATCTCTTTCTTCGATTGATATAACAATTTCCAGGGGCCCCAGCCACCATTCATCGGCAATACCCTGTAAAATATTACATGTGTTCTAGAACTTCAGTTAATAACGAACTCATTTCGATAGATTTAACATGGATTAGATCTATGAAGTGGTAATAATTCAAGGATCAAATGTTTCCCCATGGTTACAGGCCTGTAGGCATATACTGGCCAAAAGAATTGATCAAAATAGGCTTCCATTCAGTTACAGGGCATCGAGAATCCCTTATGCCTCGATTGATTGGTTTATATTTCTCGTTATGGTTTTTTTCTTTATTTATTTGTTGATTTCATTTCCATTGTTGTTGCCATGCCGCACCATCCGAATGTTGCCTTGGCGGTCGTACATCATTATGATTGTGCCACTGTGTGGTGCGCGCACCGTATTGTTTGCATGGGCCTATGCCGCCAGCTCCACCGCCGCTGCACCACCGCCCTTTCCCTCCCCCCGGAGGCAATCGGCAGCCCTGCCGGCTGTAGGGGCAGCTCAAGCATGAAGAGAGCCAGCCAAACCGACGACATAATGGACATGTTTCAGCTTTTGTTGGCCGTCGCGACGGTGTGAGCGAGGCGGAGACAGAGTTGTCAGCCTCAGCGACGATGTTCAGCTAATTTGCATATTTGGCCGCAGCGAAAACACTTTACAAGTGGCCAGGCCACCCAGGGGAGCTCCGTACGAGCGTGTGTGTTTGTATGTGTGTGTGTGTGTATATAGGCGCACTTTAAACAAAGTTAAAATGCGAGAAATTGGCCCTGCGCAAAACACCAGTAGCTCGGCGACGGTGGCAGCAAAACCAACAACTTCTAGCCATTTACTGTTGCCAACAACTGTGACTGTGACCTCTCCCAGCGGAACTGGATCTGCCCACATCCCCACAAGCACAAACACACGCACACACGCACACACCACACACATGCCTGGGCACGTATTGGTGCGGTCCTTATGGCTCTCTCTCGTACACACACACAGAGCGGCTCTCCGACTGATTCTGCTGCTGTTCTGCTGCTGCGGCGGCGGCGGCGGCTGCTGCTCTTCTATTCAGTTTGGAAACTTGTTTCTTTTGGCCAACTTGTACAACATTGTTGCCGCTTTATGTTTTACTATTTGGGCTTGTATGTGTGCGAGCTGCTTGTGTGTGTGCGCTGTAGCTCCGCCTCTGCAGGTAGGCGGAGTCTGCAAAAGAGAGCCCTCTGCTCACACAGAGGGAGGGAGAGAGAGAGAGAGCACATTTGTGGCACATTGTGGAGAGCGAGAGAGTGAGGCGCGCGCATCGTCGTTTTCCAATGTCGCTGCTTCTGTCGCACACGTGACACTTTCCGGATTGTTGCTTTTGTTGCTGTTGCTCCCGACATCGTCTCGTTCTCAGTTTGTTTCAATTGCAATAAATTTGTAACATTCTAATAGGCCAACACAGCCCACCGCCCCCACCCACAAAAAGCATCCTCCCGCCGGAGGAATCGGAATCGGACAGCAACCCATATTATGTGTTGGATTCCTTATGTACTTTTGTGGCATGAGAAATCGCTTTTGGAATGTACACGAAAGAACTGTTACGGTTTCTAACTAGATCGTACGAGTATTTAATCTTTTTCTAGTGTTAATGAAATGAAAATTATGGTCTATATCTCACAAAAGATCTTTATCTTAAGAAAATCGAATGAAAAAGAATAATATACATACAATTTAAGACATTTTTGTGTTGCAATTTTCCTTTTTATCTCGTGCGGATTATCATTTAGGATAAGGATACTACAACTAAGCTCTAATTGTATCTCTTCTACACTTTGATGTTTCTTTAAGTCTTCCAAGTCTAAAGTAGATTTCAACATAAAATGACTACACTCCGGAACTATTTATATTATAGCTATAGAATTCGTGATTATTTTAAAGCACAATTTGTATGAAACTCTTGGGTAAGACTCACAAAATGCAACAGTTCAGATTTTTATATATTGCTACATGATTTCTTTATCGATTTTCAATAATATCTCCTATTTGTAAAGTAACTTTTCCTGTATTCCCTGTGGAAATGTTAAAACATTTTCCTTTGTGAAATTAGTCCATTTGGAATTAAGACAAAATAAACAATTATTTCTCAGCCAGCATTTGGGCACTTGGGGATATTATTCATGGAGATTTTAGCACACACTCCAGACATTTTCGTTCCCCTCGACGGCAACTGGAATTGAAAAGCAAGTGGCAATATGCCAAAAGCCAAAGGAAAACTTTGGCCTGGAGAGCAGACTAGGCCCCTGCTTCATACCCATCCGCCACCCCCGCTCTCTCTTTCTCTCTCTGTGGCATTAGTTTATGAAACGAGTACATAAACGGGGCAGGAGACGGAAGGTGGCTAGGGAGCGGAGGCTGCAGCAGGAGCAGGAGCAGGCGGAAATGTTGGGTTCCTCTCGCTCCTCATCCGCTGCCGCCACTTGAAGAGCAACAACTGCGGGGCAGGCATCAGCATCTGCATTGCCAACTGTGTCAGTTGCGTGCAGCTGTGTGCCGCCTACGCCGCCATGCCAACCAGCAGCGAGGTCGCAACAACAACGCTTTTGGTTGGCTATTCCGCTACTCCATTCGCACAGCAAGACCCCAAAGCTCTCTCAAAACGCACACGAACACACAAACACATATCCGGCAGGGGCCGAGGGCAGGGGTAGGGGCAGGCCGCAACAACAAAAAAGAAATTGTGAAACAAAGGCAACAAAGAAAATGAAAGAAACGTCAAACAACCACCAGAACAGAGAGTACTCGTACCACCACCACCACCACCACCACAACCACCACTACTACCACACCACCAGCCAGAAGCCAGAAGCCAGAGCCAGAGCAGCAGCAGCAGCAGCTATCCAACCAACCAACCAACCAACCAAACAGCCAGTCCCGGAGATCTCCTTCCACATTGCTCATACGCCGCGTCGCCGCCTCGAGTGCACAATTTTGTATACAGTACCAAATTATATTTGAAACTTTTTTCTTAATTGCTAACGATGCTGCTTCTGCCACTGCCACTGGGCCTGAGGCAGCAGCAGAAGCAGCGGTGGCAGCAGCAGTGGCAGTGGCAGAGGTTGACGCCGACGCAAGCAGCTGTGGCTGTGCCACACAAAGGTGGTTGCAACACTCTCTGAATGTTTTAGTTATGTACTTTCAACCCTCGTTTTGCCAGGGTCTGTGAGTGCCTCCGTTAGTATCTGTGTCTCCGTCTGTGTGTGTGTGTGTGTGTGTGTGTGTGAGTGATCCGCTTTTGTATTGGTAAATGTTGCCGCTTGCCGCCATTTGCCTGGGCACTGCTGCTGCCGCCTCCGTCGCTGCTGCTGCTGCTGCTGCTACTGCTGTTCGTTTTGGGGTTTGAACCAAAAAACTTGAATCAGTTGCAATCGAGGGCTCAGTGTGTCATGTCGTCAGGGCGCGCGTCTTAGTCAACCAATTGATATGATAAACCCAACGAAAATCTGAATGATAAACTGATAGATCGTCCAAAAGATTCACACAGATCTCTAGTGAAGTTATACGCATACGAGAGAAAGAGAATCTATAACAATATACCCAGTGTCTAGTGTAGTGAGTGATCAAACGTCCGGGGGATCTGTCCGGTGCGAGTAGAACCGACTTTGTTGCCATTGAAATGAGTCTGCCGTCGGGAGTGGATATGCAGAACCTAATGTCCCAGCATCCGGTACTCGGAGCCCTGCCGCCTGCGTTCTTCCTGCGCGCCGCCTCCGAAAGATATCAGCGTACCCCAAAGTGCGCCCGCTGTCGCAATCATGGCGTGGTACGTCCACTTCCATCTGGAACTTGGGGCATCCTTACTCACTAGGTTCTTCTCTTGCCTTGCAGGTCAGCGCGCTGAAGGGCCACAAGCGCTACTGTCGCTGGCGCGACTGTGTCTGCGCCAAATGCACTCTCATTGCGGAACGTCAGCGGGTCATGGCCGCTCAGGTGGGTTCGCATTAAAGCTGTACTCTTCCTGCTGGTCCACTAACCAGAGATCTCCTTCCTCGTCTTTGATTCATCTTGCAGGTCGCCTTGCGTCGCCAGCAGGCGCAGGAGGAGAATGAGGCCCGGGAGTTGGGTCTGTTGTACACATCCGTTCCGGGCTCCGGCCAACAGAATGGCAGTGACAGTGTCACGCCCACACCGCACAGTCCCACACACAGCGGCAATGGAGGACCAGCCAGCGCCGGATCGGGCCAGAACGGTGTGTTCCATGGAGGCATTCCCTCACCCCCAAGCGACGGCTTTGAAGCCAGCTCCACGCCCAATCATCACCAGCAACAGCAGCAGCAACAGCAGCACCACCAGCAGCAGCAGCATAGCCAGCACCAGCACCAGCACCAACATCAGCAGCCACAGCGCCAGCCGTCGCAGCACTACAATGGCAATGAATCCGACACGGATGGACGCACCCGCTCCGAGCACCTCAGCGTTGGCTTCTCCCCCACACGCACCGAGCTGGACGAGAGTCCCGGTAAGTTGCTAAGAAGTGAAATTATTATGAACACCTCCAACACCAGCCCAGCGACACATCCAAGGAGGTCCTTCCGCCTGGCCACATGCCCGAGAGGGCTTCAGAGTCGAGCGGAAAAAAGAACGCGTTAAGGAAATTTTGTTTTCAATTGTTAAGAAGTCAGCGGTGCATAAAGTGCCACACTCGCGGTTGCATGTGCACCACTGCCTATACATATACACATGTACATATGTGTGCTTGGATGGAGTGTCAAAGTGGGCGGTTGGGGGGCTTAGGGCGTTGTTGTGACAAAGGTTAAGCCAGCCAAGCTGTTGCCCTGCACTTTGTCAAACGGTGCATGAAAATGTCGAGGGTAAAGGCTCGAGAAAAAAAGGGGGACCTGGAGATTTAAGAACCAAAATTGCAACAATTAAAATTAAAGTCCTCATTATGGAGAGCCCCATACTTGTCGCATTCCAGGCCCAAGGGATCTGTTAACCTTAAAAGTGGAATAAATATTTCTGATGTACAAGAAAAGTTGTCTAAGAATCGTTCCCATCAGTATTCCTTACACTCTCCCAGAAAAGAGGGCACTCAAAGACTCTCTGTCTCTCAAACAGTTTGGATCTCTAACCAGATTACATCATACTCTTCTCCGCTCTCATTGTACCAAGAGATCATTGTAGACCTGTCTCAAGCATCATCTTTGTTCTAACAAGACACAAGATACAACAAGAAAGCAGCAGCGAACAATAAAAGTTAATGTAACATTATCCAATATTATCCAACATTATCCCATCGAAGCCAATCAACTCAGAACAGATCAGCACAGCCCCAGCATATTCCTTTACAGCTCAAACCCCTTGCCGAATCAAATGCCAAACAGTTACAAAGTCTCTCAATGAACTGCGGATATCAAAGTCCTTTGTGCCTCACCCACTCATTAGGACTATTCCCTGGCATGGGGGGCGGCCCAGAAAAACTCGGGGAGTAAGACAACCCCATGCTGAGGGCGAGGGCGTAACGTGAGCTACTTTCCCCCCAGATTCCACTTTATTTTCCTTTATTTGCTCGCCTTTTTGTGTGTTGTCCGGGAAAGAAAAACACGCAAGGATTCTCACGCGAAACAATCGAGAGAACCTGTCTATTTAGGTAATAGACTTTATTTGCACTGAAATCCAAGACGATTTCACGCTTGAGTTTAGATATTCATTCTGAGGCACCTGAGTTTCCCTATTCGAAGGATGAAGATGACTGCGATGGGTATCGGATCGGGTGTGGGCATTGCCATTGGCATCCAGGAGAGTTTTCACGCACCCTCAACTTAATTAAATTTTCACTGCGGCTTCGTCAACTGCAAAATCAAACAGACAAACAGAAAACAGGAAAAAATATCGTATAACTTGTTTCATTTGTGGAAAAACACAGCAGGTTGTCCCGGGGTTGGCATGTCAACGAACCCTCACCTTCCGCCTGTGTTTGCGATTCCCGTGATTAAATTCTTGCCTTTTTCCATTTCTGTACCATTCGATACTTTTATTTGCTCTGCGCCGCCAAGTGGAAAACCGCATAGAGCGCTCGCTACCTGAATGGTGACTAATCTTGGCTCCCGATCTGATCTTGTCTTGCAGTCTCGAAGCGAGGAGCAGCCCTGTCGAACGAGACGGACCAGGACACCGGCTCCGAGTCGGGCTCGCCGAGCAGTCCCCGGCCCAAGGTCGCGGGGCTGTTCAACCTGACCGCCAGTCTGTCGCCCGCCCGCACTGGTCCGCCCAGCTCCCCCGAGTCCGATCTGGACGTGGACTCGGCGCCGGATGAGGCCACGCCGGAGAACCTCAGCCTCAAGAAGGAGGACAGCCAGTCGCCGCCCAACACGCCAGCCGAGAATCTGCACCTGCTGCGCTCCTTTGGCAACGGCCACGCCCAGGGCTTCATGCCGTACCATCACACGCAGTTCCTGGCCGCCGCCGGCCTGCCCACCCACCACCACCCGGCGGCGCACTCTCCCCTCCAGCAGCAGCATCTCGGCCAGCACACCCAGCAGCAGCAGCAGCAGCGATCTCCCATCGATGTCCTGATGCGAGTGTTCCCCAATCGCCGACGCAGCGACGTGGAGCAGCTGATGCAGCGGTTCCGCGGCGACGTCCTGCAGGCCATGGAGTGCATGCTGACCGGCGAGGATCTCGGACAGACGCCGCCCCAGGTGCCCCCGTCCCCGCCCTTCCCCATGAAGTCCGCCTTCTCGCCCCTGGTTCCACCCACCGTCTTCGGCTCGCCCACGCACCGCTACCATCCGTTCATGCAGGCCCACGCCAAGCGATTCCTCTCCGCCCCGTACACCGGGACGGGCTACCTGCCCGGCGTCCTCAGTGCCGCAGATATCGAACAGTCGGAGTCGAACGGGGCCGGCGGCATCGGCCTGGACCGCAGCAGCAACGCCGACTCCCAAGATTGAGGCAGCACCACCAGCATCTTCAGGCCCTTCGAATGAGGTCTTCCCTCCTCTTCCCATCCACCCATCCACCCTCATATCGTGTGTAAGATATTTGTTTTAGGGAAAACGCATAGAGCATCCTCCCCCCCCTACGCCTAAAGATCTATCCTAGCCATTTACGCATAACAGTGACTGTAAGTGACATTTACCGTGGAACTGCTAGCACAAGTATTGTACCATAGAGACCGTACTTATAGACAAACACTCGGTCCCCAGTTGAGAGCCCTAAGATACATTTATTTAGCTGAAATTAAAATTGTGAGCAAAACGATGACGAGATTATTGTGTAAGGGATGGATTGATCGCATCAACTATGGAGACATCCGCGTGTACCATATAAATATATATATATATACGATATCATATTATGTATTAGATAAAATACATTTCAAACACTGTGTTAAAGTATTTAATAAATCTACAAAATAATTCAATAAAATTAAATGAAACAATTAAAAAGGAAGTGTAAATCCTTTTTCTGGCTTTTAAAGGGGAAGCTCCGGATGATATATTAAGATTCCAAGAATAGGAAAACATCATATATTGAATCGTTAGATGAAGACGAGAAGAAAGAGACGGCAGTCTTGAGAGTTGGAGGATCTCCGCAAACAGATATAAAGTTTCCATCACAACGAGTCAATTATGGTATTATTTTACATTTTTCCTGTGAATGGATAGATTGGGAGCAGTAATTAGATTAAATGATCCGTTCGGCCCGAACCAATGAGTTCAGAAGGATGAGATCCATTCAAATCAATATTCTATCGAACGAATTGAAATTATTGATTATATTGTATTAACCGATTTATCCCGCCCATTAAAAATTCAGATAAATCCCTCTGGCTAACAATAAAAACATCTTGGCCCACATTGAATGCCTGATTAATCAAATCAATTAATGAAATCATTTAATGGAAAATTATACGCCTCCTTTCCGACTCGCCATTGTCCGAGACCCGTGGGGTAACTAATTAAATATTTAATTTCCAGCGCACGTAATTTATAATCGTGAGAAGTACAGCGGAGAACAAAGGACCCCCCAAAACGGACACCAGCCAGCGTACAAACAACCAATTGTAGTGGCCACCCACAAGCCGGAATGCCCGACTGGTCATCACAAAGGACGATGGGAAGGGCATATAATAATAATGCGAAGCGTTAATCCATGCCATCATTATCTATTTGCCACTATTCGCCGTGCCACACGACCTCCCCGAACCCACAAAACCAGAGGCCAGAGAAAACTATTCCGCCTGGCCGTGTGGAAAAGTGTGAAATCCTTTTTCACACAAACGGTTCGGGCTGGGTTTTGTTTTGGCCATTCGGACGCATGACACGATAAACAAAATTATAATAAAACTAAGCCCACACACACATCCGAGATAGAGATAGAGGTAGAGGTGGAGAGAGGAGAGAGGAGGATGCGAAAATGACCAGCACATTTTCGGAAATTTTACAATAGCCAAAGGGACAGTTTTCCGGGGACAATAATATCGGTTACACGCATGCCGAGTGCAAATTACAAAACTATTTTCCAACATGCGACTGAATGGATAACAAAATTAAATTATTGGATATCAATTTGTCCATTGTGGGCCCTGGCCGAACTCGAAAAGTCAACAGCAACAGCAACAAGGATATCCAGGATGTGTGCCCTCTCTTCGTATGTTTATGTGCTTGCTGGACCCCAAACAATGGGACTGTGTGTACCATTGTCAGGGCACTACAATGCCTGTGGGTTAGAGCCGGCCGCAGCACCGCACCAGGCCGCTCGGCTTGAGTGGACAATAGACAGGACAAAGAAGGGATAGTGCAGAGCAGGTCCAGGGCAGCGCAGGGCAGTATAGGGCACGGACTGGACAGGAGTTCTCGCAGTGCCCAGTCAGTCAGTCGCTTGTTAGAGGATGAGCTGTCGATAATATCTCAGAGTAGCAGCGGCCCATGTAGTTATTGCCAAACAATGAAGCTGGAGGAGAGCCAAGAGCCAAGAGCAGGCAGCCGGCAGCAGGCAGCAGGCAGCATGCATATGCTCCTCGAGTGGCGGCACAAAATGCATACAATGTCAGGCATGGAAATTCTTGATAATAGACAATGAATTAATAGCCAGGCGATTACGCCAACCGTGAGGGAGATGGAGATGGAGAGGGAGTTAGCAATCCAACCAACCAACCAACAAACAGACAAATAGATCGGGCATTAGATACAGCCCAGAGGCAATGGGAACAAAGTACAAAAAGGAGAATGACGAAACCAAACCAAACCAAAGCAAACCAAACCCCTTTCTGCTGGCAGATGGCACATGCCCTTGCCTGTGCCTCTTGCGGCTCACCAAAGTGCCCCGTCAATTAGAAAACAACAAGCTCTCCAAAAGAAACGCCCAAGAAATGGCACATGGAGTGTCCCACCCCAAGGCGATAGCGACTCCTCAAAGGAGTCCCTTGCAAAGGGTTACGCTACTTAACCGTTTAAATGCCGAGGCATATGTTTTCCTCTTGGGCCAAATCGAGGGTGGTCCACGGGAGATTTTCACTGGCATTAGTTTCATTTATTTGTTATTATTTGCTTTTCCACATTTCAAATGTTGTCTTCCCTCGCACAGATTCTATTTTTTCAAGTCAAACATGAAAGATACAGCGACTCATTGGGTAACCCAATCTGTGGCTTGTCAAGCAACGGGTCAGAGGCTATATGGCTACAACTAATTTGGCCGCGACAGGCTCCCCCGGGTCCCCTGCTCCGTCCCCCCGCTCTTTATAAATAATGTTTTATTTTTCCAACCGACAACCGACAGTCGAGGGAACGACCGAAGGATGAGTGAAAAAAAAAAACCAAGAAAAGAAAACAAATGCCATTTCAAGTAGCAAACGTGTAAAGTAGGTGGCCCAGACCTTTTTGCCGCCAGAGACGCAGCGACACCGATGCACAGTGGGACGATCAGCGTATGCAATTCGAGAATTTTGATTAATATTCATCACACTTACAGACATAATGTGTTAGAATCGATATGTTATCAAGCACTGAACAGAGAATGTATTCTAAGGCTCTAAGCTCAGAATAGAATCTTGAATGCTCACTAGAGATACATTGGTTTGACCCACGGATCACAGGGATGTAATTCTTGGATAAATTATAATTCCAGACTCAGATATGGATGAAATTCTTCAGAAGATTCTTAAAAGTACGGGTAAAAAGTAAGTAAGTAGTAGAAAAGACAAGGATCTTCTCATGATTTAGAATGGCATAAATTTCCTTCTAATTTCCCTTTCTCCAACCTCCAACCACTGTGCCACATGGGTGTCGCTGAGGCTGCAGAGTCGGCTAATAACCAGAGAGTCCATCATCAATAGAGAAACCTGCGTCGTCTGTTGAGCAACTGCCGAAGCGATGAGAAATCAATTTTTTTTCCGTTCCGTTCGTTTCGTTTCATTTTGGTTTGTTTTGTTTTTTGGATTTTGATTTTGATTTTCGGCTGTTAGTGGTGTTTGCCGCCCAAGCAGACACACGGCACATGATACACGTGTGTGTGTGTGTGTGTGGCGGAGCATTGAGCATGTGATTTAATACAGTAGCTGGGATCCCTAATGGCTGCCTGGCCCCAAACGACCCCCACACTCTGCAGAAGACCTGTTCTTTGATGCACTCACTCCGCAGATTGTTTACTCAAAATTCATAATTTACATATTGTGTGTGGTGTGTGGTGTGTGTTTGTCCGTGTGTTTTTTTAGTTGGTTTCTTTTTGTTCCGAAATGTTGTCTTTTCAGTGATTTTTTACATTTGCCCATGCCTGGGCATGGAGGAGATGCGGAGGAGACGCAGAGGATGCTCTAGTCTTTTATCCCAGCCGACATGTCGAAAATTTCTCCCTCTTCCGATTCTTGATTGGATCTGGGGAATATGTCGCTCTTTACCGTGTGGCACACCGTGTGGAAGGCAACTGTACCTTTGGGACTACACTCGTGGATGTGAATGTAAATGTAAATGTTAATGTATGTGTGATTTTAAGACCAACCCGAAACTATAAATGGATTTTAAAAAGCGTGGGCCTGCCCTCTGGGGTTGGTGGCCCTCATTCATTGTTTGCCTGCCCTTCGTCCTCACGATCCTCGTCAAACCACGGAGCGTTTTGAGGATTTTGATTTTTCAACTGCGCAAATGTCACGTGTACTGACTGTCGCCTGTCTCTGTGGTTGACAACACAACGTGTGAGCCCCGAGTGGGAAGTGGTTCGGTGGTTAGGCCATTGGGCCATTGGGCGATTGGGTGGCTGGGTGGCTGGGTGGTTGATTATTTGGTGGCTTGATGGGGTTAGCCCGAGTTAAGAGTGCGATAAATATCTAAACGCAATGATTTGCCTCATAAAGGGGGCGTTGATGTTTATCCAACAGTTTATTTGTTTGTTTAATTGACAACAAATTCGCTTGTGTGTGTGTCGGCGAGTGTGACAAGTCCTTTGTCCAGGACACGTGGAATGCTGTGGTCTGTTCCGTGTTTGATGTGTCCCCGTTTAAAGACTAATTGGCACGCGTTGAGATGATGGTTTAAATAAATTTCGGTCATGGGAAAGCATGGGAATAACACGTGTAAAATGTATGAGCAGAAGATATCTGTTTAGGTGACTTAAATCGAGGCTGTAGATCCTGTTTTACCCACCAGTATATAAAGTATCCTTTCACAAATTAGGATTGCTTATATTGTGCAACAATCCTTTCTCTGCTCTACCCCAACACCGTCAAAGAAAGGAAATGGCAGTACAACAAAATGTTCAACACTAAAAAGCAATTCTCTCCACTATATCCCACTATATCCCTGCACTTGAGCCACAAAAGGCGAATAAAAAACAAACAGAATACAATATGCAAAATAAATGCTCAAATAATAAAGAGCCGGTGAGAGAGCAGAGCACGAAAATGGCAACGTAACTCAAGAGCTACTCCAATTGCGAGCGGAGGAACAAAGGAGCAGCAGCCCCGCCAAACAGAGAGGGAGGAAGAGGGAGGCGGAGGCGAACGAAACCCTACAGACAGCTGACAGGGAGAGTGGAAAAAGAACGTATTATTTAAAATAATATTAAAATAAAATAGTCCAAAGAAAGGCATTGGGGAAAGTGTGGGGCAGGCAGGCATCCCAGTGGAGGCGTCAGTGAGACGGGACGGTGGGGGGAGGGGTGACAACGGGAGAGAACTACTACATCAAAAATAATAATGGAAGTTATACATTTTATTTCACAGGCGAATGGCAGCTTTTTTTCGTTGGCCGGGGACAGGACATGGCAGGACTTCGGTCGGAGCCGGGGACCAACCCCTCGGAATGTGGACAAGCAGCAAAAGGAAAAAAAATAATCAAATAAAACTGAAAAGGATTCTCTTTTGTGTGCTTTGTTGTTCGAGAGTAGTGTATACGCTCCAAAGGAAGTAAAATGTATTGTATTTGGAAGCGCAGCTACAAATAAAATTTTAATCAAAATGTAGTTGAGTGTTGAAGGGTTGTTCTCCGATTGTGCCGGGTATGCCCCTCAACGACTACGACTACGACTACCCCTCCACGGGTACGTGTGTGCGTGTGTGAATTGTTTCTGTCAATCAGCAGCTTCTTTTGTTGCTGCCGAAGGATACAACTGATATTGATTTCGAGTTGTGCGGCAAGGCACAATGGAACAGAGCAGAGCAGAGCAGAACAGAACAGGAGGAGTGGAGTAGTGGCAGTGGCAGTGGCAGTGGCAAGAGAAGCATCAGCCAATGGGAAAAGTTTCAAAGAAGCGATACACACACACGCACACACTCTCACACACAATGGCAGCCGGAAGTGCTCACCAATACAGACAGGGGCACTTTCCGCATAGTTTCATAATTACAAGCACAGCAATGGCGCGCTGACTGCGAGATCTGACCACTTGGCATTGCAACGCCCCCTTTTGGCAAGGCTGCCACTACCACACACACACACATACATACATACAGTGAAAGCTCTCTGGACGGACAGACAGAATGGGTATCCAGCAAAGATTGTAGGCCCAATATATTTCTCGTTCTTTTTTTGTTTTCCCACCAAGCAATCAATCCGCTTGGGTGTCCACTCTATGGAGATTTCACTGTATATAAAAATACTATATGTACATACATACAGTAGTCATCGTTGTTACTTCGTCCATACTGTGAGTGTGCGGCATGCGACATGTTTCTCTACCACACGCTCCATCCCAATCCCAATCCAACTCCCAGCTGGTGGCAGATTTCATTTGAATGCGACTGAAAAGCGTTGTTGGCAATGCACACCAACGGGGGGTGGCACTGCCACGCTGCCACACAGCCTCCGCTGCCATCCAGTTAACAGTTCTGGAACTCAATTAAAATGGCATTTAAATCATGCGAACTCCATGTTCGACTCTCCTTCTGCCCCACGTGGCAAGGCAACGACAAATTCTTTGACAACTCTCCCAACCCTCGCTCAGACTCGCTCAGCCTCGCTTCCTCAATTGACTTGCCTTCACCGGACTGGACTTGGCTTTTGTTTGGCACTTCCTCCACTTGGAATTGTTAATAATTTGTAATGACACGCGCATTTGCTTAATGCCCAGGGCTAATGGTTATGGCCCCTCAGACCGTAACCGAATTAGGACCGACACAAAGAATGCAAAACGCTCAATGCTGGCAAAGGCTGCATCCTTTGTCTTCGCATATTTTTTTCGGTCCGAGGGCATCGGTCTGGAAATGGGCGCATGTCTGCAATTTACTCAGATTTTTATTCAAATTTTGTTTAGTGTATAAATTGCTGTAGCAAAAAAGCAATCGTCGCCCCCAAAATAGAAAAAGGAAAAAGGAAAAAAGTATGGAAATAGAAAAATATTTCATATTGAAATTCAATGCCGTCTGAGAGGGCAGCAAACCATCGGAGAGAGACTATTGAATACTCTAAGTAATCGCATATGGTTTGCTGTATTAATACAGGCTAGTATCCTTTAGATCTTCGTTGAACACACATTCTGACAATCCCTTAAAGGATCCCTGAAAGAATCCCTTAAACGATCAACGAACAATAAAGATTCTATCATCTTAACTCCATTCAATTTCTCGTATATTAAAAATATCATTCAACAAACCTCTTTGCCCAGTCCTGTTGCCCCTTTACATGCTCTATCATGCCGAATAAAAAAGGATATCATCCAGCAACGAGCACATTAACGACTTCATATAGCGACCGCAACTATGCCGCTGCTCAAATGAAGAAATGGCAAACCGGCAAAATGGGAAAATATAGATGGAAAGCCAAGACAAGACAGGAAAAAAACAAAACATATTTGCATATTTATCTTTTTTCGGTTATATTCGCTCCGGCTGCCTGCTATAACATTAGCATTTCTCGAAAGGATAATGCGCCACCCACCCACTGCCAATGCCGACTCGGAGTCCTGCCACCCTTTTCAGCCTCTGCCTCTCATTCTTGGAAAAGTCGTTTCACATTTTTCTGCTCACATTTTCACGTACTTTTTAAACGAGTGTGTGTGTGAGGGTGTGTGGAGGAGTACGAGGCAGGAGATGGGGGGAAAATGGGGAGTGAGTGACAACCATTTGTTATGCGATTGTCTTAGAGGGCATGTGCATGTGCTTAAGAGCCTCGTTAACAAAGTTATTTTGTCTTTTATCGCCCGCTGCTCAGTTCTCAGCGATGTCAAAACATAATTCGCCATGTGCCAGGACTCTTGAGGGGCATGGGCATTACATTACATTGCTATATGACAGACCATTCCGATTTGCCAGGCCTTGACGTCATGTGTGTGGTGTGACATAGTTGTGGCCTGATGGGTACAATTTATATCATGTTCTTCGCAAATGGCTCGTGCTGGCATGCGGCGTATGGGGCGTATGGGCAATACCAATGAGCAATTCGCAGGCGAATTGTTGTCTTGTCATTCTGTTGCAGCTGAAGCTGAGTCCGAATCGCACTGCTCCTGGTGTGGGGCTCGCTTTCTATTTAGCAAGAAAACCATTCTCTAAACGGCCTCGCCCACACGCACAATTAATCTTTTGTCGAAGCACTTAATTGAATTGCTCCGACCAGGGCCGGGGCCGGGGCCGGGGCCAGGGCCTGGGCCAGGGCCTGGGCCAGCAAATATCAATTACAACCACAATTATCGGGACAAAGGAGCGCAGACTCGAAGTAGGAAGTACCAAGTGTTCCACTTTGTATTCGCATTTAATTGAATTACAATTTCATAAAAATCCCCAAGTGAGGTCTCGTTGGACTGAAATGGATTGTCAGATACGAGAACTTGGGTGCAGGATATGGAATAGAAATGGAAATTTAAGATGCTGCGCCTGCGCAGAGGCGAAAGATCTTGGAGTTGGAGTTGGAATTGGCATCGGTTTCGGCATGGGTATCGAATATTGAGAGAAAGAAGAATGCTTACAACTTTTTAACACATTGCACAATGGGAACAATGGCACACACAAATACACACACACAATGAGAGAGAAGTTCTTTGTGGGCACTCGCGTGTTCATTGTGATTCGAATGATGGAAATGCGCACATAATGCCCACAAAATGAAGTTATGTGTAAAGTATACATATACAATACACAAGTTTATATTATATGTTCAAGTGATTTGCGTCGGGGTCTCCATTGTGAGCCAGGGTTTCCCTCCACCTCCTTCGGAGCGCGCAGGCGCAGCCTTCGCATAATGGCCGATGATGATGACGATCATCCGAGAGCCGCCGAGAGAGTGGGTCTCCTCTGAGGCTGCAGAAGCTCCGGGAAGCACACTTAATTCCAGGAAATTTAACCTTTAAATGCCGCATATAAAATACATTAAACTCCGTTTGTGCTCAAGTCGCGGCCACTTCAGATGTGACTCGAAATGCCGGCACATGGAAATACGTTTTATGTAGCCAAATGAGATTCGTTTGATGGGGGATAACTTTTGGATTGAGATGCAGTACAAAGTTCTTTACCTACAAGTACAGGAGCATTAGCCCCATTTGCTTGCTAGATATTAAAGAACAAATTAGCACAAACCTATCCCCTAAATTGCACCCTCCATCTGCACAAATTTCAGAACTGTCACAATTCCCATTCATCAATAAATATAAGATAAATTTCAATTTTCAATGATACCTCCACATCCCCCCCCATTCTGGGACTACACAATAAACGGGCGGTCGACGAGCGCACTCCAACATAATTCAAAATGCCAGTAAAACATATTTTCCCCGCTCAATGGCAGCGGCATTTGTGCAAAAGTATTTCAAGCGAAAAATCACACTTTGACATTGTCTGCTGGCATTGGGAGTGGAAGAACGCACGGATGGGGATCCTTGGAATTGGGGTGGCTGGGTTCTCGGTCGGACGTCGACAGCAGCCTGGCATAATTATTGCCAATAAACGTCGCTTCTCCTACTCCCATACCAGAATTTCCCCTCATTCAGAGTCGTTCCACGGCTAAATACAACGCCCCCTTTATTTTGGACGCGCTGCCACGGGCGCAAAAACACTTTGTAATATTTAGCCATCCAAAGGTGAAGGGGAGACACGGAGATGGAGATGTAGAAGGTATTTCTATCCGGCCTGGGGTCGGTGGCGGGTGTGCGTGTCAAAAGGCAAAGCCTAACAATGATTGGGGGAGGTGGTTGGAGGTGGTTGGAGGTGGTGTCTGCTGGTGGTTGCTTGGGTAGATTGCTGCTGCTGTGGCTGCGGCTGTGGGGCTGGGTCTGGTGCTGGTGCTGGCTGACTGGTGTCTGTGGGTGACATTCCCAAATTTCATTTGCCAACTCATCTCAACCGCAAGCGCCCATCAAATTTCGTCACGGAAAGTGTGTAAATAAGTTCATTACACGAATTTGATTGAGTGCCAGCTCCCCGCCCGCCCCCGCCCCAAATACTCCTGGGTTTTGCGGCCATTCTTAGCCAGGTGTCTGGGCTAAACGAATTGGTAATTAAAACTCTCCAACGAGTCTCGAATGGCAACACAATAATTTAATTCAATTTGCTTGGCCACGCTCAACTGACTTTCCCAAATACAAATCAAATGTTGGCGAGTCCTCGAGCGGACACAAACATTTCAAAAAGCAAATTGGAACCGATGGGTTGAGGATGCGGATGAGGTTTGGAGAATGGGTTTGTGGTGGCCGTGCATTGTGTGCTCCTGCCCGATTGCCAGGGATAACTGTCTGATCCTGGCAAGACAAATGGGGGTGCAAATCGTTTATAGAACTCACTCACTCATCACTGACCCAGACCCGAAAACGCTACCCATCCGAGCTCGAGCCCGATCCCGAGACCGAGCTGTTGCGGATGCATTTAATTTATTATTAGAATTATTTATGACGAATGCCCTGGGAGGGGTGATAAAAAAGCCGTTATTGTTAAGTTTATTAGAGCGGGCCAGGACCAGGGCCAGGGCCAGCCATCCGAAAAAGGGGTGCAGCCCGAACAGGGCAGGACACAGGCCGCACAGTGGTTGTGGCACTGCCTTTCCAGATGGACTTTGAAGCAAGGGTGAGTGGTGCTCAATCAAACGATTTAGATCAATTGGGAGCGACAAATGGTACCAATATTTATATCTATAGCATGGGAATCTACTCTTAAAGAGTATTCTTTTATTTGAGTTGTAAATCAATAAGGAGTCCATAAAACCATCTTTATTCTTTATTTTGAATCTTTAATCATTTGAGAGTTGATACAAAACACTGTTTGACAACTTTCTGTCCATTTCTAGGCACAATTGTACCCCAAATATTCCCACTCCCATCCCACGGTAGCCTTACAAAGTTGCACAGTTTTGACAGACAAACTTTCTGTTTGGAGGGGAAAATACGTACGGACCATGGCCGCAAAAAATGATCAAAAACAGCTAAAACGCATAATTCATGCATCAGCTACATGGCGAGGTCCGTCCCCATCCCAGCGGAAAGAAGGAAGTAGAACTCTTCAAATAAATTGCAGACCAACGAAATAACGAGCCCGGACTGACCAGCAACAAAGGCAACTCAAACAAGGACTTGACGCACACTTGAGGCCACAACAGGATAACAATTTATCAGGCAAACACACACAAAAAGCGGACAAAAAGGATATAGGTATATGTATCCTCGTATTTTTGTAACTTGCAGCGGGTAGAATTTGTTTTCGATTTGTGAAAGTGAAATATGTTTTGGTGACATTAAGCTGACGGAATCGGGATTAGATGCAGCATCCTAGGAGGACAAAGGGAGCTGGGGGATGGGGGGGGATGGGCGTCGCTAGCCGCTTTATGTGCGGCACGTGCTCATCGTTTTTTTCTGAATAAGTAGCGAAATTTTTTAAACATTTGAAAATGTTGTTATCCTTTTCGGCCGGCTCCTCCCCCACCCGCCGCGTCTCTGGCATTGGAGAGTTATTTAAAATTTAATTTGGCATTTGATTCTCTGGTGTTGGCATATGCCAGCATTTGCCTGCAAAGGATTAGCGACATCTCACCCCACCAGGAGCAGCAGGATCTCTGCAGGAGAAGTTCGTCCACCAGCCGGCACGAAATGAACTGGGAAATAACTTTCATTTCGGCTACAAACACTCAACTCAAGGCACTGGCACTGGCAATGGGATACGAGAAGCGACAAGACATATTTATGCAAATTTTTCTCATTACGCCGGGGCACTTGTTGTTGCTGTTTGCAAAGTTATTTTCCAGGCGAATTTAATTAAATTAAATTAAATATTCAGCACATGGCCCCACGGCCCAAGGAGAACTTCTGCACTTGCCCCTTTTCCAGCACCTAGTATCTCCGCGCTTCACTTGGCTAAATGTCAATTAATATACGTTTTATGCGTAATAACAATCTAGCGACAAATTTGGCAGTTTGAACACGTAAGACGAGGTGTTTCGGGCACGACAAGCAATTAATTCCGGGGATAATCGAGAGATCATATACTTGACAGTCGGAATGATTAATCTCCATTTAAATATGGGCATTTTGTAGGGGAGAATCGGAAAGAGAACGCTGGGAATGGCGTAATCATTATACGAAATTGTAGCCTTTAAAGATAATTTCGGGTAGATTATTTCACCTTCTCCCAAAGGATAATGTGGAAACGAATTACAGTTGCATTACAGCGAATTCAGCTTCCATCTTTGAAGTCGAATCATTAACAGTGCCAAGGAGCTTTAACCTTCCACTCTCTGCGGTAAACTGCGATTAGAGCACCTACCACGAGTACCAGCTGCTCCAGACCCTGCCGCACAAAGCACTCGCGGTGCAAGGCCAGCATTTATTTGTGGCATTTGTTCAAAGGAATTGTTTGGCTTTGGTACATCTTTTAAATACAATTTATAAAGCACGCGCCGCTGCCCACCAAACACCAAACGAGGAACAGAGATGGAAAGTGTGTGTGTGCTGGGGCGAGGGAGTGGCGGAGCGAGAGGGAGGGCGTGTACAATGGGCCAGATAAGAAGTCGGCCATTTTGTTATGCGCCGCGCACAAAGAAAGCAGCAATAAGGGGCAAGTCAAGAGCCGCAGGAGGGGCTGCTCTGAGCAAGGGGTGGGGGGGCGGTGGCGCCTCTGGCACTCGCTTTTAGTGCGAAAATAATTGTAAACTCTGCAAATGCAAAGGAAAGGTTTTCAGTGTTCTTTCCCTTTGCCAGGGCCCACACAAAGGTAACACAATGGCGGCAAGCGGCAAGCGGCAGCTCCCACAGTCAGTCCTTCGGAGCAGAAGGAAAACTCTGCAAAATACAAAAACTGACGCCTTTGTGCGGGATTCGGCTGCTTGCGCAATCCTGAAGCTGTCTCTCTGTGTGTGGCAAATTGCAATTTAATTGCAGTTAAATTGCTTGCAATTTCCCCCAAAAAAAGAAAGAAAAAAGAAAGTACCCAAGAAAAACGAAATCAGCAAAGAAAACAAGCAAATAAAAATGTTTGCAGGGGGGAAAACCAGAGCTCAAGTGCCCGAGATGATGCGTTCGCAGGCGATCCAGTCAAGTGGAAGAAAGGTACGACCTGGCCGAGACGGGCAGACCAAATGTATCTAAAGGATGTGCTCGACTATCTGTGTGGGAAGGCTGTTGCACTTGAGTCTCCCCCGTCATTATTTGTTTGCCATTTGAACCGAGGATGTATGGACATGTGGAAAAATGTGTCCCCGCAGCGTTTATTTTGATTTTCTGGCAGAATAAACGCAAATAAACAAATTGGATATCAAAAGTGATAGCCTCCAGTGAGAGGGGCGACGAAGATCCTTTCCCAGGCAAGCCGTATTGTTGTCAGCCATGAGTTATGATCCGCAGATAAGTATCTATTAGTGGAGTAAGTACGCTAATTGCAGCGTACCGTGTTCTCTGTACCGCATTTGTAACCCCTTCGAAGTCTTCGAGCTGAATGGCCCCTGACGTGCCTGCAGGCAACAGATTTATGGGCCTGGCTGCATCACCTTGGTTATTTAATTTGGTTATTGTATTCATTGACACAAAAGCCAAAGCCAGACCAGCCAAAGCCAGCCAGCCAGCCGCCTGCTGTGTGTTTTTTGGTGCCTTGCCAACTGCCAGCAGCAAAAACAAAACATGCCCCATTCCCCCAGGTGCACCCATACCCAGAAACCGCACCAAACCACACCACACCGAATCCTTGTCTAAGCCTGGCCTGGTAGTTGGGTTTATGAATAAAATTACACAGAACTTCCAGGTCAGGCAGGAGCGATAGATGGATAGATAGAGAGAGAGAGAGAGCTGTGCACATATCAACGCCAACAAAGGATAATAAGCGTATCCACTTAATGGTTGCCAAGGTGTGGAGGTGGATGTGGAACTAGAAATCGGATTGGGATGGGAGCAGGCAGCAGGCACCAGGCAGGCAGTCAGGATTATTACGAAATTGCCAGTGCCAAACACGCGGTCAAATGCCAGCAAACAATGGAAGGATGGAAAGGAGGTGAGTACGTGTGTACGTATGTTTGTGTGTGTGTGTGTGCCAAAAATCCCTTGGCCGTAATCAAGCGAAAGATAGCACAATGACTATCTACAATATATATCTACAACAATGGAGCCCAGAACCGGAGCCCAGGCGGAGTGGAAGCGAGTGCAATGCTGGCGATTGTCAGCTGGCGAACAAAAGGATTTTATAGCACCCATCCACCCACAAACTCACACCCACACACCCACACAAGCACACACGCACAGGTTAATGAGTAGCAATGAGTTCTGCACAGGGTGGAGGCGGCTGGCAGGAGCTCTTGGAGGCCGGGGGCGTGGCGTGGCGGACACGAAAAACAGATAAAACAGTAACAAGACGCAGTCAGCCGCCCCCTCCGATTGACTGTGGAAGTTTGTCGAGAAAAGCCAAGGATCTGGGCGAAAGGGTTGCTCGAGAAGTGCTCGAAAGGAATTGGCATTTGGTGACGAAAGGTCCCAGCAAATCCCCCTGTGAAACAATCAAAGACTGAGTAAAGGCTGGTAAAAACCCTCACATAAAGAGAGGAGACAAAGTATTCTTTTTGGAAAGAATTCCCCTAAAAATAAACATATTTTCCTGAAATACCAATAAGCTTCTGCAAGAAAGCTCTAATCTAAATACAATGATTATTTTCCCCTTTAATCTCTTATCGAACACACACGTAAATTACATTGTTAACCCTCGGAGTGGGTAAAATATCAATAAGTTGCAGACAAATTGTAGCTATCTCACTCGCCCTTCACTTGTCTCTTGTCCCCCGCCCGGCATTCGCATTCGCATTGCGCATACGCCATGTAGGTCCTTTGAATACTACAATACTATATGTATATCTCTGTACGTCCTCGTAAGTGTCTGTGTCTGTGCTTGTGTGTGTGCTTAGACGAGTGCAATTGTTGCCTTTGATTTGAAATGCAGACATTGTAAGTGGATTGTGATTATGCGGGTCCATTATCGAACTCTGTTCAGATAATAAATGCAATGAAATTATTCTTAAGCCTTTCTTTAATTGGGAATATTTTGCAGCACTGCGTTCCAGTGCCAACTTCTGCTAATTGCTTGCCCGCTAATGACTCCGAGCTTCTGCCTGCCACGCCCTCGACCATGGACCATGGACGATGGACCACGGACCACGGACCGAGATCATTTGCCAACTGCCATTTGCGGCAGTAACTAAGCGCAATTAATTAACAACCCAAGCGATGTCTATGCATAAAAAAGAACAAGAACAAGAGCCAGAACGAAGTGAACGAGGAATAGAAAAAAAGTATACAAAATGTTGGTACTTCATAATGAAGAGAGTCCACCAGAGAGTCCACGCCCACTCTCACGGCAAGTTGGCTAAAGAAAATGCAGCTTAATGCTAAATTAATTCCAATTACCACAGTGCTCCTGCTCCACCCACCGCTGCTGCCACTACTCCTTCCACGACCGCGATAAGAGTGGACAAGTACACTCAATGGCAGGGCATCCCGAGTCCTGATCCTACCCAACTGGTCCGTAATTTAGCCACGCTAATGCGCGGAGTGCGGTCAACAAAAGCCACAGCACGCGCTGACCTCCAGCTCCTGTCCACCTCCACGTCCGCGTCCGCGCCCGTGTCCCCCGTGTCCATCACTCTCTCTCTCTTTCCCTCTCCCCCTCCTCCTCCTCCAGGCATGGCCTTTTGTGCGATGTTTTAACATGAATTTATTTTTATACACAATTTTTTTACTTCTGCTTTTTTTTACCAGCTATCGGCCACTTGTTTGGCTTTGAGATGATTCACTAATTAATAATTAATTAAGTTGGGGAAAAATTGCCGAGTCCCCAGTCCTGCAGGCCCCCGCAGCCCCTCTCAGATATAAAGAATGCCTTTGCATTCGGAATAAACTTTCCAACTTGGAAAGTATTCCAATTTTCTAGCATTTTCCTAGTCCTCTCTCGTGCGCTAAACTTTTGGGGCGGGGGGAGGAAAACTTTTAGGCCACCAACTACAGGGAATGGGGAGAAAAGTTTTGGCACAATGTGTCGCCTACCAAAGGCCACGCCCCTCTGGCAGAGACTCCCCATTTTCGGGACGGAAAAGTTTTTACTGTCGCATTTCTGGCCAGCAGCTGTTCAGCACTAAAATGCAGACCCAAGCCGCGATCCAAGGAAAACTCTCCATATGGCCCATCGTTAGCAGGTCCTTGGACGACCAGCACATAAAAGCAGGCGAAGAATAATGCCCGCCCAGCGGGCTTAAACAAAACGCACGTGTCCTGGGGTCCTTTTCAACATGCGAGCAATATGAAACTGACCTTCCGCCCCGACTCCCACTCCCACTCCCACTCGGACACGGTCCATGTGCAAATTGTAAACTGTAAAATTGAGAGCAATGGAAAAAAAGAAAGAGGAACGGTGCTCAGAAAAGCGCAAGCATTTATATTTAATTGGTGGTTTATGGCCGAGAGAAGTGGCGCTGCTGCTGACCCACGGTAGCCCCGCCTGGCCTTGTGTCTACCCAATTGAGTTTCAAAGTTGCAATTAGAGCAGCCTCAATGAACGTCTGCCCCATGCGGCAGGGTCTGAGGGCCACCTGTGCAGATGGTTGCATACAATGGAAACAGTTTGAGATTGGGGCAGAGAACATAAGCGGGAAACGGGGCCCAAGTGGAGAAACAATGCACATTCAAAAGAAACAAGTCGCAGACCATTAAACCCCAAAAGCATATGAAAAGGGGATGGAACGTTCAAGAGTAAACTGTACTAAAAAAAGGACCATAGAGGGAGGAGGCAGGGTGGAATGTGGGAAGAATGTAAGTGTAGGTAGAGTGCTGTATGTATGCTAAAATTTAGAGAGTAATGCATCAATTATGGACGAGTATTCCGTATGAATAGTTCATAGAAATAAGTGAGAACTAAGCACGGAAGTGGAAAGGTGTAATATTATAAGTATTCACAAATATATTTCCAAATATTTGAATTGTTTTACAATCGGAAATCGATCAAGCTCACACATTTATTTGCCCCACATAAAACATTTGACGAAAACATACGATTCGATTCCTGTAGATATTGCTGCTCAAATTCTATTCTATTCCATTCTTTCATTTGATTTCACTTCGTTTCGAGTCATTCATCGGATTTCTTCTCTTCTCTTTTTTTTTTTCTTCAGTTTTTGCTGGAAACTCTTTGAAACTAAGTACTTAATGCTGCACGGAAAACTAACCCCGGCGGGGGCAAAGGTAAATGGAAATGAAAACCCAAATTGAATTCGCCCTGCCTTTGACTATTCGACACTCGTGAAATGCATCCGCCCATTTGCAAGCTCAAACCCGATCCCGTCCCGGGCTTGGTTTGGGCCAAATGTGCCAAGTGCTCATGGATGGGGACTGCCGTTCAATGACGATACCGACGATACCGATGATGATGACTTCTTTACACGACATTTAATTGAGAAATAATTGAATAGGTCGTGTGAAGTGTTTGTTTGGCGTTTGCCTGGCTGGCTGGCTGGCTGGCTGGCTGGATGGCTGGTGGGGAAAGCCGCAGGTCTGGGCTCTGGGCTATAAGGCCTGAGCCGTCGCAGTGAAATTAGCTTTGTCAAACGGGGCTGACATGTGCACGGGTTGAGTGGCGCGGAAAAGTCTATTGCAGCGTGAAAAAGCCCCCCCATCGAGTTGTTAATGAAGTAGTCACAGTCGAGTCGGCGGAGAAAGTCCAAGGGCCCAAGACCGCTCAAAGGATGGGAGCAGCGGAAAACAGCGGATAAAAAAACACATCCATAAAGAGCAGTTCACGTGTGATTGGAATGTTTAATAAAGGTCCTGAAATCAGGTTGAGGGTGGGCAGACCTTTGGAAATTAACGCCTGATTCAATGAGCCGCGCACTTATAATTGCAGTTGCAGTTGCAGTTGCAGTTTAAACGATGCCATTATTGTCGGAAGTGAGAGATACGGGAGATTGGGAAATGTATGAAGGTGTATCTGGAGTTTTGCTAGCGATATCCATGGGATATATTGATGGTTCCAAAGAAACAAACAGAGATCTAATGTCTTTAGGCATTTCAATGTCTCATCACTCAATTTATCCAGACGTTACGTTCCAGGATAATGGGTCTATGATGATCTTGAACCCGCTTCAAAGTAGGTACACGAGTACCCAATAACCTGGGTCTCTGAGAATGAAACTTACTGCTTGCCACCTGTTTAATCGAGACATCAGAGCACTTTATCTGCCCGAGAGGGGGGCTGGAGCATTACATCAGTTCATCTACGAATTGTACGACACACAATTAGATTCGCAGCCGGCAGTTTTATTTTCCATGAATTCTAGGTTAATGTCAATGCCGCATCATGAATCGGCGGCACTTCTAGAACTGGTTTCAGCCCAGAGAACATTTCTATAAAAGAGACAAGTGGCTTCGAGCTTGCTCCAATCCCGAATCGTAGACAGCCGAATACAGCAGCTGGAGCTGCCTCCTACTTCTCGCCGTGCCATCGACAAGGGCGGCTTCGGACTGGCAGCTGCCAAGCCCCGAGCAGGTGTATAAAGATCTGGACAGTTGTCGCCTTCAGTCGCTTTCGGATGGACAGGATGCGGAGACCTTGAGATGTCTTGTGGAGAAGCTCGGCCTGTGGTCGGACGAGAGTGGCTACAATTCCAAGCGGATAGCAAAGATCTTTGCAGGCCACAACCAAATGGAGGAACTCCAGCTCGTGGTTGGCTACTGCAACAGGAGAGAGCAGCGCCTAAATCAACCTAATGAATGGGCCTACCAGGCCTACAAGTGTGCCACCTCCGGAAGATTTGGTCATTGGGTCAAGGATTACATGAAGCAAAAAAAAAGATAAATAAAATATATATAATAAGCTATAAATAATAATAAGATTCAAAAACCTATATTTTTATTGAACTTTTGACAAATGATCAGGAATGTTCTGGTCCAGAGGATGTTCCGAACGTGAACCCTAGGCTTGGACGCTGTGCTGGACCAAATTCAGATTGGCGTTCATGAAGCACATGCCGGAGTGGTAGGCCTTGGCGCAGGAGTTGTGTTCCTTCGAATGGGTCTCGGCGCACTGGGCAATCTTCTGGTGAGTCTCGTCAGAATGATCAACGGAAGAACCGGGACCAGAGAGCTGAACATGCACTTTGTGCACATCGAAACCATGCTCTTCATCGTAGAATCCGAACTTCTCAAAGACGCAGGCCAGATAGCAGTGCGTAACCGCATCATCAGGGTACTCCCACTTCTTGTATTTGGCCACGAGCTCGGCTGGAGCATGTACCTTCTCCGCGCAGGCATTGCGATAGGATACCAGATCGTCATGGCTCTTCACCACATAGGAGGAGGCGCCATCGGCGTGGTGATGGTGCTCGTGGTGGTCGGCGGAGGCCAAAACAAGAGCCAGACTCAGGAGGAGAATGAGAACCTTCATAGTGATGTCTTTGCGGGAATGCAACTGCAACTGCACTTTTTGCTGCGCTCAGCATTTGTATTTATAGCAATTGGATTCTTGTGTCGCTAAGCGTGTCATTGACTGCTCTATTGATTACCTTATCAAAGGCCAGAGGGCACCAACCAAATAAAGAAGTTTTCACAGATGTCCACATGTCTGGTGTGCATCTGGCTCTTATCGCCAATGAGGTGATCACCGCGATCGAGGTACAAAAGTCGTCAGTGGTGCCTCTATAGGGCGCCATCTGAAACGCATTCGTTTCATAGCAGTTGGCTTTTCACAGTGAGTACAACTTGTACATAGATGGCGTCACTGAGCAATCAGCACGTGCATACATCTTTTCGGTATTTTCCGGTATTTTTAAGTGTCAAAATTACATGAAAGTGTCAAAATTACATGGGACTTTTTTGGGATTTTCTCTGGGATTTTTCCTCGTCACAATGTCCCTTACATTCCATCCTCATTTACGTTTTCTTACGTCTTATGTTGCTGGCAACATTCAATTTGTATGGGCCAGACTCATGTGCCGTGAAATCGAGCAGCACTGTTCCCCAACATGGCGCGGATTGAGCAACATTTTGCATACCCTGGGAAATGGATATTATAGAACTGAGAGAATGTTTGTTATCTAATGCACCAACATAGGCCAAAACTAGTCAGTCTCTGTTTTAAAGGTATTTCAACGACATTTTGAAGGTAGTGTTCTTCTTACAGAAACCAAGAATGCGTATCGGGATCGAGATATATTTACAATACCCTAATCATATGCATTAATATGTCTAAAACATAACAGTCTGAGATAATTTCTATATTAATTACGCAGCTTGGAAAACCAGTTTCTTTATATATATCAACGAAATAGGGTATAGCTGAGCCCAAACTCCGGTTGACGTGACATTTCATACTCACTTACGTTGCCACAGTTTTTTTGTTGACCTTTTTCGCTAAAACCTTTTTTTAATCAAAATCCAAAAAAAAGCAAGTATTAAAAATAAGCCAGTTAAGTAGAAAATTGATTCATCAATCGTATAAAAATATGTGGGCATGGCTAAATGTTCTATATAGCTGGGAATATTCGACGGAATAAAGAATTGAGCAATTGGAATGATACTCGTTTGTTTATGCTACTGTTGTATGAACAAAAGTGCCTTGTGCGTATGCCTATAGTGGCTGCTGTAAGTCCTGATGTCACAGGGCACTCCCCAAAAACAGCCGCTGTTCCACGGCTATTCCGTGCTTTCCACCTTCTTCGCATTTAAAGTTAAAGTCGAGCCACAGAGTCTGCAGCGATGCCGAAACGACCAACGGCAACCTTTGGCGCAGTTTTGGCCCACTACTCCGCCCTGCCCAAAAGACGAATTTCATAGGAAAACAATTGAAAAAGGAAGAAGAAGAACAGACGCCGGACTGGGGGTGGAGGTGGAACAGCTGTTCGTCTGAAAACGGCATCTGGACACCGGCGTCTTCAGGATTCTGGCGTCTGGTGCGATGGAAAGACCGTGGAGAACGTGCGTGAGCCGTGGGGAATGGGGCCTGCTCCACCTCTGCCTGTACCTGTGCCTGCCGCCTTCCTGCTGTTCTCTCGACCGAGTACAGCGACGGGAACGGAACCACGACTACGAGCGATACCCTTCAAGGATGTGCGCGATGCGCACGCCCTGGACGTGTCGGTGGCGGAGAGGCGCATCTACTGGACTGACCAGAAGACCAAGTGCATCTTCCGGGCCTTTCTCAATGGCTCCTATGTGCAGCAGATCGTGGACTCGGGTCTGATTGGGCCGGACGGCATCCGATGGTCCGATGCGGAGGTTCGTCTCATCGAGGTCACCCGCCTAGATGGCAGCAGTCGGCGCGTGCTCTTGTGGAAGGGGGTGGAGGAGCCCCGGTCCCTGTTCCTCGAGCCGCGCCGCGGCTACATGTACTGGACAGAGTCGCCTTCGGACTCCATAAGCAGCGCCACGCGGTTTCCCTGTATCAGGACTACGTGTACTGGAGCGACTGAAACACCGGGGACAGTGACCTGGTGCAACGACACCCATTATTATGCCAATCAAAACACAAAAAAGGGAAAGCGAAAGTACCGCCAAAGCCAAGAAGAAAACACGGCAGGAGAGGTTCCGCCCACAACAGCAGCAGGGGTCTAACAATCTTCAAATTGTTGCAATTGACCCCCAGATCTGCCGGCAGATCTGTGGGTGGGAGACGGAGACCGACCTGACTGACACTTATCACCTCCCTCTGACAGTGAACGTGACTGCAGCCAGTGGCAGCAGCGAATGAAAACAAATAATCATGCCAGGCCAGACAGGGCAGGAGAATGAGAGGAGAGGAGAGCTGCAGGGGGAGACGAGTGTATTAACAATCTGGTTAATAATGGAGTGGTGCGGTGTGGTGTGGGGGGGGGGGGGGGGGGTCTTGGCGGCAGCCACTAAGGCACATAGACAGCAGCAGCAACAATTGTTCTGGGCTTTTGTGGTTAATGAAAGTGAAACTTGGGCCAGTAAGCGTAAGCTCATTTGTCATGGACCTAGAATAGAGACAAGTTGTGACGCCCTCAGTGGAGAGTGTGAAGGTGAAGAGGGAGAGCCGAACAAATTCCTCGGCCCGGTTTCTTCCAGCTGCCATTCTATGTACACTTTCGCCCGGTTTATTGCATTCAATTTGAGCCACAAAGCAATTAAAACGAAGCCAAATGAAAAGGCATCCCATGGGAAAGCTATTTGGGTCCGTTTTGTGAGGGAATTGGTCGAAAAGGGGAATACCCTAAGGAGGCTGTTGCTTCATGCCTATATTTGGGAGGAACGAAATCCACCTAAAAGTCGAAGCACCCGACCCGTTGCAAGGTTAGCCTGAAATCTAGGCCAACTGCAAGAAGTTCCTGCCAGTGGGCCAATAAAAGCCAAAGCCACCACACCACAACACCACCTTCCCACCATCTCCATCTACCGAAGGTATAAAAGGTTGGCCTGAGTGCGCGCCCAGCGTTCGCTCCAAGTCCAACAAGAAACGCGCGTGCGCAGCCGTCGCCATCGCCAGTCGAACGTTAGCAGCCTCCGCGTCAACTTGTGCTCCGGTCTACGTCTACGTCTACAACTCCGGTCTCCCTCGCCATCTCCGTCTCTCTGTGCTCCACATCTGAGGCCCCTTCGCCAGCTCCGAGCTCCGCGGCACTGGCACTTGGGTTTTGCATGTGCAGTATATTGCATTATATTATTTATAGCAACTTGTTTTCAAAGTCATTACGTGTCGCGAGCGCCGCCGCGTAGTCGGTGAACAAATTGTGCATTTTAAAAACAATTCCCATAAGCGGCCATAAGCAAAACTGCAAGAAGCCAGAAGGCTAAGCAAGGCTAAGGCTGAGACTCATTCAACAAATTTATGCGATATCTTTTGGGCTTTTCTGGAGCCTCCCTTCCCGACACATTCTCGGAGTGCACTGCCTGCATACAAAACCCACGCAAAAGACACACAACAAATATGCAAATGGAAAAGGTAAGCGATACCTAAATGGATCACTTTGATGGACACTTCTCTCTGGGCTACACTTTCACTTTCGATGCCCGTCGAAGCGTCAGGTTTAAGGTTACACCACTGGCCATGCCATGCCATCTATTTCGCCTTTGAACTGGTCTAAGTCAGAGCCATGGCTAAGACTGGCGGCTGAGTCACGCTGCAGGCCAGGCCAGTAGATCCGAAGCGAATAAGAGGTCTGGGAAGAGAAGTAAATACATATTTATGTGCTACTATAAAGTGAATAGAACATTTGCCACATGATTCCGCAGACAGCACTTTTGTTTCTTATAATTATGAGTAAGCGTTCTGCTTAAAAAATCATTAGCATTCGTTCTATCAAATAGAATTGGTCCAAGAGTTTTAAGTTTTCTTCTTCTAACCACAAGTGATTCGAATAAACAAATGGAATGTATTTTGGGACTGAAAAGTGCCCTACGAGCAGCAGATGCATTCGATCAGAGTTCATTGCAGTTCAAATGGCAACAGTAGTAGGCATCATTGATGGTCTTCCAATGGCCACATGGACCACCTATAAAACACCTACATCCACCAGATCAATGTGATCTTCAAAGGTCTGAAACATTTTCAACTATCACTTTTAACGATTATTACAATGGCACGGCATGGCCTGCCTGCCTGCCCCACACTTTGCCACTCAATGTGGCCCAATTTCGTTTAGCTGAAGTGCAGCACTCCACACATGATCAATGCTCGTGATCGCTGATCGCTGATCGCGAGATCATTACGATTATTGTCTGGTGATTCGATTCATTTCACTACTGAGGCCGCAACGAAAACGAAAATAGAAAAAGGAAAAGCGTTGAAAATTGCTCTCTGATCTTTTCTATTTTTGAAAGGCGGAGGCGTGTGGGTGGAGATTGTTTACGCCAAAGGAAAGTCAAAGTGAAATGAATGGAAAGCAAAGCAAATTGCCAGTCAGTCAGTCAGTCAGGGGGCCAGGGGACCAGGGGGCCAGGGGCCAGTGGGGCGTGCGGCCCAGCCCAGCACAAATGTCTGTGTGTAATCCGAATCCGAGAGCAGCAATTTGAGATCGAGATCAGAAACTCGGTCACAGTTCCGCGGGGATCGCTTGAGTGCATTTCGATGCCAGAGCAACTTGTTTAACCGGACTCCGGACCTAGACCTAGGCTTCCACCTCTCTCTAGGGTCGGGGGTGTGCGAAGGAAAGCCGTCCAGAAGTCAGTGGCGGGGCCCATGATCGCCCTGATCAGCGCTCGGACAGTTCGTCCGGTTCGATCGGCTCCGCGTAATCCAATTAAAGGAACAATCTACATTTCAATTCAAAACTAATGAAGTGTAGTTAATTCACAACAAAGGCAGACATGTGTTGAATGCTTGTTGTTGGACCGTCGGACCGTTGGACCACGTTTTGAATGCAGCAACTGGTGGTACCGCTGGCATTTGAAAGGCCAGGGGTTTCAGCGGAGTCAGAGTCCAACTTCCGTCAAACACTCGATTGTGCGTAGTCCAAACAATTCATTGATTGATTGTCGATATGGCGATCAATTAAACAGATTATGATTTCTCATTGGCAACAGAACCTAGTGACAAATCAGGGACAGCTGTCAGTGAAAGAAAAACCAAAAAATTAACCACAAATTCTTACAGCGAACGCTGCTGATTCTGTTACTGGGTCTGGTTTTGTGCCTCGAATCATCGCAGGCCGCTCGTCGTCTGCGCAAGAAGCCCAAAGTCTACAATGCCCTCATCACCACCGATGATAATCTCACCTCCAGCAGGGCCTATCCCGTCATCCAGCCCACCATTCATGAGCCGGGCTATGCTCCCTTTGGGCCCTACAATCCGTACGGCTTCTACAGTCCTCCATTGGTGAGGTTCGGTCAGCCAATTGTGCCTGGTCTGACGCCCAACGAGAGGGTGAGTATAAGAATGAAGGATTAAATCCGAGATGAAATGAAAAACTAAGGACTGTCTCTTATAGCTGACCTATCCCCTGCCCACTGGAGCACAGTATCCTGCTGGATTTTCCCAATACGAGCCCCAACAGCCTGTGGAAACGCCTGTGGAAACGCCTGTGGAGCAACAGCCCTTGCCACAGGCGGCTCCGCCATCACTTGAGCCCAAAGAAATGCCCAAGGAACAGATTCCGCTGCCACTCAACGAACAAGGACTGCCGCCCGTCCTCATCCGGCTGCCATCGCAGTACACTGGACAGCCGACCCATCTGCCTCCTTATCCGTACAGCCAGTACCCGGTGATCTATGATCAGGCTGGATATGTACGCCAGAACTATCTGCCGCCCTACGACTACTACCCCACACAGGGCTACCCGATCCGGGAGCCAACAGCAGCATCAGCAGCGAATGCACCCGCAGCGCCACCACCACCGTCGCCACCCCAAGAGGAACCGCAAGCCTTGCCGTTGGATCTGAACCTGGAGCCGGTAAAGCCCAGTTTTGAGGACATCCGGAACGGATCGGAGAGTAAAAACAGCGAGGTTCCTGATGTGCCGCCGCCACCAATACCGTCGGGTCCGAGGCGTCCGAGACCCGCTGAGGGGGATAATTGAGGCCTTTCGCTCACACAATCCAATCAAATCCAACCCAATCCACACACGTATTTATTACCATATTTCTTAGGCATAAACCGATTTGATGTATTGTACAATGTCGTTTAACCCGTAAGCTTAGTAAGTGTTCGCATCCACAGATAACGAATAAAATGTAAAATCACCAAAGCGGTGAATGAACTTGGTTTGGGGTGGGACTGGGAACTGGACTCCAGGGAACTGCCGATGACGATGAGTGCTTTCGCTTTCCTCTGACCTCGGGGAATTGTTTATCATTCGCTTCCATGCAAAATTGACTATAAATTGAGCTGACTCTGCAGGCTGTGGACACAGTTTACATTGGAAGAGCTTTGCAGAATGAAGCTGACCCTGCTGCTGATTCTGTGCGTTTGCCTCTTGGGCTTTGGTAAGCAAATAACATTCTTTTCATATATATCTTCTCACAGCTGGGTTTCTCTAGTCTTTGGAAATACCCTGGTCACCAAGCCACCATTTCTGCGTAGCCGTTACAGCCTTCGCTGGCGGAAAACAACCCCAGCAGCCACAGAGGCAACCACTGGACACCCCATGGACCTGGCCACCTCCACGGAGCATCCCAAGATGAGAACTTCAACGGCCAATGCGGACTACGATTACTACGGCAATGGTGAAGCAGACAATGTGGTGCACAAGTAAATGGCCAATTTATCACAAAAAAGTCAGTTCATAAAATATATAGAAAGTCGCATCAAATCTTATCAATAAAATTTTGAACTATCAGTTATCTGTCAATTATATACAATACAACGAATAAACTAATATATCACATTTGAATTTGAATTCGAATTTAAATTAAACTACCGTTTAATGCAGATATTAAATATCGATGACAAGTATCGATGCAGGAATTAAATATCAATGCAAAGTATCGATTCAATAACGAAACAGCTGTCTGGCCACTCTGTCAGTTTGAAGAACAGCTGATTGCGGGGGGAAAACCAGTTTGGGGCGAAAAATGTTATTAACAAAATGCGCTCAGAATGTGATTAAAAGCAACTTTCAAAAAGCTGCAAATCTACTTGGGGGCCGTCGGAGTAAATCTGGTTTGTTTCAAGCCGAATCAACTGTCGAGAGCGGGGCCAGCAGGCGAGATTGGGGGTGAGTAGCGCTACGCTTAATGCTGTGATTGGGGAGATTTTTGAGAAGCTTTTGATTTACGCGCAGCAATCGCAAAGCCGAATCGAATTCAGCTATCTATACGACGACAACGAGAGCGGCAGCAGCAGCAACTGGTGGCGGTGTGGGGCTTTGCAGATTCTACAGTACTCAAAAACAATCGACAGGGAAAACACGTAAAATGGTGGTGAGTGGGAAAATATATGGCATATTTCGGAGCAAGGGCAATTGAACTGCGTTCTCAGCACAGTTCAGTTTATCAAAAGACTGTCTTAGTCGCCCGCTTATCGCCTCAGAAATTTGACCCCCAAGGCCAAGTTGTGGCTTGAAAAATTTGAGTATCGCTTCTGTTCTACATACTTGTTGCTCGCCGCAGGTCAAACTAAATGAACAGGAACGTGCCGAGAAGCTGCAGCCCCTCCTGGACGCTGGCTGGACTTTGGTGGATGGCCGCGATGCCATCTGCAAGCAGTTTGTCCTGAAGGACTTCAATCAGGCGTTCAGTTTCATGACAGGCGTGGCCCTGTTGGCCGAGAAAATCAACCATCATCCGGAGTGGTTCAATTGCTACAACAAAATCAACGTCACTCTCTCCACCCACGACGTCGGCGGCTTGAGCTCCCAGGACATTCGCATGGCCAATTACTTTGAGACGCAGGCCAATTTGTTGAAATAATTAATCTTTCTTGCATGTATTCTCTCTGGTAATCCAATAAATATTCAGCCCAATGTGGACTTGCTAAAGATCTGGTATTCGGCCTCTTCTGTAACATCCGGCGATGTTTCGTCCTTGGTGTAGCCGAGCTTCTTGTAGAACGATATGGAATTCTCATTGTTGTTTAGCACTGTAATCATGACCTTCTCGAGATTCCAGTGGCGGGCACAATCCTCCAGCGCTTGCATCATAAACCGTCCCAGGCCTTTGCGTTGAGAGCTGGCCGCAACATGCATTTCATAGCTGCAAAGCAAAGCCAAATTTAATTGCTCAATACAATAGAGAAGGGAATGTTTAATGTGCTCACTCACCAATAGAGTATACAGTCGTAGTTTTCCATGTCAAAGCGAAACATGCAATAGGCCACATTCTCTTTCTTGTCGTTTTGAGCCACCAGATAGCGGGCCCAGTTCTTGTTGTGCTCCGCCGCCTTTATTTTGGGCTGCCAGCCCATTTTCAATTGTTTGTAGTAGGGCCCCACGTTTGTTTCTGCCAGCTTAAAGGCCCATTTTATTGTTTTCGCATCGGCATCGCTCTTTGTGCGGCATATCAATTTAAACTCTTCGCCGGACGGAGCCGTGTACTTCTCGTATGGCAATGTGTCGAGTGGATTTTTGGCACGTGCAGCCGCCTCTACAAACTTCTGCTTGGCTCCGGTACTGAGTTCGTCTTGGTTTCCCATTATATTTGTTTTCGTTTCGTTAATAAATTAGCAGAAAAACAACAAACAAAAAAGTGAAGCGCGCAAACCAGTGATGACAAAACACATGCGAGCTATCGATTATTCTTTTCCAAGCTACGGTCACACTTTCGGGTAATACACTCGTCACCCGCCAGGTGTCTCTGTTGATAATTACATCTATGTATTTGCCATGTAACAAATTTACACAGTTCTACCGAAAAAGCGACTTAAATTTTCACAAAGGTAGACATTTAATAATTGTTGTTGGGTTATAGCTGTGCGTTAGATACATTGACTTCGGTTGGTCTGACATTGTAAAGGCGATTTCCCGGTCCAACTTTATCGTTATAGACACACGTGACGAAGCGTTTGAATCCACTGTCCAGCATGCCACAGCCCACAAGGTGGGTTTTCCCGTACGCTATGTTGGCGAACATCCACATTTCTCGCGAGGCATTAGCCGGAAAAGCAGCCACATGAACGGGTAATATTTTGCGATATTGGTTCCACCAATTCTGTACAAAAAAGGACATGCCTTTGGCAGGGTGCTTCTTGAGATCAACAAAATCGGAGGTCACTGCCACATTAGGAAAGCGGTATGTGTTCACGCAGAGATTCGCCGTTTCCTCATTACATTGATTGGTGATCCGCATCGCCATGAGCGCCAGTTCATCGTCCCATTCGAACAAAGGCAGTTTGTTCGCTCGAGGAAGACCATGAGCTAGTCCCTGGCTCAGCCGGGTGCGCACCGTATTGTGTAGATCGAGAATATTCTTCATGCACTTTTTGAGTCGCACGCCCTCGTGGCTTTTCCCACACTTGGGACCCCACTGGGAAGAAAAAAGACGTTTATATCTCCACCGACAGATCACGTTCTGGATGTTATATGTCTACTCACGAATTTCGTTTCACAAGTAAGATGGCGTACGTTCTTTTGGCAGAGGAGCGACTTGCAATAGTTTATAGACTTTGTTGGCTTGGGATAAACTTTGCGAGCAATGTGATAAGGGTATTTCGTCTTATAGGTAATGATTTCTCCTGAAATATGAAAATAGAGTTTACTCAGAAGCAACACAACAATCCATAAGATGTTCATTTTGAAACTACTGCAGAGAAGAATATCGAATGGGGCTACTTATAGATTTCGTTTAATTGCAAATTTTATGGTTGCAAGATTATTTAATTTGATTTCTTACGCTTTAAGAGGGTTGCTTCTTAGATCTTATATGCAACAAAGATAAATTCATTTAATATATGGAAAATATTTTAATGGTTTCCTAATTTAGAAATAGCCAAGATCTATATAACCAACAATCTTTCGATGGTATAGTTTTCACTTTAGTGACCTTAAATTTAGTGAGAAAATAGTGTATTATTCAGGATTATGAACTATAGTTGATGATGATTTCAAAATAAAGTACGGTAACCGCCAAATTCGTTCCGTCTATCGCACAAAAATATCGAAATAATTTTTATTAAAAAATAATATATATCGATATACTGACATCCCTATGAAATCAACAATACTTTGTTTACGTTTTCCAATTTCGTATATTTACTAAAATAAAAGTACATATAGCAGCAAATTGAGACTTCGAGACTGCCGACATTCGTTTAGGCATTAACAGTTCCGGAAAATAAGGTAAGTGTGCATTCTGTGCCCATTTGCCTAGAACTGCTGACGTTATCACTCTGAACCTTACAGAATCGCAAGCAACAACAATGTTTAAGAAGTCCAAACCAAAGAAGGAGCCACCACCAACTGCCCCAACTGTGGATGAAATGCTGGCGGATATGGAAACATTTGAAGTGCAACAGCCTCCAGTAGAAAGCAGCTCGGAAATTTCAGATTTGGAACATGAACTATTGACGGAGCCGGAGAATCTACCGCTTCAGTCGTGGTGGAAAGTGTTTGATGCCTACGATCAAAAGGTGGCGAAATTGACTGGCACAGTAGACACCTTGGAGTCCCAAAAAAAGCAATTACAGTCCTGCTGCGAGGTGCTGGAGAAGAGTGCCCAAGAACTACGTGAAGGCATTCAAAAGCAGCTGTCGTTGATTAAGAAATCTGTTAATTAATATGTAAGGCGTGTTTAAGAGGATATGTATATTGTCTAAATAGATTTTAAATTCTGCAAAATGTAAAATTCCTGTAATAAATAACGAAACTATCGATGGTAAACTATCGATACCTACCTGAAACAGTTTAAATACGTACTTGGTTCGTTTCTCGGTGGGTGGTGGATGGTGGCGACACAAAAAAAAGTTGTTTCTGGAGAACAAAACGAATTAAAATGCCAGTGCTCGAGTGGATATAAAAAGTATGTGCCATTAATCAAGGTTTACATAAATAATAACTCCATAAACTGCACGGGAAATCCGTTTGTTTCGGGCCTGGATGAATAAGCAGAAGAACAGGTTTTTGGGCCCTGGTAACGAAACGAAAAAAAAACTTGGGACTGGCTTATAACCATTTACGCCAGTGGTAGCGCGTTAATGGGAAATACAGCGACCAGTGGAGGTCGATTGTTTTGTGTGTGTTTGCGCGTGTTTGTTTCTTTTAAATATTTGATATGTATTGCAAGTTGGCCAAATCCAATTAACCAAACGAAAAAGTGCAACAATTTGTGGCTAATTGAATTTCGTGTATCTTATTTTGGTTTAAGCCACCAACAACAACAGCGAGCAGCGAGTAAGAAGCAGCGCATCAGCGTTTTTTGGGCCAGAATACACACACAGCCACACACATTTGTACACAACAACACACTCAAACCCTTTTGCACGCACAGCAAGAAAAGAATAATTATCCAATTAAACGGTTGTCAATAGTGCAAAGGAATGCATTTAATTCCATTGACCAAAAGGAAATGTGCGCTAAAGACTGGAAAGCCACAAACGGGAAACTAACAGTAATTTTCACGGGCACACACGCACACCTATAACCAACTCTCTATACGAACGGACGTACATATGTATGGATGTGTGCGTGCGTATGTGAAGTGCTAATGAGATGCTGTGGCGCTGCTCTTCCTCTCTCACTGCTCTCCTGCTGTTTGTTGCTGTTGCCTTTTATGCAAAGAAACGCAAAAATTGTTGTTGAACAAAAGATTTTGCGTATATTTTATTGTTGCTGGAAAAGGTGAAAGCCACTTTTTGCCCCTCTCCATATGATCTGGAGCTGGAGCTGGTGCTGTAGCTGTGAGCCTGCTCTGGAGTCCGGACGTATACGTAATGCAGTGTTTCTTTGTGCGAGAGTGGCAGGGCAACCGTTAGTGCAATCAACTCGATTATATCCATTCTCATTCTTCTCCAACAGCTTCTCGCGTGGAAATGTCACAGATTGGTACGCGGATTGCGGCCTGAGCAATTTCCCTGCACTGCACCTCTTTCTCCTCTGGCACACTCTCTATTGCAACAGAGCGAAACGGCGACGACGGCTGCAATAATGTGATGCCTGGGGGTCAGACACAGAGGTTAATCCAAGAAAACGCAACCTAGAACTAGTTAGGTTTCCACACACACACACACACACCACATACACTGCCAGAACACACACACACACTATCGCCCAGACACAAATACAACACAATCCAGCCAGATGAGCTGGCTGCTGGGGCTCCTGGCGGTTTTGTGGATGCCCAGTGAGCTGCTGGCCGTTCCAACGCCACTCAAGCTGCCAGGTAAGTGCCCAATACTTTCCCCCCCTTACCCACAAGGAAACGCTGAGTCAAGAGCTTTGATCTTTCGTCAGGCTACACCCACAAACTGACGCCGTACATCAAGCACTGGGAGGCGGCGAACTTCGATCGCAGTGTGCTGCAGGCAGCCCAGCTCAGGCACTTGGAGCAGGCGCGCTTCCGCCAAAAGCGTCAGGTGGATCCCACACCGTCGTCGACATCGACATCGTCGTCGTCGTCGTCGTCATCGTCCTCGAGTGGATTAGCGCACACAATACGATTGAATTTCTCGGCCCATGACAGGTGAGTGTGCGTGGGTGGGTTTGGACTTTGTTGCAGCTTGAACTCAATTCAATTCCGAGCTCCGATTACACTTAATCACTGTCCCCCTTTCGCTCTCTCTCCTCGCAGAGATTTTCGATTGGTGCTGCGTCAACAGCCGCATTCGGTGTTCGCCCACGATGTGGAAATCGAGAACACATTGGGACCCATCGACTACGATGTCTCACGCATTTACACCGGCAGCTTGGAGGACGATGAGGCTGCCCATGTGCAGGCCATTCTAACCAGTGATAATCTGCTCGATGGCACGATTGAAACCCAAGCGGAGCACTATTACATCGAGCCAGCGCAACGCTACTCCCAGCAACTCGCCGAGAGCGGCGTCCACAGCATAGTCTATAAGTTAAGTGATGTAAATATGCAAAAGGAGCACCTCGGAGGCGGTCTGAGCTCCCAGGTGCCAACAAAGACGCACTGCGCTAGCGAAAAGTTGAGAAAAAAACGTTGGCTGCCAGAGGAGGTAAGCAATTGCCAAGGGAAATGCCATTGTATCGGATCTAATTGATGTTTTTTCTTCTAGGTGGCCATGTCTGATAGTCCTACGCCCACGTACAATCGTAACCCGCCTTTGCCATTGGATCTGGAGGTGCCCTACAATGATGATTTTCGCGTCCTGGCCTCCGAAGAGGATCGGAGTGATGAGAGGCCAACCAGAAGATATCCAACCACCTCGACAACGAGGAACACTGGCCGCAGCACCGAGAGCTTTCTGGCCACCCTGACGAAGCCTACGTCGAACCGCAATATACTTGTAAATAACTATAATCCCTCCAATGTCGGCGAAGGCAGTCGCAGCTACAACAGCAACAATGCCAATAATAATAGCAACAACAACAATAGCGGAAACAGCAACAACAATGTGCGTAAACTGTATACGAAGCACAAGAACATCATTGTGAGCACATACAATCGTCCCATCGAGCCAGAGTTTGGCACGCCCTACGAAGAGCCAAACAACAGCAGCAACAGCAACAGCGGAAACGGAAATCTACCGAGTAACTTCTTCAATGCCAACTGGACAACGCTCTTCCTGGGGAACAACAACAACGGAAACAGCAACGGCAACAGCAACGATCGTCCAAGCCACAAGACACACGTGGAGATCATCACAAAAAACGGAGCCACCAAAAAACCAAACATCATTGTGAATAACTACAATCCGGAGATTATATTCGCACCGAATCCACACAATCCGAGCTTTAACAGCATGCTGATGACGAATTTGCTGAGCGGTAGGGGCGACGATATACACAGTTCGCCGCGGCTGCTGTACGATCGCAAGACCACGTGCATGCTGTATCTGCAGGCAGATCACACTTTCTTTCAGAAAATGGGCTCCGACGAGGCCTCCATTGAGGCCATCACGCGTCATGTGCAGCGTGCCAACTCGATCTATCGAAATACAGACTTTAATAACGATGGCAAGCCGGACAACATCACGTTCATGATAAAGCGCATCAAGGTGCACAATATGAACGCCATGAAGGATCCCAGCTATCGCTTCCCCGGTAACTATGGCGTGGAGAAGTTCTTGGAACTGTTTTCGGGTAAGAATATTGAAATGAATGCTCCTTCCGTATGATTTAATCGCTTCAATCCACTGCGCAGAGGAAGACTACGATGCCTTTTGCTTGGCCTACATGTTTACCTACCGCGACTTTGAGATGGGCACCTTGGGACTGGCCTGGACGGGAGATCTTAAGAATGCTGGCGGTGTTTGCGAGAAGAATGGACACTATCGGGGCTCCCTGAAGTCCCTAAACACGGGCATTGTGACGCTCTTGAACTATGGCAAGCATGTGCCACCCGCCGTCTCACATGTGACGTTAGCCCACGAAATTGGCCACAATTTCGGCTCTCCGGTAGGGTCCCCCATTCCACATTCCTTTATATGATCATCGATCTAATCGTCTTTTGGCTTTTCCAGCACGATCCCGAACAGTGCACGCCTGGCGGGGAGGATGGCAACTTCATTATGTTTGCCCGTGCCACCTCCGGGGACAAGAAGAACAACAACAAGTTCAGCACCTGCTCTTTGAAGTCCATTGAGCCCGTACTGAATGCCAAGGCGCGTTCCATGAAGGGCTGCTTCACTGAGCCACAGTCCTCGATTTGTGGCAATGGCGTCGTAGAACCGGGAGAGCAATGCGACTGCGGCTGGGAGGAGGACTGCAAGGACTCATGCTGCTTTCCCATGTCCCGTCAGCCGCGTATTGATGAGACGCCCTGTACCCTGACACCGCATGCCCGCTGCAGTCCCTCCCAGGGCCCCTGCTGCACCACCGACTGCAAGCTGAAGTTTGGCGACAAGTGCCGTGACGACAATGGCTGTCGCGATCCCTCGTTCTGCGATGGACGTGTGCCCCAGTGCCCGCCGTCGGTGAACAAGCCGAACAAGACGATCTGCAACAAGGAATTTGTCTGTTATATGGGCGACTGCACCGGCAGCATTTGTTTGGCCTATGGCCTGGAGTCATGCCAGTGCATACCCGGACCTCAGGACGATCGGATCAAGTCTTGTGAGCTGTGCTGCAAGCTGCCTGGCGAGGACAACGCGTGCAGGAGCTCCTTCGAGTGGAATGAGGCTCCCTTCGATGTACCGGACATGTACTCGAAGCCAGGCACACCGTGCAATGACTACAATGGGTTCGATTACACACATTCTCAAACCCAAAGGTGCCACTCATTATCCCCCGTTGCTTTTCAGATACTGTGATGTCTTTCAAAAGTGTCGCGAGGTGGATCCCTCCGGCCCGCTGGCCACGCTGCGCAAGCTGCTGCTCTCAGAGGAGAGCATTGCCACATTCAAGAAGTGGATGCAGCACAACTGGTATACAGTGGCTTTGGCCGCCATTGGCGTCATTTTGTTGCTGGTAAGTGGCACGAATTTGGGGCGTGACAATTTCTTTAAATGGGAATTGATTGAGAAATTTAATTTGACTTGAGTTTGTTCTTTGGTTTTGCAAAAGTTAATGCGCCTGGTCACGCATATGCTAAGGGATCAGCAGGAGGCCAAAGGGCTTGCGCAGGCTCAATCTCAGTCTGTGGGTGAGCAGCCAGCATTCGACGTCCGAATCCCTTTAGAATCCATTGAAGAACACGTTCATTTAGCAGTAGTCTCGTGCGGCTATATTAGGGCAGAATCTAGGAATCATTTGATGAGCATTGAATCCATTTCCGATTCCTTTTCGATCCCATCCCGTTCTATTTAATCTGACCCTCTCTCTGTGTCTCTCTTCGGCAGATATTGAGCACAAAGCTGCTGGCGAAACGGTCGAATCTGAAGCTTAAGTCCGTCACTATAATACACAGCGCCACCACGGAGACGGTGCGACTGCCGGAGAACAACAACGGGGTGATAGTCCACACTGCTGTGCGGACAAAGGTGCCCTTCAAGAAGAAGGTGCGTGGCGAGCGCAGCAAGAAGTCTGGAACGGGAGCGGTTGCAGGAGCAGCTGCCGTCGCCGCCGTCGCAGTGGGAGGTTCCCGTGGAGTTGGAAAAACTAGCTCAAGTGCAGAGCCAAAGAAGACGCAAAGATCCCAGGGGATTGGCAAGAAGAAGTCGTTGGAGGAGGATCCCAAGAAGTCCAACAAGAAACTGGGCAAGCACATGAAGGAAATCATCGATTACTCACATCGAAACAACAACGGCGATGATGCCTCCAATCTGTCGACGACCAACAATCACACCAACACCTTTGGCAAGGTGCAAAAGTGGCTGCTGGAATCGCCAATCGTGGCCCAACCGCTTTCGCACATCGAGCACAGCTCCCGGGTCCGCAAGGTGATGAGCAAATCGCAGTCCACACCGGAAAGGCTGGTACAGAAGCCACCGCAGAAGACCAAATCGATGGGAAATCTGTCCAACGAGAAGGTGAAACTCCAAGTGGTCTACAAGCCACCGTTCAAGTTCTCGCTGCGTCTGTCCAAGAAGCCCAAAGTGAAGACGCACGTGGTCGCAGGTCGGCCCAAGCGAGGACAGAAGGGCAGTACGCGTACTGCAGGGCAGCCTGCCTCCAAGGACATCGCGGCGCGCACCAAGCGGAGCGCTCTACTTCTCTGCAATGAGGCAGAGGATGATAACCAAATTCTGACGCTCAACGAGCCTAACTACGAGACGCTAAAGCCTCCGGTAACGTCGCGACCCACAGAGCACTGCTACGAGAATGTGGATCTGCAGGCCGAGGCCTCCACATCAAAGTCTAGTAGCTGTAAAGTTGGTCCCAGCTCCAACAGAGGCAGCTTGGAGGGGCCAGCGCCACCGGCACCAGTTCCTGTCCAGCGCAGCTCGTACCGTCGCTCCAACTCGCTGTCCACCCACAATCCCTTCGCCGTGGCTCCGCGACGTAGCAGCAGCAAAGTGAAAGCCGATGCCCAGGCCGCTGGCGGCTCTGTGAATCTTACGCGCAACTTTGGCAGCACCCAGAACCTCATCAATCTTAGCCAGAACCTGGCCAAGACCAAGAAGCGGAGCAGCCTCAACCTGAAGGCCAGTGGGGCCAAGAACGGCAAGGATCCATCCGTGAGCAATTCCACTGCCTCGCCCCAGCGACGTTCCTCCTCCAATGCAAACCTGCGCAGGGACAGCAGTGCCTCGTCAAAGGCAGCGCCAGTGCCGCCTACGCGCAACTCGCGCAACAGCTTCAGCAACATTCCGCGAGCCAGCCTTGGTGGCGGTGGCTCGAACGTCACGACGACAGCAGGGCCGCCCAGCTTCTCGCGTCAATCTTCCAGCAGCACCACGACGACGAGCTCGTCGATTGCTGCGGGAGCAGCGTTACCCCTGCCGCTGCAGCAATCCGCCTCGACCAGCGCCATGCAGCGACAACCGCCTGCCCAGCCGATGCGACGGAGTCTCCACAACTTCCGGACGCGCTCAACGGCACCGGCGTCAGCGTCTGCACCCAAGCCAGGAGCAGGGGCGGCTGCGACGACGACCGCCGCCACAGACAACAATGAGCTGCCATCGGACCTGGAGGTAGTCGTGTCCGACGTCGAGAATCTGGTTAGCTAAGAGCAGCAGCGGCAGCAGCAGCAGCTTCGCGGCGGTTGCTTCTCGTTTCCAACCAACAACCAACCAAGTGAAAGTGATAAGTCTTAATGTTAGTTATACAAATTGTCGCATAGGTTTACATGCATTCCTGCATATACGAGTATATACATTGTATATATATTTGTATTTGTACATGCAAAGATATATGTATGTATATGTACTTTACACTGCCTTAAACTTGCCGTTTCTGCTGAATATGTGAATACCACGCCACGCCCACACCCACGCCCACGCCCAAACACACCCACACAAACTCTCGTACATATCCCCCGACCAAGGCTCGCCTCCACCACACACACAAACACACACACAACCAGCAATCCCTGCCGCACACCCACCCACCCATTGAAAGCCACCGCAAATTCCAAACCGCCAGTCGCACTCACTCACCGCACGTTGTACCTTCTACTGTTTACTGTTGTATTGTATTGTATTCTGCAAACCGAAACGAAACAGAACTTTGCCTACATCTGAGCATACATACCTATTATATATCTACAGTGCTGGACTTAAGTGTTAGCGCAGCAATAGCTTTTCAGCTTACTGCTGATTCAATAGCTCTTCCAACGTAATTATCAAAACATAAATACTTTCGTCCGATAAATTAATTAATTTTCTATAAGATTCACGCATTTCGCCTTTATGTCAATGAGCTATGTCCCATCTATGAGCCCATCTGATCACCTTTGTCCTAGTTCCGTGGCACTGTCCAATATTTAATCTCAAAGTACCTTCAAAGAAGCCACAGAATCTCAGAGGAAAATCATTCTGCCTTTTCCCAGCCAAGACAAGAATAGCTGATAGACCAGCAGTAAACTGAAAAGCTATTGCTGTGCTAACACTTATGTCCCGCACTGTCTATTTTGCACCCATTCGATGAGGACTCCTCCACTATCCGTGATGTTCCTGTGAATATTGTAATAATTCGAGGACTGTTGGATGGAAACATCTCTCGAGTTTGGGTAGTCTTCTAAGATGGGTGTGAATGATTGCTATATGTTCAAATATCTTATGTAGATTGTGTGCCACAGCCGAGAATCGTATGATGTTCTATGAGACACACAATCGAAATGGGAGTTTATGTTAAAAATCGCTCTCGTTATGTTAATTGCCAAATCTTGGCATCTGTTTGAAACTAATTTTTAAAACAGTATTACTCTTAATATTATGTACCTACTACTTATACATGTACTATATGTATGTACTTATAGTTTGACTACACTTCAACTTCGAACAACGAACGATCACTCATCTGAACACACACTCAAACACACACAGAACAATACAAGGTGCTATTTTAGTAATGAACTAAACTTAAAGAACTTTTCAAAACATCCTTTGCATATTTTTCAAGATCAAAACTAAGTTAAGGAACAATTAGGACAGCGAAGGGGAGGACAGAGGGATTAGGGAGTAGGTGTTTGGTTTTTGGTGTAGCCCGAGTAGAGTATACATATAGAGAGTGTCAGAGAGAGGAGGAGAGTAGTTGATAACCAACGATAACTGTCAATAAGAATCAAAAGCAATATGCATCGAAGTTAGTTTTTACGAGTAGCACTTGCAGTAAATTCGACAAACATAGAATATTAGCCAGCCACGCCACGACCCCCCACATCCCTCGTCAAGCACTTGCACATACTGTCAGCACGCCTCGAACCCATAGAGAGAGAGAGATATAATACATACATATACCATTGCCACTATCGCCTTCGCCAAATCAGTAGCAGTAGTAGTGTACATACAGAACGTACTAGCTATAGGATATATCAAATGGAAATAGTTTTTATAATGCAATAACAAGTTAGAGCAATAAAGAGCAAAACAATAATGAGGACACCTAACGATATTCATTCGACACCCACACCCACACACACACACAGATGCATATGTAGGTATATATATATAGTCACATTCCGTATCGAATCACAAAAGCGGCTTTTGAATTAAAACAAAACAAGACACTCACTCACTCAAACAATAACGATTTGTAGTCTAAGACAATGATTGATATTTGTAGCTATATGAATGTGTAGGAAATCGGCGTATCAAATTGCATCTATACTATAAATACTATATACATACATACATAAATACCCGTACATAAGGGGCGTGCAATACCATTGCAACTTTACGAGCATTTGGGTATATTTTTGTGGAATATACAAACCATTATTAGATAAAACACATAAGCTCCAGCTCAAGAAACCGACCGAACAGACCCGATCGACAGAATGACAGACACAGACACAGACCCAGACACAGACCAGACCAGACCAGACACAGATAGTTAACGCGTGTAGGCCAGTGAGAAGAGGAAACGGAAACCAGGAGCAAGAAAAGCTAATGAAATAGTAGGAAAAACGAGTACGCGACAATCGCTTTCAAATGCTTATAACATTTAAACAAAACATTTAAACGAAAACAAAATCAAGAATCGAATTGACTTAATTTGTAATTTATCTTCATAAAAAAGACGGCATCTTGACTATTTCAATATGGAACTATACAAAGCCAAGTCAACAGAAAAAAACCTAAACTAATGGCAAGAAAAATGTTTTAAGACTACCAAAAAAATATAAAAATATAAAATTGCCAATGTTTGTGTACTGTATATAATATTAAATGCAAATGATTAATGTCTAAGCGGAACAGAGAGATCGGACCGGATCGGATCGGATCGCCCGACCGAGAGAGAGAGAGAGAGAGCGAGAGATAGAGATAGAGAGTATTTTGATGCGTGACAAAAAAGACTATTTAGCGCGAAATGAACAATTTTTGTGTATTGTACATAAGAAATCGATTGATTTTAATCTATATATACATATATGTATAAATATATAATTGTAAAACTGCAAACGATTTTTAAATCTGTATGTGTATTGTGTACCTCAATTGTAATTAATTTTTTTTGTACTTTTCACCAGATGGATTAATGCTATTTTTATAATTTAGCTAAATGAATTGCATATAAGCATGTAATCTTCCCCCCGCCCACACACAAAAGTCCCATTGTCACCTAACTAGCCCCTAGTTAATGGCCAGTTTTCCCTGTTGTCAAAGACCGCCATCAGCATCGGCATCGGCAGCCACCCACCTCATTCCATCCCATCCAAGAACAAACATATTGTATTTCTGTCAATTAAGAGCGCGTAAATGTCTTCAAGAATCGAGTTCGAGCAAAGCAAGCAAAACGAAAACGAAAACAAAAAACAAAAACCGAAGAGCAAAGAAGTGAATATTAGCATTTTATGATTAATAATTTTAAACCAATCGAAAACAATAATTAAATTAACGAACGTATTATTAGCGAACAAAAGCACATGTGTGACATTTAAGTTGTACTTTATTTAACGATTACTATTACTAAAATATTTTATTTATTAATCTTAGGCAATAGCACGAGCGAAACAAAACACCGCTAATTTGTAACCCTCACAACATACACACACATATGCGATACTTTATAATTTCATCATTTTAAGTGAAATTCAATTAACAATAAAAACGAAACTAATACTTAAACACGAGAACATTTTCACATTTCACATTGTGCGATTGTCCGATTTCTAGCCCGTCTTTTTCTCTGCCTTTTCCAGTTTCAATGCGCGCTTGGCCATGATCCAGAAGAACAGACTGGGGCACAGATGGCGGAGGTAATAGGCGACCTTGGCCTGAACATCGCTGACCAGAATGTCGGGCTCGTTGCGCAGAATGCACTTCAAAATGCGTTCAGCCAACTTATCGGGCGACATGCCCTTGGCAGTAGAGTCGTCCATTTCTGAAAGGCAACATTGAATGTTGATTACTTGTTGGACATACATATGTATTCCGTTGACTTACTGCCATAGCTTTTACCCGTTCCTGTGAGCGCATTCAGTGAGAGCTGAGTGCGTACGTAGCCGGGACTGACGGTGGAGACGTTTATGTTCTTGCTAGCCACCTCGGAACGCAGGGAGTCCGCAAAGGCCTGCATGGCATGCTTGGATGCGGAATAAGCAGCTCTCTGGGGTATGGCAAACTTTCCCTGCACCGAGCTAATGAAGCAGATGTGACCGCTCTTGCGTTTTAGCATCGATGGCAGAAGAGCTGGAAAGTAAAGATATATACCATTAGTTGGTTGTATTAGGCATTGCACAACTGTTTACCCTTCGTTAAAGCGACGCTGCCAAAATAGTTGACCACCATTATCTTGAGATCGACATCCACTGCCGTAGAGGCCACATCGGCTCGCACACTGATGCCTCCATTGTTAATCAGAATGTCCACTTGGTTGTACACACCCAGGACGCGCGTAACAAAGTCAGGTATGGTGTTGAGCTCCGCCAGATCCAGGCCAAGCACAGTAGGTGGGTACGCAGGTTCCTACATATTCGCAGTAATGGCAATTAAATTGCTAAATAATAACAGCTGTACACATTACCAGGTCCAGTGCCAAGAGATCCTTTTTAACGCGCTCCAATTCCAAGGTGCGCCGAGCTGCCAGAATCACTTTGCAACCTGCTTTGTAGAAAACATGAGCCAGAGCCTCGCCCACGCCCGAGCTGGCGCCAGTAATGAGCACTACCTGGAAGGGTTTTACATAAGTAAGGAGTCCCGAGAAGCTATTAAAATTAGTCATTACCTTGCCCGGCAACTGATTACGGTATTTCTGGGCACGGAATCGCTGCCATATATTGAAGAGTGCGAGCGGCAGAGCCACTGGCATCAGAATAGTACCCAGCACCCAATAGAGCACATTCCAGTCGGTGCTTCCGGCACATTTGTTTAAATCTTCCACTTTCATTTTTGGCGATTTGGAACTTTGAACTTTTTCCGATTTTGTTTACAACAAATACACAAATGAAATGGTTTTCGACGTTGACCTGTGAATGCCAACAACTGTTGCGTTGCAGTGGGAATGGCGGAATCTAACAGCTGATTGTTGTTACGTTGTTGAAACCGCTCTCCCAGAATTAAATTTCAATTTTCAATTAAAAGCAAATGGTAATATGTATAAATTGATAAGACAAGGACAGCGCTTGAGCTGTTGGATGCCGGCTGCCCACCAAGTACACACCACAGCCGTGCAATGTACCTTTTGGGAGCGCGAAAAGAAATCCGGCTACAAGACGAAACTGCCAGAGCCATCCAAGAAACAGCTCATAATGGATGGTCTACGGGACCTAAAGGAGGAGATAAAGCTGTGGCGGAAGGAAGTGACGGAGCAGCTGGAAAGCGATCCCATACTGGTGTTTCGTCCTGGCGAAACGGATGTGGTCTTCGACTTCAAGGCTCCAGACGTTCTGGACAAGTGGACTGTTACCACGGACGCGGACCACGGCGAAGGTAAGAGCACAGCCGCTCTGGAACTGAGTGCAGCCGGAGCGGGTCTCTTTCATGGCGAAGTCAACTCGAACCACACAAAAGATGGCATAATAAAGCGGACAGGCTATGCCAATATACGCACAAAGCGAGTGCGGGTTAGTAAGGATCCTAAAAATGAGTATCAAGTTCGCCTTGTAATTGCCTGATCTTTTCCCTGCAGAAATCCTTCAAGCGAGAGTCCACCTACGACTGGACGCAGTACAACATGCTCATCATGAAGGTGCGCGGTGATGGACGCAGCTATCTGATCAACCTGCACACCGAGGGCTACTTTGATCTCATGTGGAACGACATCTACCACTATGTGCTGTACACCCGCGGCGGCCCCCACTGGCAGATCGCCAAGATACCCTTCTCCAAGTTCTTCCTATCCTCGAAAGGGCGAGTCCAGGATCGCCAGGGGGCCATACCGCTCAACAGGGTAACCCATTTCGGCTTCTCCGTGGCGGCCAAAAAGGGTATGGATGGTCCCTTCGGCCTGGAAATAGACTACGTGGGCCTGGAGTACGATCCCAGCCACCGGGAGGAGTTTGCGTATGAAATGTACCAGACGCCCAAGTATATTGTGGCTACGTAATGCCGATAGGGGCTGTGTTATTTAATTGTAAATTGTAATCGAAATAAACAGCAGTTTGTTTCTAGCTCTCTGGCTCTCTTTAGTGCACTCTCTCTCTCGCGGTGTGCCTTTCTCTTTTCCATCAGCTGTTCAAATGTTTACATTAATTTCAGTCGGAACACATTCAGGGTCATTTTGTTTGCCATTTCTTTATTTCTTGGGGATTTCGAAAGGTTTTGCCGCCCCGCCCCTTCGTCAATGCACGACAACTAATTTGGGGCCCCCTCCGACACCCCAAGCGCTAAATGTACGCGTCTGGCGCTGTAGCCGTTCTCCGCGTTTCACATCGTTTCAGTCTGCTCCGAGACTTTGGCCGATAAAAGCAGCGGAAAAACTTCCGCCTCAGTGTTTTTCGTAGTGATAGGCCTGGTGCTCTATTACTATCAACCAGCAAACAGTAGATAAAATCATGGTAAGTGTTGATGGATGTATATTTCTGGCTGCGTTGCATGGAATTGTGCCAACAAGACAGTCACAAAACGCGATGAAGAGGCAGCCAACGTGACCATGTGGCAGTTCAGTCACCAGCAAAGCGGTTCGACCTTGAGTGCACGTTTTCTTTTGCTTTTAATCCTGGCGACAACCATAACAAACTAAAATCGATAATAGAATTCGCTCTGCTAGTCCGGCTCTTACACATTTTACCGGTTTGGTTTGCGGCGGAGGCACTAGGAAATTAATGCGAAAACCAGTTGCGTTGCTCTGGCCATCGAAAGTGAGGAATATCTGAAGCCAAACCAGTTCTGGCCACCATTCCTGTTGTCGGTCTCCACCTTAACCTGTTGATTGTCTTTTTGGCTCAGTTGTGCCTTCATCAGCGCCACTTGCTGACGTGTTTAGTAGTTTAAAAATGGTGCAACACCCGGTAGACATTACGAGATGCGTATCTGTGAAGAGGCCTCGTAACTAATCCTCCTTATCTGCTAATCAATTACAGCAAGAGACGTACCTGTACGATCCCAGCTTGCTGCTGAAGCTCGACTTTCATCGCACCCCGGCCACGTTCAAGCCATTCATATCAGCGGCCAATCCCGGCGAGCCATGGATGAAGGTGCGTCCCCTCAAGGACACGGACTATGATCGTGGCTTCCTGCAGCTGCTCTCCCAACTGACACACGTGGGGAATGTCAATCGCACACAGTTTCTGAGTAAGTAATGCCACCCACACGCATCTATCCTGGATCACAAGACCTGGATCTATTCTCATTTGCAGCCCGCTTCTCGCAGATGAAGGCCAGCGGGGACTACTTTGTCACGGTCATAGAGGACACGCGCAAGAACGAGATCATTGGAGCTGCCTCGCTGGTGATCGAGCGCAAGTTCATCCACAATTGTTCGGTGGTACGTTGAGAAAATCTATATTCTGTATTCCTATTCCTCTCATATTCTCTTTCAAAATTGAAGCGTGGGCGCCTGGAGGATGTGGTTGTCAATGACACATATCGTGGCAAGCAACTGGGCAAGCTGTAAGCATTTCCCTGCAATTCATTCACTGCGGCGTATTCATTGCTTCTGTGTCTTCCAGAATCGTGGTCACCGTCTCTCTGCTGGCCGAAGAACTAGGGTGCTATAAAATGTCGCTGGACTGCAAGGATAAGCTGATCAAGTTCTATGAATCCTTGGGCTATGTGCTCATACCCGGGAACTCCAATTCGATGACCATACGCTATGACGAGGGTACGCCGCTGAAGCGCAATGCCACCTCGGCCAGCTCCAGCTCCAGCACTGGTGCAGGTGGCGACTCTTGCCAAACTGTGAGCCTCGATTTTGCCTCTTGACAATTAGCCGCCAACGCTGCTCCAAAATCCAAGCTTTGAGTTGATCCCTCAACCTCAAGGCTGCAACTGCGCGAGGCGCAATGTAAAGCAAACGAAAATTGGACCCAAACAAAAGAAAACTTTCGAAACGATTGCCAAATATTCATTGCGCTAAGGGCACGATGGATTTTTTGGACAGCGCTGGCAGGCGGTGGTGTCCTTGTGGGTACACACTCTCGGGCGGATCCCCATGAGGACATACAATTAGTTATTTAGATTTAAAGTGGAATCTGGCAACATATGTGTTGCATTTTTTTCGTTTTTAATTCTTACAGAACTCTCAATTTTATAACTTTTTCTCTCCTTTCTGCTACTGAATGTGCGGCGGGGCGCTCTCAACTCTCAACGCAAAAGGTAGTCGTTATATTACCCTTTAAGAGCACCTTCATCAAGTAGCATTAACATTGATACACATTCAGACATAAATACATCTAAAAACTAATCAACAACAAAACTGCTAGTTATTCCGGCAAGGAGACTCGCATCAGTACAGATTCGAATGCAGAAGCTGAGACACACTACTCAGCTTCTTCCGCGTCTCATGAATACGCGCACAAATGGCCGCACTTGGGGCACTTTGAGTGTTTGGCAAAGTACTTTTGGAGATGCTCGATGTGGCCGCCGTGTGAGCAGCCCTGGCACCAGGCGTACACACCGCGCACAATCAGACCGCATACGCAGCACTTGGCCGACTGCATGGACTTGCATTTGTCGCAGTACCATCCCACTTTGTTGCCCAGCGGACGGCCGCAGTCGCCGCAATTCGTATGCATTGCTGTGGAGTGCTGATTCAGTTGCTGCACGGAATGCAGCCAGGATCGGTTGATCACCTCGCAGGCCTCGTTCCACAGCTCGTAGCGATGCAGCTGATCGACATAGGTGTGAAACCAGTGCTCCTAGATAAGAAAGCCATGAAAATGGAAAATTTCTTGCTGTTCGTATGGGGGCGGGCTACTTACAACCAACGCATCTTCAAGGGGCAGCAGTTTGCGGGCCTCCCCAAGAGCTATTATCACAGTCAAAGCAGTTTGCACATCGCCAACGTCATTTAGCAGCATGAGAGCATCGGCCACAAACTTGTGCGGCTCCCACATCGGTATGGGCGGGACATGGCTGACCTTCAAAACCGTGGGCACATGCGGCGGCTGAAAGAAGCCAGAAGACAATCATTTACAATTCGTATAGAACAAAGCAAAATGATTCCTCCTACTTACAGGAGACTTTTCATGGTCAGATGCCTTGATCTCTAGTTGTGGTCGCGCTGCCTGCACATCGTGATGTAGAGCAGGAAATGCCAGTGCCTTGGCCGCCTCCGTGGGTCCCACATAAATGAAGCCATTGCGCAGGAGCTCGAAGTTATCGAAGGTAATCTCGCTGATGATTTGGGTCTCGGAGAGTATCACAGAACTGGTCGGCGGATGCTCCACTCCGCTGCCACCCAGCGGATCGTCATCCTCGTTCGTAGCGGCAATCTCATGTGTCGCCTCTTGGGCATTGCCGTTCAAATCCTGACTCAGGTCACTGCGTTGCTGGGGCCAATCGCTGGCCACTTGAGTGGCACGCCTCGAGTTGATGGGATTCTTTTGATTCGAGAAGGAAGATCGATGCTCGAAGGGCGGCTCAAAGTGATTGCTGCCGTAGAACAGTTTCAGAAAGTTCCATAAAGTGGTGGCCTAACAAAATTATAGTATTTTATAAATGTAGTCCCTTAGCCCCCCACCCCAACTGCTTTACTCACATTGTGTTTGCTGTATTTCTTGGACACCTCCGAATTGTGCTCGCAGAGCTCGGCAATTTTTTTCCCGCTCATAATCAGCTCCCGGGCGCATCCAATAAAGCATTCATGCTCCTGGCGAGGCTTGGAATCGGTTTCGCTTAGGGGAAAGCCAGAAAACTGCGGTAAAGATTGCAATTAGAAGATGACTTGAGTTTAGCAAAGTATCTCTAGCTTACAGCATCCTTCAGCATGAATTTGTACATCCTGGAATGGTCCAAGTGGAACTGAATGCTCCCCGACACAATGGCTTTTCGGTGATTTCTATGGAATGCAATTATATGTAAACGAAAGCATAATTGATGAATATTTTCAGACATACATAAAGCTGGAGTTGGTCTTTGTATTGGATACTCCGCTCGTCTTGGGTGCGTATTCCTTGATTTTATTGGCAAATGATATGTCGCCGTGTCGGTCCAGGCTGGCTCCCTGGGCATTGGCCTTCAAAGCCGGCCGTGTGGCATCCTCAAAGGCGTGCTTATGAAGGGTGGAGTCCTTGCTGGTGGAAAGCAGGCAATGGGAATCGCTGCCCAGCCAAGCAATGCCCGTCGTCACGTTTGTGTGCTCGTTAAAGGAGGCGAATGGTATATAGGGTCGTCGTATGTCCCACACATGAATGCTGTAGTCCACCACCAAAGCACAGCTAGCAATGTGATATCTGTAAGACGAGACAAGGAGCATTAGGTAATGATTTCATGACGTGCCAAATCTGTCTGTACGCACGTTCGCTCTGGTCGCCACTTGACCCGTCCCACCACTGCTATCGTGTGTATTGTGTACTCCAGACCTGGTCGCCCTTCCATGTCCCACACCTTGATCTGCTTGTCGCGGCTGCCGGTGGCCAGCCATTTACGTGTGGGATGCCAGTCGCACGTGTAGACGGGCCCATAATGCGCCGTAAACTGCACCATGCACTTGTCCCACTTCCGCATATCCCAGAGCTGGACGGTGCCGTTCTCCGAAACGGCTGAGAATATATTTTGCTCGTGTGGACTGAATTTGACATCGCGCACGGACTCCGAATTGCTGAAGTATGTGTTCACGGACTTGTCCGAGCGTATATCAAAGCACTTGATGGTGCCGTCCTGGGAGCCAGAGATCAATATGTTGGGTTCGCTGCTGTGGAACGTCACTGTGTGGGCAGTGCGCTCGTGTTCGTTGTAGACAAGCAGCTGCTTCTGGCGTCCGCACTTGGAGTGGTCCCAAACGGATACGACGCCATTGGTGGCCGCCGTGGCCAGGAGATTGCAGTCCATGGTGCTCCAGGCAACATCGTTTGAGGAGTAGCTAAGATTTTGGTTCTTCCCGCCGCGCATATTACAAACCTCCCTAAAGCCATAATCGTCAATCGAATAGACCTTGAGCACTGTGAAGGGAAGGGAAGTAAATGTCTTAACTTTGGTCGAAAATCCTAGGAAAAATTTTGATTCTTACAGCTGCGCCCGGCCACTGCGATCAGAGTGTTGTCCTTGCTGAGGGCCAGGGCGTTGGCGTGGCCTTCCATACAGATCCGAGAGTCGGGGTATCGCATTTTATTAGAAATTACAATAATTCGAATTTTCAAAACAAAAACACTGTCGTCCCTCTTGATAAGAATATTTAAAGCGTTGCCACAGTGTGGACACAGAAAAAGACTAAAGAATACCAAAAGCATGACGATTTGCAGCTGAGTGGCAACACTGTTTGTTCGCCCTTCTTGAGGGTTTGTTGTTAGTTTGTTTACATTTTGAAATTTAAATGGACTTGCTAAAGAAAGAAATAGCCCGTAAACGGAAACTATTGGAGGATAAGCAGCTAATCGATGATAAGAAGAAGTACTTCAAGCGGGGCGACCTGAACGCCAAGAACACGGAGGAAGTGCTGCAGAAAGTGGGATACAAGAAGCAGGAGTCTGTCGAGGCCCAGGGACAGACCACTGAGGGCGCCTACAGCTTTGTGGCCGACGGACAGAACATACTCCCGCGCACAGAGGTCATCCGCCGTCTGCGGGAGCGCGGTGAACCCATTCTCATATTCGGCGAGACGGAGCCGGAGGCGTTCGACAGATTGCGGCAGTGCGAGATCTCGCAGCCGGAGGCCAACCGGGGATTCCGTAACGATTTCCAGGAGGCCATGGAGCAGGTGGACGCCGCCTATCTGCAGGAGATGTTCGCCAACGCACCCACCGCCAAAGAGGACAAGAAATCCGATTTGGCCGAGCTGGACGAGTCCGTGTCGTGGGAGAGCATACAGACAATGGCCCAAAAGATGGGTCGCAACAAAGACTACGACATGGACGTGATCATAACGCTGCTCACCTTCCTGCTCAAGCTGTGGAACGACCAGATTGCCACCTACAGCAAGCACGAGATAATGTCGACTAAAGTGAAAATGACGCGAGTCATCTACACGCAGACAAAAGAGTACGTGAAGCCGCTGTTCCGCAAGCTGAAGCACCACACGCTGCCCGAGGACATCCTGGACAGCCTGCGCGACATTGTCAAACATCTGCTGAACCGCAACTACATTACTGCCAGCGATGCCTACCTGGAGATGGCTATCGGCAATGCGCCGTGGCCCATCGGTGTCACTATGGTGGGCATTCATGCGCGAACGGGCCGCGAGAAGATCTTCTCCAAGAACGTGGCACACGTCATGAACGACGAGACGCAGCGAAAGTATATACAGGGTCTCAAGCGATTGATGACCAAATGCCAGGAATACTTCCCCACGGATCCCTCCAAGTGCGTCGAATATGTTAGCAAGAAGGATCGTGAATAAAGTCAAACGTTTATATTATTACGAAATCATTTAGAAATGCCCTGGCGTATCGCAACAAATTTAACAGCTTATTTTCCTTTAACTTTCTACTCAACAACAGCTAAGAATTACATATTACTCATTACGTACATGCTTCGCTTGTACAATGATAATGACTGAAACATCTTGAAACTCAATCAAACGCATGACACTTGTATCATAATTATAATAGCGGCATAAAGTTTGTTGCAACTGCATACTGTAAATAGAGAGCATGGGGAGACGTTCGACCGACGCCGCTCACTTCTTTCCCAGCTCGGTTGAGCGTTGAGTCGCCTTTTCCACGGCATTTATGAGAGTGGCCCTGAAAGCAGTCAAAGAAAAAGGTCCTTAACACTTCGTTGAATTAGCTGAATGAATGCCAGTGCGTACCTGAGATTGCCCTTTTCCAGCTCGTGCACACCCACAATGGTGGATCCGCCGGGTGAGCAGACCTCATCGCGCAGCACGGCCGGGTGCTTGCCGGTGATAAGAACAGTCTTGGCGGCGCCCAGTAAGGTCTGAGCTGCAAACTGCAGGGCCATTGCCCGTGGCACACCCTGCTTGACACCACCATCGGCCAGAGCCTCTATTATTGTGTAGACAAAGGCTGGCCCACAGCCAGCCAAGCCGGTGACGGCGTCGATCATCTGCTCCGGCACTTGCTGGGCCAATCCCAACGCGTTGAGCATTATGTGCACCTTCTCCAGATCCTGGTGCGTAACCCGAGCGTTGCCCGTGTACACGGTACAGCCCTCGCCGACCTGCATCGATGTGTTGGGCATCGTCCGGATCACCTTCGGGCCCGAACTTTCGATGAAGTCGAACTTTTCCTCTAGGGTTTTGAGGCTTGTTCCCGCCAGCACAGAAACGATGAGCTTGCTGGCATCCTTGGCGGACGGCACATGCTTGTACTTGAGCTGCGAGGCGCATTGCCCTAGGATGTGCGGCTTGACGCAGATGAACACAACGTCTGTGTGCTCCAGGACCTCACAATTGTCGTCGGTGGTGACGGCGCCCAGCTCCCGCCAGCGCGAAAGGTTCTCGATGTGCGGTCCCGAGACCAGCACCTGGCTAGGCTTTACAATGGCGCAGCGAACGAGACCGCTGCCAATGGCAAAGGCCATGTTTCCGCCTCCAATGAAGCCAATACGTTCATCCAGCTTGGCCATCGTTAAGGGCTTTAAAATCTACTGGCTGCTCTTCAGATTTCAGCTTATATTGATTGATTGGCGTTATCTAACGTTATAGCATCTGCGTGGAAGGTTTCCGGGTAATAATTGCGTTTACTGGACTTTTATCGCCATTCTAATCAATAACATCTGTCTGAAGGGCAGTGTTGCCTGAATTTCAGAGTAAAAATTAGTATGGCCGCAACACAACTACAGTCTGACCGTACTGCAGGTAGGCGAAAATGTCAAGGAACCGCTGCAACCGCCGTGCATAAATTCTTGTTAAAATTATTTGTTTTGGTTCTCCTTGCTGGTGGAAACAGCCGCGCCGAAGAATGCGGCGACATTTACAGTGGAGCATCAAACAAGTGGGCTGATTCAATTTAATAGCAAGAACTCTTTAAATGGACGACTTTTCAGTTAACATCCAGTTATGCCGATGGGCAGCTGTCCCCTTGCCGGGTGACGGAGCAGGCGCTGGAGGATTCCGTAAATCTTAAGACGCTGAATGCCTTCGTGCGCCTCACACCAGAAGAGGCCCGACAGCAGGCCCAGCAGTCGGAGCAGCGCTACCAGAAAAAACAGCCGAGCAGTGGCCTAGATGGCGTGACCATTGCCATTAAGGATAACTTCTGCACGGAGAATGTGCACACCACCTGTGCTTCGCGGTGGGTGTTCAAGAAAATCCTTTAGACATCAGCTTTATCTTCATTCTCTTGTTTTCCAGCATGCTGCAGGACTTTGTGCCGCCCTACGATGCGACGGTATGCTCTCGATTACGTCAAGCCGGCGCTGTGCTCCTTGGAAAGACCAACATGGATCAGTTTGCAATGGGTGCCGGCACCGTGGACTCCATTTACGGTCCGACCAAGAACATCTGGAGCGAGGATCTGACCCAGAACAACTGGCGCATCGCGGGAGGCAGCTCAGGTGGATCCGCATCGGCTGTGGCCGCTGGTTTGTGCTTTGCGTGAGTACCTTTTCTGTTGTTTACACTCTTCACAGTTTCACCTAACCTCAAACGCCGTCATGTAAAAGGCAAATACTTAATTATTTCTGCAAAATTCTTCACATTGGCATTGTTGGTAGCTTCGTTCGCGCCGGAAGGTGCATTTTTATTAGCGAGCAGAAGGCGCGGCTTTGTAGTGGCCACCAGCTGCATTCATTACATAACAAACTAAGGGACTAATTGTTTAGATGATAATTTCCGTGTTGACGAGATCCTCGTCCGATGGCAGCGAAATGCTTGCGGGGTCCACGTAGTCGGGGCTCACCAGATCCACGCCAGCCTGCTCGCGACGGCGCAGCTCCAAGAAGCCCTCGCGCTGGGCCCAGTCGCGTATCTGAGTGTCGGGCAAGTAGGACCAGTAGAAGGTTCCCCACACCAGGCACAGGGTGACGGTAACGAAGAAAGTGGCTTTCGTCGCCTTGCGATCCTCCGCCTGGTCCTTGTAGTCGAAGCCGTAGCTCATCCAGTTCTTGGGGCTGGGATTGGCAAAGTCTTCTGTTGTAACGCTGGCGGGGGCTGCAATGGTCTCGTCCTTCTTTGGCGACGTCTTTATGCTGCGGCATGCCCGTAATGTGGCTGCCTGGTTGGCCACCAGGGAGCGCTGGAGCGCCACGGCTCGGCTGGTTACACGAAAGAGCGCAGACATCGCTTCAGAATGCAAATATAATTGCAATTTTCGTAAATAATAAAGTTTTCGTCGTTCGGTCGACTTGACAGCAGCGCAGAGTGACCGTTTTGCACACACAATCAGCTGCTGCATGGGGCTGCCAACCTTTCGTAAAACTGCTTTGGTATCGAAAGTATCAACCGTTACTTGCGAGGACTGATTCAATTTGATTTTTGCAGGGGAATTGGCTCGGACACTGGAGGTTCTACCCGAAATCCAGCCTCTTACTGCGGTGTTGTGGGTCTGAAACCTACCTACGGCCTGGTCTCCCGTCATGGCCTCATTCCCTTGGTCAACTCCATGGATGTGCCAGGCATTCTCGCCCGCTCGGTAAGCGACTGCGTTGAGGTCTTGAATGCAGTTGCTGGGCCGGATGGGAAGGATTCAACGACCATTAGGCAACCGTTCACAAAGCTACAGCTCCCAGAAGTGGATGGACTCGACCTGCAAACTGTGCGAATCGGTATACCCAAGGAATATCACTGCAACGGACTGTCCGCCGAGGTTCTGGAGACCTGGACCAAGGTGGCAGATCTGCTGGAGTGCGCTGGCGCCTCAGTGCAGCAGGTGTCCCTGCCCAATACGGCAGCCAGCATATTCGTATACTCGATCCTGAACCAGTGCGAAGTGGCTAGCAACATGGCCCGCTACGATGGCATCGAGTTTGGACACCGTGCTGCCGACGAGCGCAGCACCGAGCAGTTATATGCCCAATCCCGCGCCGAGGGCTTCAACGATGTGGTCAAGACGCGCATACTGACGGGAAACTTTCTGCTGCTGCGCAAAAACTACGATCATTACTTTGAAAAGGCACTGCGTGTGCGGCGCTTGATTGCCGAAGACTTTTTGAAGGTATTTGAGGCATCTTCGAAGGAAGACCGGGTGGACATTCTACTCACCCCGACGACTCTCACTGAAGCTCCATTGTACAAGGACTTCTCCTCGCTCAGTAACAGGGATCAGTGTGCGGTGCAGGATTTCTGCACGCAGCCGGCCAACATGGCTGGTATTCCTGCCGTATCGATACCCATTCGCCTCTCCAGGTCGGGACTGCCACTAAGCCTGCAGCTGATGAGCCGCAGTCTCAACGAACAGCTGCTACTCTCTGTGGCGAGCTGGATTGAGGCGCAGGTGGCATTCGACTCCTTGGACCACAGGTTGGAGCAGAAACTTAGCTAAGATGAATTTAGAATTCAAATAAACGTTTAAAAGCTTAATTGTTTTAAAAAAGTATATTTGGTATTAAATACCGCCAAACTTGACGTCTTATAATTTTGAAGGTCTGGCAGCACCACATTATTTCGCGCGCGTTTTCACTCTTTCTAAATAAATTTCGCACTGCGAATAAATCCGTCGTTGCTCGCAATGTACACATTATTGTTGTCGCCACAGCAAATACTGTTCACCCAACTTCCCACCTCGACTTGGCCCAGTGCACGCGGCTGTGGGGACGCCAAATCGGTCCAACCTTTCACCAGTTTGTCGTAGCCACCGGAGTACAAATGGCGGTCGTCGCCGCAAATGCTGTTTACAATCCACTCGTGGCAATTCTGCAAGCAATTTTACAATCTGTAAGGACACCGATTACATCTTGAAGTTGAGGACTCACCGGCAATTGCCAGATGTGGGCGAATTGTTGCTGCGGCAAATTGTTAACCAGCTGCAGGCCCATTCCTGTGCGATCGGGGAAGGCAATGAAGCTGCGCTTGCCCTCGACAATAGGTCCCAGGAGTGTCAGGGGCGACTTGCCGGGTATCACCGCCTTGTTGCTGTACTTGCCGGACTTGCCCTCCACAGTCAGGGACACGACTACATCCAAATCACGCACTGTATAGATCAACTTCTGTTCGCCGGCCAGCGACTTGACCTCCTCCACCAGATTGTACTTGAAGAGCATCCGATCGTTGCTCCAGGTGGTCACCACACCCTTGTCGTCGCCCGTGTACAGCACAGATCCATCGCAATACATGGCCTGGATGGCGTCGTAGCAGCGGAACAGCTCCTGCACAGAAGCATCATCGTAGGGCGGCTGCATGTACTTCACCAGGCCGTCGCAGCTGCTCGAGTAGAGCTTCCCGTGCTCATTGACGGCCATGCAGTAGATGTACGCATCGTGGGCGTTCACCGTGGCCAACAGCTGCAGCGATTCCGACCAGACCTGCAAGGCGATTAGCGGAAATGTGGCCAGGGCTAGTACTAGAGTGTACATGTAATACCCACTCGGACTTTGCCATCGGCGCCACCGGAGAACAGCTGATGGTTGAAGTACACCACACAAGTGGCTTCCCCCTCGTGCGCTTCCGAGGACGTGTGCTCGATGCGGGCGTTGTTGGGCATTTGGCGAGCGTGAGCAAACTAACCGGACGGACGGACGCATCTGCCGCCTGCCGGCACGACCATTCTATATATAACGCCGATACGCTCTCTTCGATGCTAAAAATACATGCCACGCACAGTGAGTGGGGTAAGTGAGTGAACACAGGCCGCTTTCAATTGTTTTCACACTTTAATATGCAATAGTTTAGTTCAGCAAGTACATTGAAATACATAGCAACATGCACACGCACACGCACACACATCATATCATACTATATATAGTACATACATACATAGTATATGCCTAAGTACATATGTAGATACTCGTTAGGGTACTCGTTATGTACGGGATGCTTTGCCTTAGACGCAACGAACGTAAAACAATTCAACTAGAAATACAATCAATTTCCTTTGCTATCACAAAAGTCTTCTCAACTCAAGAGAGGGGATTCCCGGCAACCAAATTGAAAAACATGTAAAAGTAACTACAACTAAATCGATTTTGCAGCGAATAGCGACATTTTCTACAGCTTGTCAATTTTGAATTTTCAATTCTCATTTTTTGTGGTTTACTTTTTGGTAGATTGTCATTCGGCTTGAAAATTCAGAGCTTCGCATCGTACACGTTTTCTTTACATTATCCTTTTTTTTGTTTTTGTTTTTACTTCATTTCAATTGCATAATTAATGATAAGATAATTCTCAATTTCGTTTTAATTCAAGTATGTTGGTTTGCTTGTAGAACACTAGATTATACATACATATATGATACTTAATGCTTATGGGGTTTTATTGTAGGTTTACACTCTTTCTTGGAAATTTTGATCGGATTGTAAGGGGTGTTTTGCTCTTATTCATTTCTTGGGGACTTGGACGGGACTGCATATAGAAGATTTGAGTGCTAGTAAAGAGAGATTTTTTCGAAATAACAGAAGGACAGTGACCTAAACATTTCCCGAAAAAAGTATAAACCCTTCGAAACGCCGAAGAGACAATCGTTGCTTCTTAAATATACTCGTATTTACTTGAACTCTGAAGTTTTTCGCATATGTATAAGCCATTGATTGTTTTCCAATTGCTTGGCTTTCCTATATAGTATATGTATGTATATTGTATGGTATATAGCATGTATCTGTATATATGTTTACGTATATCTTGTTCTTGAGACAACAACACTTATATATGTACTATGTAAGTATGTTTAGTGTAGTTCTGGGGCAGCGGCGCTCTCCCAGTACGTCCGAGTGGTCGCACCAATGGGGCGCACAGAACATAAATTTTATTTAATTCCCTATCGTTGCTTAAATGAAAAACTACACGTATACGGAAACACACATTGAGTATTGCTTAGCTCGAAGGATTTTACTAGCTAGAGATGCTTGCACGAACGCCTTTTGTTTTCCACTTGGTTTTTCCATGCTTACTTTTTTTTTTTTGGTATTACGAGTTTCTCAAGTATTAAATATCACTTACAGGGGCATTGTTCAATATTGAATTGGGGTGTTTGGGTTTGGGGTTGGGGTTTGGTTGGGGGTTGGGGGGTTGTATATCCGGTCTAGACGTAGTACGCATTGTAGGGATTTCGCTTCTCCAGACACGGTAGCACACACTCCAGCGTATTGCGAAATGCCTCACGGAAATCCCGATTAAAGTAGGCGTAGATAAGCGGATTCAGCGTCGAGTTGAAGTAACCGATCCAGAAGAGCACCACCACAACCACATCGGGACAGGGGCAGGCCGGGCCGCAGAGCGAGGTGATGACATACCTGAGAGAACAGTTCAAGCGATGAGCTCCAGGAAGGTGCTGGATGGCTGGCTGGCCGGCTGGCCGGCTGTGGACTTACCATAGAAAGAAGGGCAGCCAGCAGAGCAGAAAGACGCCCATGATGATGCCCAAAGTTCGTGCGGCCTTGTGCTCGGCCTTCCATCCCTTTGCCGGCCGCACAGAGCCGCCTGTGGAGGCAGATAAAGAGTTTAGGATTGAAATGAAATGAGAGAACGCAATTGGCTGATTAGGTTCGATTCGTTGCGGTTCGATTCGCTTTAGCCCGGTCTGGCTGGGCCCTCGACCAGAGTCAAGTTTTAGCTGTTAAGCCATTGCAATTGACAGTTTTCTGTTAGCTGTTAGCTGTTTTGCTGTTTTCTGTTTTGCTGTGGGGTGGGTGTAGTGTGATGCAAAAAGGCGGTACGGTTCGGTTCGGTTTGGTTCGGCTCGGTTTTGTGTGTCGTTCTGTGGAGAGAAGAGGCCAGGCGTGTGTGCGACGGGTCGTGTCCTGGCATGTTTAACTTTGACATTAGTAATACTATTGCTGTTGGATCGACGGCACTGTAACCCTGCCCCGTCAGACCATCACTGTCATTACACTGCCGGCGTGTGGCATGTGAGTGTGTGGTGCCGAGTATCTTTGTATCTTCGTGCTGTGGTGCGGGTGCTGCTGGTTCTGGTTCTCGTGGGTGGGTGGGTGTTTGCTTGATTGGTATGTATGTATGTGGGTGTGTGTGTGTGTGGGGTGGGGTGGGGAGGGGGGGAAAGTAATAAAAACGAAGCAAACAATTGAAAATATTTACACAGGACACTTGTTATCACAAAGACATACAGCCCCGCATTCAGACCCGTGCTCCGATGTACGTATACGTAGATACATCTCTGGAAAGTGAGAGTCGAGGGCAGGAGAAAGTAAAACAAATCAGACGGACAACAGGGAGAGCAACAGGAAGTGGCGGACAAGTTTGTCCTTCGCTCTCCGCCTCCTCGATTGTTGTCGTCATCGTCATCCGTTGATGGATGCCCCACCGCAGAGGTGGCATGGGCTTGGATGTTAAGTGCTCTGGAGAGCTGGGTGGGGGGAGGAGGGTGGACTGGCCAGACCGTTGGACAAGGTGGAACGAAATCATAATGCAAAAACCAATGGCAAGGTGGAGGCGCAATAAAGCCGGGCAAACGCACGTGCAAAACGGAAGCGACTATCTACAGCATGAGGGCAAAGCGTCGAGAGTGGAGAGGGGAGAGGGGAGAGGGGGCAGTAGCCAGGTTCTCAGTTTCAGTACTCCGGTGGGTTCCCAGCCTGGTGCGTGTGAACCCCCTGACTAAGCTGGTTATCAGCTGAGAAGAAGGTGTCTGAAACGGGTTTTGGGGCAGATTTGGCTGTCGAGCAGGATCCTGTGGTCACTGGGATTGGGTTGGGTTGGGTTCTTGGGTTAAGCTATAATGATGTTAATTCGATTTGAGGAGCAGCGACCTGGCTTTCCCTTGAAAGCGAGATGTATATTCGATGTCGATGTTGGCTTTCGGGGAATCGAGATACCTATGTATGTATGTGGGATGCATGTATATACAAGTGTGAGTGCGTGTGTGTCCTGGTCTGATGCGAGTGCTGATGCGGGAAAAGCGAATGATTGACACTGAAAGCGGGGGAAATGCGTGGGATTGAAGTGTTAAAACATGAGACAGATACAGATACAGATACAGATACAGAAACTGACTGAGCAAGAGACAGACAGAGACAGACAGAGAGATACAGAGAGAAAGAGAGCGAGAATGAGCGAGAGATGGGGGTGGGGGTGGGGGTGGGGGCGAGTGGGTCTGGCTACTGTTTGCTGTGTGGTGGATACGACAAGACTCACCGGTTGCACCACAGTGACTGCATCCGGCTTGGGAGCGGCGCCTCCGATGGCGCTGCCTCTGCTGCCAGCACGCCGTGACCGCCGCCGTACGTTTGTGCCAGAAGCGTGTGGGCTCCTGGTCAGGATCTGGAGCTTGGGCGTGACTACTACGTTTACTACTTGCATTGGCGGTGGTGTCAGTGGAGTTGGTTGTGGTGCCGGTGCCGGTGGCGGTGGCATTGGCGTTGGCGGTGCTGATGTCGCTCCCACAGAGCGGACACTTGGGCAGCGGGCTGGACACCGGGGCAAACTTGATGCCGCGCGGCTTCTGTTCGCTGATCTCGGCCTCCTCCTCATCCACAAAGATGCAGATGCCACCGCGTCGGATGAGCGAGGATTTATTGGAAAATTCGTGCTCTGCTTGCAGGTTTGTTGTTGGTTTTCGGGTGTTTTTTTTTTTGTTTTGGTTCGGGGACGACCACAGGTGGTTTTTTTGGTTGGTTTTTTGTTTGTTGTTTTTGGAGTAGAAGTTTTTTTGGTTGGACAAAATTTGATGATTCGGTTTTACATATATTTACACATACAAACACACACAAAAGAAATGGCGTGAAAGAGAGAGACAGACAGATAGATAGATAGAGAGAGAGAGAGAGATAAAGACAGATACAGATACGGATACAGAGAGGAAGAGAGAGAGACAAGGTACAGACATAAGTATTTCATAGACAGGACTGTAGGTTAGACAAAGATTGGGGGCACAGATCGGATCACATCACACCACAGATCGCATGCGCATGCGTGCCATGCAACGCCATACACAGAGCACCAGGAAGGGGCGGTGGAGCGAGGAAACAAAGCAAACAGTTGGACCAGGACGACTCTAGATGGTTCCTTTCTCAATGACAGCTCTCCTAACTCGTTGCGCAGGCGTTCTAGGTCGTCTATCGGTTGGTGGTGCAACTAACATAAAGCTCTAGTCTAGTCTAAGGCTCTAGTGGCATCAACTCAAGCTTCGTTGGTGGTTCTTCTTCTACAGAGGCGGTACTTAGTGGAGGCTAGTTCGGAGTGGAAACGGCAGTCAAATAGCTATACTCTTTCGCTCTTTCAGCCCTTGACTGCCTTTTCCTCCGAGTGTTACCCACATATCACCTCTTAATGGTTGTCCTTTTTCGTTTTTTCTACTCTACTCAATCATATATGGAAGGGGGGCTCTACTCACTTGCAGAACTGGTAGAGACGCGACCCATGGGAATGTAGCTGCGACTGTCGCTGTTATCCTGCGAGAAATTAATGACATTGACGTCATAGGTCACCACAGAGGCCTGTCGCTTCCTCACGGTCTGCAGGCCATCGTAGCCGGCCAGGATGCTGCAGCGTTGACGGCCGCCGGAAACGCTCACATCCGCATCTCCGGAGCTATCTTTGCGCTTGAACAGCGGGGACGTGACATCCCTGGGCTCGCCGCCCAGGCCGTCGCATCCGCCCTCCCCGGGGGATAGCGTCGAGTCGAGGATTATTTCTGGCTTTGGGGATATGTTGGGGGGGAGCTGCTGCTGCGGCTGGGGGTTGGGCTGGGGCTGGGGCTGGGGCACCGGCAGCGTGGTGACCACATCCAGCGATACCGTGGAGGTGTCGCTTGGCGAGTAGCCTTGTCCGGCCGCATGCGGCGGCGGCGGCGGCGACAGGAAGTACACATTGATGGACGCCGACTGCGAGTTGGAGGAGCCCATGGCGTTGCCATTGGAGGCGGACGTGCCCGCGGTGGCCGGTGGAGTGTTCGGTGGGGACATCAGATAGTTGGCGCACACCTGATCGCTCAGCGTGCTCATTCGCTGGGGGGCCGTCGCCTGGCACCTCGAGCCGCCGCATCGCCCCTGTTCGCCCAGCGGAAAGCTGAGCGAGCGGAAGATCTCGGCCAGCTCCGAGCTGTTGGCAATCAGCATGCCGCTCTGCTCCGGCAGCTCGGGCGGCGAGAGGGAGGGCGGCGGCGTGGCCGGATGCTTGGGGGACTCCCCAAAGCAGTCAGCCAGCTGGGCCAGCTCGTCCCCCGGGCCCCCGATGCCTAGGCCGATGCCGACTCCGACTCCGAGTCCGAGTCCGTCAGTGTCGCCGCTGAAGTCGATCAGCTGCACGCCATCGCTGAACTGCTGGATGACGCAGGCCCCGCTCTGCTCGCTGAGGACGTTGATGTCCAGCAGGATGTCCGGCTTGTTGGGCGTCGAGTCGGTGTCGCTGTGCTGCCGCTGGCGTCGCTCAAGTTTGCGTTCCTTGCCGCCGCCGCCAGCGCTTCCGTTGTAGCTGTGCGAGAGCTTCCGGTTGCGGGCGCGCCGGAAGAAGCTGGACCCCTCCGAGGTGGCCTGGTTCCGCTTCCGCTCCAGGGCGAAGCACTCGGCACTGGAGCGCTTCGTCTTGGCCAGCAGCGAGAGGAAGTTGAAGCCCTTCTCCTTGCCGGGCATCGGCTGCTCCGTGCTGGCCCTGGCCTCGCTGATCGTGCGCAGGAATTCCGAGTCGCTGGCGGCAATCGCCTTCCGTCCACAGGCCGCCGCCCCCGCCTTCAGCCTGATGAAGTCCGTCTCGCTGAGGGCGGCGTACTTGCCGCCCCCCGGTGCACTGATGACCGTGCCGCCCGTCTGCTTCTTGAAGTACAGATAGTTGTCCTCGATGAGGCGCTTCAGCTCCTTGTTGTCCTCGGCCAGCGGCAAGTGCGTGTCATAGAGGTCGTTGCTCTCGCTCTCGTCGCTGTGCAGCCCGAAGACCCGGTAAGCCGTGGACTCCGCCTCCGGCTCGCTGTTGCCACTGCCGCTCGTCAGGCTCAGCTGCTGCTGCGGTAGCGCCGGATGCTGCAGCTGCTCTGGCTCCTGCTCCTGCTCTCCGTCCGGCTGCGTCTCCGGCCCCTCCACTTGGGTAATCTTTGCGGTCGGAAAGGACTCCGTCCATATCTGTGGATTGAACACAGGCGCTGGCGGCTGCAGCTGGTTGTGATTGTGCGAGGGCTGCTGCTGCTGCAGGGCCATCATCGAGGGGGCGCTGTCCGTGTGGGTGACCTTTTCGTAGCGCTCCTGCTCCAGGTCACGCAGATCGATGCTGCTGCGGCTGAGGCGCCGCGGCGGGGGTGAGGGCACGCGCAGTTCATCGCACTCGCACTCGTCCTTGTCGTCGTCCTCATCCGTGGCCGGCTGCAGCATGTCCTGTCAAGTCAAGTCACATACAGACATGTTGAGGCATCAATTACAGAGTGCAACAAAGGAATCATTCCGAGTCCGAAGGGGGGCATGAACATTCCCCCTCGAACTCCCGATCCAATCAACCCAGGACATACACACACACAGACTACACTTCGCTTCCTGGGAACAGAACTTTAATGTTAGGCGGCGGTCCCTCTGCCCTGGAATGTCCTCGTCCTTAGGAGAACCCCCAGAACACCCCCACGTTGCACTCACCTCCAAGTTGCTCAGTGCACTGTGCGTCTCCTCGCGCGTGGATGCCACATTTAGATCGCAGTCGCTCGGATGCAGATAGCTCAGGTTGGTGGGCTGCTGGGCGTGGCCCATGTGCACGCTGTTCAGCAGGATGTTGGAGCTGGTGCGGCTGAGGGCCTTGCGCTGCCGCACAGCCTCCCTGCACACGGAGAACACAGAAGAACAATTAACCCAGCCATTAATTTCATGCCATCGCCCATCGCCCATCGCCCATCGTCCGGCGTCCATCGACCACACTCACTTGAAGATGCGCCAATACATCACCAGCATCACGATGCCGGGTATCCAGAAGCTCACCGAACTGGAGATGAGGGCATAGGCCTTGTTGACCACAAATGAGCACTGGTCCGGGTGCATCGATATCTCCCGCAGATGCTCCTCCGTCGTGTACCAGCCCAGGAAGATGGGCGTGAACGAGATGAGGGCGGGCAGTATCCAGACATTGGCCAGCATAAAGCAGACCGTTTTGTGCGTCATGTTCAATGGATACTCCAGCGGACGCACAATGGCATAGTATCTGCAGGGAAGGGAAGCCTTAATAATGGAAATGAACCGTGAACTGAGCGGAAAGGGGGGGTTGCCTCCTTCAGGTGGCAGCGCACCACTCAGGGACTGTTTTGGGAATCTAAATCCTATAGGATACCATAGGCGTTGAAATGCTTCTTCCGTCTGAGAGGATGAACTCATTTTTCTCAGTGTAATACCATAATTGATTCAGTTTTTCGTGCATAAACACCTCGTCCCAGATGCCAGATGCCAGATACCAGATCTCGCCAGGATAACCGAAAGGAGTAGTTTTCGTGGATGAAATATTGGTTGAGGCCTACCATCATTAATTTTCTAATTTCGATGGGGGCCTCGCTTCTGTTGTTTCTTTTCTGCTTTCTCCTTTGTTTGCTGTTTGTGTGTGTGTTCGAGTGGGTTTTGCGGCCCATCGAAAGGTGAGTGAAACACAAATTAATTAAAACAGACAAAGGCCCCTTGCCCACTGTCCAGCCGCCACCGGGTATGGGGCATTTGGAGCATTGTTTGGTCGGGCCTGGGGAGTAGTCGCAGCTGTGGAAGTCTCCTCTGACCAGGCATAGCGCCAATTAACGGCGTGGCGGCGTTCGAGGGGTGTGGGCGTGGGCGTGGGCGTGGGTGTCCCTTGGCACGCCCACATCACGGCCAGCTGCAAATCATTTGGGCCGCATTCATCATACAGCCCCGGCCTAATGTTTGCTTTTGATGTGCGCTCCATTCACGGTAATTAATTGTTTCTTATTCGCAATGCGCCGGGGAACGCGAACGGGTACGGGGAGGGGGCGGGGACGGCGAGGGGCTCTTTTTGTATGGAAAGTGATTTGCCACCAGGCATCTGGGAAAGATTAATGGTCTGGGAGAGATCTATTTAAAGGCTTTCCCCCAAGAGCAGTGCATGCAATTGACTTTAAATCGTTGAATATATTGTACAATACGATTACAATGAGTACCCACCTGTCGACGGAGATGCAGCAGAGGTGCAGGATGCTCGCCGTGGAGAAGTAAACATCGAGGCTGTTGTACACGTTGCACATGAACGGCCCGAACATCCACTTGCCGCCGGACAGCTCCACGGACGCGTTGAATGTCATCGCACAGAGGGCCACCAACATGTCCGCCATGGCCAGCGACACCACAAAGTAATTGGTTATCACCCTGTGAACGAAACAAAGGGCCAAGAGATCGTTAGGGTCACGAGTACCATGGACATGCGACTATGGATGGGTTGGGTTCACAGCGGGCAACACTATGCGTTTTTGCCGGCTCTCGAACGGGGGCAAATGTAAGCATACGAGTGTCGCACGAGTGACACATCATACATACATACATATGTATGTGTGTGTGTGTGTGCTTGGCCTTCTCCCCGCTGGGAAAGGACTGGCAGCTTAGCTAAACATTGCATTGCATTCCATTCCATTTCGTTTCCTCTCTCTCTCTCCTTCTGTCTCTGTCTGGCTCGTAGCTGCCGGCTTCAGGTCACCTTTATGCAGCAATTTCCTTGGCTGTCATAAGTCATTCGACTGACTAGGCAGCTGCCACCTCCAGCTGCCCCCCACAGCGATGTGGCAACAATCATGAGCATAGCATCCATTTTTTTTAAGCCAAATATCACAGAAACTGAAAGCGAGGTTTATGCGGTTGCCCAGCCAACGGATGGGGTCGGGTATATTATGGCAAGAATTCAAATTTATGCTTTCAGTGGTTCGGTTGTTCATTTCTTTTCAGTTTGTGTCAACGTTTTTATTCCTTTTTGCTCCTCTGAAAAGTGTTTATTGATATGTCGACAGAATGGGTGTGAAAAACCAAAGTATTTTGCCAGTTTCTACGGTCCAAAAAAATATTAATTCTGTCAAGAATTTTTTCACTCGTTCGTTATTATTTATTGCTAGTTAATTGCTTTTTGGCTCATTCCAACAGTACATACTTTTATCGATCGAATGATAAGAATAGTCTACGTTCATTAGGTTTTCAAAAGAAGAGTATTTTTTGTATGGCCAGATACTCTGGAAATAAGGCCTTTTATTATATGTTTACTCTCAGATCAAGATTCTTTGGCTATCCGAATATTATGCTCAGTGTACTCTCAGCTGTACACTCCTCGCGATACACCGTTTGGTATTGTTCCCTGCCCGTTCTATTGCTGGGCGTGTTTGTTCTTGTCCACTGCCTGTCCCTTGCTGTGCAGCTGTGAGCGAGAGAGTGCGTGGGGAGAGAGACTACTCGCTCAGAGCAGATCATAAGAGAGTACATGAAGAGAGCGCGCGTTGAGCGTGTTCCGCTGCGGCAATGTGTGTGGGTTAGAAAGAGAAAGAACCACATGGCAATTGCGTCGCAGGCAATGATTGTCGTTTTTTCGATGGTTGACGGGTTGCAATGCAAACATATCGGAGTTCTAGTAGAAACCTGACATTTATTTGATTACCTGATTACTTATATATGTAGTATATTAGGTCTACAGCCACGTTATTGGCCACTGCATTTGTGTCTGTTGATATTCAGAGAAAAGTTTGCTTGCCAAGCAGAAACAAATGTCAGCTTCCGAACGGAAAAAAGAGTAAATAACAAAAGGTAATCTAGAGCAATCTCGTAGAGCTCGGAATAATCCAGCTTTTCTGTTGGGCGATGGTGTCTGTGTTCTGAGAATCGCTTTATTCGCATGCCGCAAGATATGAATCTGTATTCCGAATGACTTCAGAAGGGTAATCTAGCGGGTGCTTTAACTTTTTAGTGGCATCATAAACTCTTTAATCAAAATCCGCCAGCTTATTCGCGCCACGCACAAACGTTGTGCAACACAAGAGGGGCGTGTGGGTGCCACTCCCACTGTGGCAGGGTGGCACTGTGGGCGGGACAGTGAGGCAGGACTGTATGCCTTGCGCTCAATTGTATGCTACTTTTATTTGCACTGCACTCTGGGGCGTCCTGTCATCGCAACGTTCTCATGTCTGGGCGATGGGCTTTTGTTTCGCATTTAACTTCGTTTTGTGCTTTATTATTCCACTTGTCGCTCATTTAAATTACATTTATTACGGGGGAAAAGGTTTCGCCCTCGCATCCCACCTGTTTGCCCGAGTTTCCCAGGATTTTCCTGCCTTTTACTTGTCTGCATTGTCGTGGGGCCCCTGCGGCAATGACCGTCAATTAAATTCAAGTGTCAAAGGTGAGCCGGGACCGGGAAAACAAGTTGGACGGAAAGACCTACCTCAGCTTGCGATTGCGCTGTACGGAGATGATAACCAAGGCATTGCCGAGGACTGCGGCCAGGATAATTGACGAGAAGATGAATCCTTTGAGCAGCAGCACCGATAGATCCACCCAGCTCTCCTCCAACTGTCCCTCGCCCTGCTCGAGGATGCTGCTGATATTGGCTGTTATGTTTGCCCCAACTGTTGGGAACAGCTCAAACGGGGACTCGGAGGACCACAGGGCTCCAGTGCCAGTGACAGCTGCAGCGCCAGCCCCAGCTCCAGCTCCAACCGACGACGATGATATTGAGGCTGTCGATGTGGCTCTTAATGAAAGCGAAGTCAACGAGCCATCTACAAATTGCGATGTTGTAGGCAAACTCGTCGTCGTCGTTGTTGCAGACCCCGTGGAGGCCGTTAGTGTGGCCGTTGTTAGCAGAAGGTTGCCGCTACTCTTTGAGGCTGTGGCCGTTGTTGTGACCGTGGCATTAAAGACGGCGCTACCTGCCACGAATGTTGCAATCGATTTCGTGGGCCTGCTCGTTGCAGTTGCTGTTGCTGTTGCTGATGATGATGTTGCAGCTAATGTCATTGTCGTTCGACTGATGGCAGTGCTGCTGCTGCCGCTGCTGCTGCTGCTGGTGTTGAGGAAATCAGAAACTTTGGTCCTTGACATGTCGCTCATTTCGCGGTCACTTAACGCCCGGCACTCTGATTAAAACGTTGCTTATTAAAGTCCTTTCCATTGCTCTGAACATAATGATCTCCCGTCGTCGTGGCTGTGCCGCCAAGTTTATCTTTGACAAACTGTGCGCGTAATTTAAAACGCGAATAATTGCAATCTGCAATGCAAACCACGGGACCGGGAAGTTGGTCCTCATGCCCGACATCGCTCCGAGCCGGAGACCGGAGCTACAACGGGGCTCCACCACTCCATTGGCCAATCCTCACGGGGGCACCTCTTCCGGTACGTGTCTCTCTGTTTGAGTTGCTCGCAGAGCCTCGATTCAGCGCTCGAGCGCACAACAGTCGTCGCCGGGGAAACTGCAAATGAATAAATAAATTATTTATGAAATAATCGCAGAGCGTGAGGCTGTAAAACGGTGGGAAATTGCCAAAATGTAGCGACTGTTACAATGGGGAAATCTTTGTGTGCATACCGCATTCGGAGACCATAAACCCATTCCACGGCATATTGATATGCTCGGCAATTTGTCCAACTCAACACGGAACGAACTTCCATCTCCATCTCCATCTCCGTCGTCCGTCCCTGCCACATTAAAATAACAGAAATATATATTGCGTATACGCAGTGAGAGAGCTCTTGGCTTGCATTCTGTTTGAGAGGAAAGCCACGCATCTGCATATCTCCAGCGGAGGGGAGCCGGACGGAGAGACGGCTGCAGTGCTGTCGAGTGCTGACACTTGAGGGGAATAGCATACAGACGAGCTGTTGCCTTAAAGGCGGGATTAAAGCGGGGATTATGTGGGTGTGCAGCTTCGAAAGTTCTTTTTCGCTGGGTAGTTTTTGCGGCACTAAGTAAAGTGGAAACTCTCAAGCAAATCCCCTACAAGTGACTTCTCCTTAGTCTATCTGGTAATCCCTAAATGTATATTCCTGCAAGACAAAAGCCTGCTCTGACAGCACTTTATCCCGCTGACTCGATTTGGCTATAAAACAGCTACCACATCATCACAGATGACCGCAGACCCAGCCGGCTTACACTTGTGGCAGTACATTGAATTGAAGTTGAAATGTCCTTGGCAGTCGACATAAATCGCTTTTATCCAACTCTTGTAACAAATGGACGGGGGCTGCTGCTCTGGCTGTCCTTCAGCGTCTTGATTTCAATATTTTTAAGGATTTATAAGTGCTGTAAGACACACACACACACACACACACACAGCTAAACATACACAAGTATACTCGTATATGTATATCTATTACAGTAAATAGAGATTGATGGAGTGAGACAATGGCAGCCTTGCCGAGATTCTCAGACCCATTGCCGAGTCCTCGCTGCTCGTTACATTGTCCTTCGGCTGTCAGCTTGGCTTGTTTGCCGGGTCCGGCCAGGGACTGCCAGGACTGTTCCACTGCCAAGATTGGCAACTAAATGTTTTAATACTTGGATTTTCGAGGGGGATAAAAACCACACCATTGTCGTGGCCCACTTTGGTGGCTTATAAATTTCATGCGCCATTATTTATTGGTTGCCCGACTGGCAGAGTCCTTCCCTCCCACTCTCCCACTCTCCCACTCTGCTTAGCTTAATTATTTCCCTGGCACTGGGCGAGTGCTGGACTTGACGGAAACTCCATAAAGCCGTTGCCCTTCCGGCACTCGAGTTCCGCCTAAGCGCTTGAATGTCAACAGAGCCTGCTCCGTGGGTCAACAGAAAGTGCGCAAGGACCAGGCCTTGGACCGATATCGGCCGGTGCTGATGCGGATGCGGATGCGGGCGTGTGGGCGGGTGCAAAGTGCAAACTTCAAAGCGGCGCTTACGGGACACAACTAATTCAATTAAATCCCTTCGCCGGAACTCGGCCAGGCCCCGGCCGAACGACACCCAGCCTCCAACGGGTGCTGCTCGAAGGCTGTTGAAGGGCATTAGCAGTCCCGTCACTTGGCGACTTAGCGCCGGAGCATTAGCCAACTGATAAAGCGCACCAGGGCAACTAATTGAACCAGTGGCAAATTCGCAGAGCAAACATTAATGCCACAAACTTATTGAATCGCATCCATCGGTATCTCTGGCCTTGGCTTTGGCTGCGGCAAATGGGGCCAAGGTGTGCAGAGTGCACTTATCAATAGGAATTAGTCCCATTAGTTACTGTTTGACAGGTGTTAAGGCAACTGTGAATGTGCTAGTGCTATTTATTAGAAATTCCAGACAATTTATGAGGAATTCTAAATAAACCTGCCATTATAGAAGGTACTCTTTGAGGACTAGGGGTATATTTGTATTAATCAAGGAAGCATATCTACTATATTCCTATTCTGGTTAGTCTTCTATTGGACCCTCTAATTCTCCATCGTTTTATCGAAAATAAGTATCTTTTCTTTTATAATCTCTCATGTGGGACTCTTTGATAGGAGCTTGTGGGCTTTTGTAGATTATTTTTAGCTGATTTTCCAAATAAACAAAGCCGATTGAGAGGTATCCCATGGACTAAACGTTACGTTCAGAGTATTTGTTTCTTTTTAACAGAAATATTTTAAGCCCTGGACAAATAGATAAATCCTTCAGAGCTGTGGCAGGGGGGAAAGCTGCTGCTCCACATTGAGTTACTAAATAAATAAATGCCAGCTCTGGGGTCAGCGTTTGGGTTGGTGGTTCTGGGGGTCTCGGGGTCTCGGGTTCGGGTCGTGTTTGTGTAAATTAGTGGCGAAAATAAACACTCGGGCAGCAGCTTTTCAGTCTCCGGAATGGGATGTTGCAACTGTTGCAAATACAGCAGTGGCAACAGCAGTTTCAGCTCCAAGGAAAACCGACTCTGATGGATTGTCGAGGTCTGAGCTGGGGCAGTGGTGTGTTAATTGAAAATACTCGTGATTTGCAGCCCTCTGACGGATGGCAGGACAATGAAAGATCTCTCTCGTTCGAAACCCTGTGAAGCATGCAGAATGCAAAGGTTCCAGGGCTTATGCCAGCCAGATTCCCGTGTTGACCAATTGATTTGACAATCGACAATCAAAGTTTTCGAATCAGATCGAAAATGCCTGCTGACAGGCGGCAGGACGACGACGGAAAACTTTTGCCTTCGGGCCGGGCCGTGTCTTTTTTCGTGTTAGGAGTGAGCCGGCTGCCGGTTGTCAGCCAAGGTGCGCAGCTGTTTGCCCAACAAATTGAACCTAATGCGGCTCAGAAAATGGCATTTAAATAAGCCAGCAGTGGGCCAACGCCCACGCCAACAAGCAAGCCTTTCCCCCCCCACAGCCACAGCCAGCGACAAACAAGCCTCAAGCTGGGATACAATGTGAAGACAACTGTCAACATTTAAACAAGATTGATCGATTGGCAGCGGCATTCGCATTGACGTGTCTGCAGGGGCGTTGGTGCTGGCATTAATACCCCGGCTATTTGGGGCGTGGCAGGTTTTTCACGCGCTTTGATTTGCATAAAGCAGGAGGTTGTCCCCGCACTCGTACACTGGGAATGCCAGTGTAAACCGTTCTGAGCTCCACTGTTCCCGGCTCTCGCTCTCTCCGTGCTCTCCGTGCTCTCCTCTCTGTGTAGGACAAATTGTTGGCACTTCCGTTCGGGATTTAACGCTTATTTGCCCCGCTGACCAGCGGGCAGTAGTCCTCTCCGACCGCCTGTTGCTGCGGGCATTAGAGCGTGCATAACAAATCATTTAGCGACTGTCATTCAAGGGCCTAATCATGCTCGCATGGGGCCCAGCGCACGGGGCTATAAAAATTGCGAATCGCCTCGGGACTGCCATCAGTTGTCCTGCAACGCGGTCCAAGAGAGTTGTTATCGCCAGCTCCGCCGTCGCCTGTGTCCTCGTAAAAGGCAAAAACAGAACGCTTAACGGACCCCGAGTTTGTGCCCCGAGTTCGTGCCGGAGTCTGTGTGCCAGAGCCAGTTATGTGTAGACCGAGTTATGGCAGTTTGCTGCTTATCGCGGCATCCTGCTACGTCCTCGTCTCCAGCCAGGCCAAGGCCCTGCAGGTGAGTGCGCGGGGCGGGCCGCTTGCCGAACAAGCGCCACTTAATTAGTTTTATTTGCCCGGGCACAAGTGCACAAGCGTTACGCGTTAAGCTGCTCTCTTCCTCGCTGTCCCTGAGACACTGCACCCTGCACCCTGCACCGCACAAGGTCGGGCGGAAATTTGGTAAAACTATTCGTAACTTCAGCAGCAGTAATGCCATTGAAATTCTGAGTTCTGGTGCAACTCGAGCTTCAATTTCCTTTCTGTCGTCTGCATCTGTGGTAGCATCTTTTTCGGAAAAGGAAATCGATTCCAGTTCCAGTTCTATTTGAAAGTTAAACGCGGTCAGAGTTCCCCGTCGTATACGTAATTTATTCTGTCCATGAATATTGATAACCGAATTAATGCCCGGTACTTGGAGAATGTTTTATTCTATAAAGAATAGTGGACCAAAGCAGGAAAATGCTGATGGAAAGGGGAAGAGAGGACTCAGGACCCTCTTAGTTGTATCAAATACAACATTAGGTGGGACTTCACCTTCACCGCCAAATATTACTCTCAGTATTCCCATAGACAGAAATAAGGATAGTACAATATTTGTGTGCATATTTCAAATGTGAATAGCTCAGTTCTTCAAGCAAGTCCGAGGTGATTTTCGCAACACCAAAGAGTGTTCCTGCCAGTGCCAGAGGTCACGGAAAGCATTTGACATAAATAAATTGTGTTCCGGCGAATATTCCATGAATATTTTATCGAATACATAATTCCCTAACGAACTTAATATTGAAACAAAACAAGAAAGAGCGCCCCGACTAGTAGATGCCCTGTACTCGGTGAAGGTCGTTGCATCGAAGAGCACGGCCGCTTTTCGATTGTTTCGGGTTTCGAGAACACACCTCAGCCGTACGGAAAATGTGAAGAAATCGTCCCCCTTCAGGCCCACACATACACGCACACAGATACTCGAACTGAGTAAGCGTTTATGGGTGAAGTGCGATTTACAAGCCGATTTAAGGTGTTGGCATTTCAATCTACATTGAGTTGTCTAATCAAGCGGCACACACTGCTGCCAGCCTGCCGCCGGGCTGTAAATTGAAACAATAAAGTGCTTGACTCGCACACTTACGCACTTACGCACTCCTGCACTCACACTCTCAGCCGCACTTTCAGACCTTGGTTGTGTGTGTGTGTGTGTGTGCAGCGCACGTAGGGGCATAAATAGGCAGCATAAAAATAACTTAACACGTGTCGACAGTTTGAAAGGTTCTCCTGTTCGCCTGGGCCCCAAAAACCTCCAAGGAAATATCTCAAATATTTTTCCTTTTCTTTTCTTATGTGCGTGCCGCATTTTCTCTGTTCTGCTCTGTTCTCTTCTGTTCTGTTCTTTGCCGCGTGGCACTTTATTTGTGCAGGGCGCAAACAAACTGGATTTGGCAAATCACATCAGCGCAGGCCCTGCCAGAGGATCGTCGGCGGGAGGCGGGGCCGATGCGGTGCGAGCTGCGATGACGGAAGCGCGCCATAAGCGGGCCATGGGCGAGTACAAAGAGCTGACTGACATCATTGACGAGCTGGAGGAGAACAGTTTGTCGCAAAAGGCTGCGGCCGTGGCTCCGCTGCCGCCACAGGCACAGGAGTTCGACTTGGATAGCATGCCGCCTTTGACCTACTACCTGCTGCTGCAGAAGCTGCGACAGTGTAAGTGTAACGCTGTGGCACACGCTGCGTATACGCAACGGAGCGCTGCTCTAATTGGTGCCCCAAACACGTTCATCATCTCGATTATTTTGGCATTTTTTCTAAATCCTTTTTCGCTTTCGCTTCTGGTTTTGCTTTGCCTTTGCCTTTGCCTTTTCCTTGACAGTGCAGAGCAATGGCGAGCCCGCTTTTCGCGTGCGCACGCCACGCCTTGGACGCAGCATTGACTTCCAGCAGCTCCTGGACGCCGGGGGGGCCAGCGGGGAGGCGGCTGGCGGCCAGTTCATGTCGCGCATGATGAAGAAATCGGTGCCGTTCAAGCCGCGCCTGGGCAAACGTGCTCAAGTATGCGGCAGTGCTGGCAGCGGCGGCGATTGAGTCACGACAAGGACACAAGGACACAGAGCAGCACGGAAACGACAAACGAGGACGATACCCAGGACAAGGTTGAGGCCAGCCCGCGTGGCCTCATAAGCTTACTTAACCCACATCATAGCCAGCCGAATTCGAGGCAAAGTGACGCGACGCAACGCGCCGCATACACAGCGCCAATACCCCCACATATGCATACCAAATAGGCACTACGCGAGAAACTAATGATGTACATACAACATATAGTATACCTACATATATATCTATATATACTGCTCGTACGAACTATGTATTTAATAATTTAATTTAAATAAATTGCAGCCCCCAAAAAATGTTGTTGTTTATCCGCGATCCGGGCCGCATTTGCATCCCAAATGAGCCCGAGTGGCGGTTGCACAAACACCAAACACCAAACAATTAAATAAACTGAACAATTTCATTTGCCGGGCCGCCGCATCGGGACAGAGGCTGACCTCTGGCGTATGTTTTCCTGCTTTCATTAAGTATTCGAGTATATGTGCGAGTGTGTGGGAAAATTAATGAAAATTTCATAACCAATGATAGAATGTGTAAATTGGAAAAGTGTAGCAGCTGGGGCCGCTTCCTCTTCCCCTTCCGTTGCCGTTGCCGTTGCCACTGGCACTGCCTCTGCCTCTGCCTCTGCAATTGCCCCTGCCACTTCCTCTGCCACTGCGGTGGCAGCATCCTGCATAACCGATAGCTGTAGTTGGCCCGATAAAGTCTCTCTTTCCGAACCAAACCATGCCGCCCATAAACGCCTGCCCCCCTGCCCCTGCCACTGCCCCTGCCCCACTTCTGGGAAACCAAAAGCTTTTGGCTTTTTTCGGCCTGATGAAGCATAAAATGTTTTGCACCACTTGCATCGAATGCTTTCCACACCGAATATTTGCCACGGATTGCATTTTATGTGGGTGCCGCCGCGTGACAATAGATACTCGTACTTTTACAAATACCAGCAGCAGCATATCGGAAAAAAAAACCAACATTATCAAGCAGCTGCAGTTTTCAATTTCCATTGAAAACCGTTTTATTGGGTATCAACTCCCTTACAAGGACTATCTCCACTCGATGGCACTGCGCGTAATTGGAAAACTGTTCAAACTATTGAACCAAATTGAATCAAATTAATTAATGTTTTATTGTGAACTTGACAATTGCGGGATATGTATGTTCTTTTCATGACCGGCTTAATTATGGCATTATTAACATCGTATTGTGCACATTATTTGTTCTTTTTTTGGGAACAATACAAATGTTATTCTTGCAATTAAATAAATGGTTATTGAATCTTGACAGGCCGTAATCTAGTGGTGTTTTTGTTGATTTACAGAACTATACTATATGCCCGATATTATGTCCTTTTCGAGTAGCCTTTAATTACAATTTTGTGCTTAAAACCGATTTATAATTCACTTCGAAGTGGTTCTCCGTTCTAGAGAGACGTGGCTGTGGTCTGCCATGGACCATGATGTTTCGCATTCAAATGAACATTCAGACAGCACAGACATCACCATCCTTTTGCAATTATTTCCACTCATTCGAATGTAACTGATTCTGGCCATTGTTCGAAGCATAATAATGTCTGAAAAAGGCAAATGCAAACTAATATTGTATATGTGGTGTAACTGCCAGGATTTATTTCCCGCCATTCGTGAAATTCTGTGGAAATGTAAAGCGAAACAATGAGATGGAGGGCAGCAGTTCCCACATTGTTGCAGGAATTAAAATCAAATGAAATCAAATGAAATAGACGACTCATTTCGTTGCCATTTCCACTTTGAAATGTATCTGACGCAGCTGTTTTGGGGCCGCTGTTGCTGAAGTTTTGGCAACTCATTAGGAGGCCGGCACATGCCAATTAGTTGGCTTAACCAGCCATGCTTCGGGCTCTTTGCCCCCAATTATTGACCCCAATTGGTGCCCAAAATGTTGGGACTTAACCATTTTAGGCGTAGCGTCTCCTCCCTCCAGCAACGGTTCATGCATCACGTAGCGGTCTGTCTGGGGGGCACCTAAGCGGGGGATATATATCCGCCAGAATCGTGCTTAAATTGCGATAATGGGCTCACCGGCCTCAGGCCTCCATCTCTCCATTTCTATTTCCCCTCAAAGAGATATTGAAACATTATAACTGCAAAATGGTAATAAATTTCCCTCCGCCTCCTGGGGAAATGAAGAAGAAGAAAAAAACGAGCAAGTAGAGAGGAAAAGTCGCGAGGCAGACACGCACATCGAGGACCGCTTGGAGTCGGGTTCGGAGCTGGGATTGGGGCCGACTCTGGGGCACGGCTTTGGGAACTTTGCATGACAGCGGGCGTAGATTTACCGTTGGGTCGCTGCGTAAGGTTAAACTACCTTAACATCAGCTGGCACTGTGTCGGCTTCCTGTCTACGTGAGCTCCGCTGCTCCTGCTGCTCCTCCTACATCCTGTCGTATCTCTCGCACACACACACACACACACAGACACAGGAATGATAAGTTTATTGTGCATAAGTATCTGCCGTGTGTGCGTGGAGAGTGGAAAAATCACTTTGCCTGATTAAATGACGCCATTCCGGCTGAAACATTCATTTGCCTGGCAGTCTGTCTGGCTGGTGGCTCACCTTGGCCAAAACTGATCCCCGGCCATTACGGTGAATTGTTAAAAATGTCTGCTAATATGGCGGACGTCTCAGCGTCTCAGCGTCTCCGCGTCTCGGCTCTGCAGACCTTATTTATTGGGCCCCAACCAACTGATTCAAATTGATGGCCCTCCGTCCGCCCGTTCTGCGGTCTTTGGCACTCACTTAATCAAATTTCAGCCAAGCCGAAAAAGGCTTCGAGTCGGCTTTGTGTGAGAGCCACAGGAGCGTGCAAGATTATTCGTGTGCCCGGCACTCCGTTTGCGGCCACTTTGATGTCGAGTCCACCTGCATAATGGCTGCTGTGGCCTTATCGCCGCTCCAGCATCAAAAATTAATTAGGATTCATCCCCGGAAGCAGTCCTTCCACCTGTCGAACTGATTGATAAGATGTCATTACTGATTTACCCGACTGACAGACCGACTGACTGACTGACTGGCTGTCGGACTTCACTTGAGATTTGGTTTCTTAGGAACGAGATTGAAGGGACAGGCTCGACAGGCAATTAGTTCCTACTCCAAAGTTTTATCGGGAAAAACTTATATTTTAGGAAACTCATCAACGAAAAAAACCCATACAAATCCGAATGGGAATTTAAAACTCTGCGAACTTATACCATTTGTACTGGTAGAATAATCTGAAAACAAAACAAAAACATTTATGGGCTTTCGAAAATCTGAATGAAGCCCCCAACAATTTTCCAACAATATTAAAATGAGTTTGGGATAATATTTTTGCTACTTCAAGACTCTTAAAGTCCGAAACTCTGACCCCCGGCAGCAACAAAAAAAAGTACGAAAAACAAAGCAAAAAATCGAAGCAATCCCCGGGCTCTGTTGAAGCGTTGGTAAGAGGGAAAACACCCGAAAAGCCTTTGGCCATAAATCCGGTGACGGACAGGTGGGCGAGTCCTTCAACAGTTTCTGTGGAAGCCCAAGCTGAAACTTTTTCACTGCTGGCTGCATTTCCATGTGGCTGTTGGTGCAATTTCTGCTGCCGTTGCCGTTGCCGTTGCATGGTCTGGCTTGGCATCCGATGAATTTAGCAAATTGCAAATGCAGCAGCCGCATTATCGCACACAGATACGCCCGCCCCGCCGCACGTGTATGGGGAAATGTGCAGCCAACACAATGTTTCTGCTTCTGCTGCTGCTGCTGCTGCTGCCATTCAGGTCTTCCGACGACAGCGAGGTCACGGCGGGCACAAAGGCGAACGACAACCAATCGAAAATCGAATTTTTGGCAATACACGTCAGGGTCCCCCAATGGCAATGGCAATGGCAGTGGCAGTGGCAGTAGCAATGGCTAAAGCAACAGCAACAGCAATGGCAATGGCACTGACATTGGCATTTGAAAATCTCAGTCGCTGCCGTCCGTCCCTCAGTCCATCCTCCAGGCATGCCATGTTTGAGCTGCTGTGCTGTGCTGCTGCTGTGTCAGGGCGCAACACTTTGTTCTGTTGATTTTTATTTAATATGCGAATGACTCTGCATTTTCCTGGCAGGATCCCCAACCAATCTACGGCCACACGCATGCCAGAGCTGTTGCTCTACCCAGTCCTGGCCCATTGCCCATCGGACTCGACCTGGGTCATCATTCATCAATTTGGCTATGACATTCGGGCTGATGTGGCAAATTTGCCGCCACTCTGACTCTGACTTTGACTCCGGCAGTGCCCCTGGCCCTGGCTCTCGCTTTCGCTCTCGCAGTGGCTGTGGCCCTGGCCTGAGCATTCGTTTAATTACTGTCAATTAGACAAACATTGTGCGGTCCTAGATGGAGATAGAAGCTTGTATATAATCAAATTACATGCCACATCGGTATTGGCAGGGAAAACGTGAATAGTGCCGCGCCAGCAATCGGATAATAGGACTGGAGTCCGCACGTCCCTCGGCCAATCTCAGTGGCTGGCGCCGGCCAGTCACCAGGCCTCGGTGCCCTTGAGGAGAGACCGCGCAAGGATATCGCTTTCAATTACTATAGTTTACCCGGCTGCCATCCTGGCGTGACTTTTCCTGCCGTGCTGCCAACTAACTGACAGACAGAAGCCGACGGGCAGCAGGCGGGTAGCAGGGCAGCAGGCGATTGGGTTATAAATATTTGTTCGATTTCATTCTCCTTTTCCGCTCGCTTCTGCCGCGGAAATCAGATTCGTGCAACGCTGCTGATTCATATAAATACAAATCAAATGTGGCCCGACGTCGAGCCTCCTGGTGGCCATTAATTGTATCGTGAATTCGTGTATCGCGCATCGTGTGCTGCTACCCATTGTTAGAATACCGCAAAGGTGTATGGAATGGGTGCGAATGTATGTAGCAGGCAGCGATATAGGAGTACCTGGGTGTTCGGGGCTGATAAATGCTGGATAATATATATCTGGCGATCATCCTAATTGCGTGAATAGTAAATATCAGCAAAAAGAAACGTATCTGCTAGTGTTTGAGGCATTTATGTAGGTATCCCACAGTCGTCGAACTATTTTTTGGTGGGGAATCCTGTTCCCCCCTGGGAGTGCTGGCATGCCAAGCACGTTGGACGGGGGGTGGGGCCGGAAGGTAATGAAAGAATTTAATGCAGGAGCACGCAAAGCGGGAATTGGCCGAGGTGCCGTGTTTGCCCTAGAGCTTGACTAATGAA